ACAAAATTAAATATTTTCAATTCACGGAATGTTTCTTTCGGAATAGTATTCCTCAACAATAAGAAAAAAGTTTCCGGTTTACAGTAATTATCCAACAATCTATATTACTATTTTCGATTTGCTTGTTAGCTGGCAATGATGTTTTTGTTTCTTTTGTTACAACTTGCATTGTGTTTTTACCTGGTACTGCTGTTGAGCCTTCTTAACTTGAGCTGTAAGTTCCTCATTTTGATGTTGTTCTTTCTCCTGTTTCTCAGCCGAGAGTTTCTCCTCCAATTCCTTTCAAAACAAAGAGAAAATGAAATGTTGCATTTTAGAGAGAAGTGATGGAGAGGAGAGGAGAAGGAGAAGGAGTGGATAAGAAGGGGGAAAGAGGGGAAAGGGAGGGGAGAGAGTAAAGGGGAGTGAGGGAGAGAGTAAACGAATGAAAGAAATAAAGAATAGAAGAAAGTAACAAATGTACGTGTGAAAGAATTTGAAAGCTCAGATAAATAACAAATCAAATAGAAAATTAAATTTTTCAAAATTATCAATGGCGAGATAACACAATCTCTACAATCACATATAATTGCTGAAACATATTGTGTAAGTAAATGTGGTAGATTTCCATAAAAAATAAAGCTATTAACCTTGTGGAGTCATCAACAAAACGCAAAAGCAAAACTAAACTAAAAACTAAAACCAAAAACCAAAAAGATAATTATTTAATAGTCAATGATCAACTTTGAAAGACACAGTAACATCCTATTTTTATTTACAAGTCACTGTTTATTTTGTCTTCAGTATATACCTGGCATTTTTGTCGGGCATCTTCAGGCTGCTTGGAAAGTTGAGACTTTTCTTCGCTGAACTGCCGTGTCAGAGCCTGGTGTCTCTTACCTTCTTCGTTGCTTGATTCAAACTGATCCTGTAATACCTGTACGGAAACGAATGTTGGTGTTATTTTGTTCTTTTTATCATTATTACTCTACTCTAGAGTCTGATTTTTGTTATTCGGACTCCTATTTGTTTATTTAACTTTTTGTTAATTATCTCATACGAACTTTACATCTATAATTGTCTTTACTAATAATCTCATAATTACTTTACATCAATACATTAATTGAACTGGAAGCCTGTCTGCTGAGAACGCAGCATTCTTCCAGAATCTCAGGTAAAGGTAAAGGTTACTTTACATCAATACTTTTCGGATGAAAATTATCGTGTTTTTTTTAGCGTCAAGAGGCATCACATGAGGAAAAGAAATCAAAGTTCGAACATTTTCTGTTGATGTTCGCATCAATTCTTATTGTGTGAACATGTTTCATGCAGAATCGTGGGTTCGAACCCCGGCTGCGTCATACCAAAAGACGTTAAAAGATGGGAGTTGTTGCTACCTTGTTTGGCGTTCAACAATAAGGGATAGAGCAACGTCGATCTGGCGCTGCTCAGTGGCTGCCGGGCTCACGATCAATTGGGGAAAAAGAATTCCGTTTTGGTTTAATAAAATTTGGAGTGGACTATTAGTCTATTATTATTATTATTATTATTTCGTTTGTTTGTTTGTTTGTTTATCGATAATTCTTACCTGACATTTCTGGCCAGCTGTTTCAAGTTGGGCTGAAAGAAAATCCTTATCTCTTGTCAAGCTCCCCACGAGAAGTTCAAGTCGGGTTTTCTCTTGATTTACTGCTGAACAGCCCTTCTTCGATTCCTTTTGAAAAGTTATATTAATACGTTGAATATTTATTGTGTGATGGATCCATAATCTATAACATAAAACCGGCGTTCAATTTTTCTGTATTGAGTTTTACCTGATATAGATACTTTGTGATTTCTGTTTCTCCGTTTCTTCAATCTTTTGAAGTATGTCTTCAGAGCCTGTACTTTTTGCAATTTCGCATTTTAACCCGAGCAGATCGTTTTCTAAAGGAAATATCGGTTATTTCTACTTTAAAAAAAATAATCAGATGATTGTTTAACCTTGTTTGACCCTATTTTTACTTAAAATTGCGTTATTTATTTATCATCATTATCATTATTGTTTTGTTGTTGTTTTAAGTTTTGTTTGTTCGTTGGTGAGGGATTGACTAATTCGTCAGGAATGGAGGAATCTTCTTCAAATACTGAAGTAGCATCGCTAGACTATTTACATTGCATGTATTCGAACAAAAGTTGCTCGAATTTTTCAATCCGTCTGCTAATCAGGAAAAGGACATCATCTTATTTTTTGAGTGATTAGAATTTTACAACTAATATTAAGGATCCCTGTGTGGATAAACTGTATTGATATAAACTAACTAACCAACGAACCAATCAAACAAACAAACAAACAAACAAACATACCTCAGAGTTAGACTCGAGTTGTTCCTTCTCAGTAAGGAGCTGCTCTATATTAGCCTGTCGCTGCGAGACCTCATCAGAAAGTCGCTGAAAATATCAGTATTAAAGTATGAGTATTTGTAATTATTACTCAATTAAGTATGTCTTTAGCATCAAGGAGAGATGACTGTATCAGTAATAATATATTTTTTTTTTAGATAAACAGGGATATGATAATATGACACAGAAACTATCCAATACGTGATTGATAATTTTAAACTTGTACGCATGTACCTCGATTAATAACAAATTATCTTATGTACCTGATTTTCTGCCTCGGTTTCGATCTTCTGGCTCTGTAAATCGGCAAATTCCTTCTTCAACTCGGTGAGACGATCTTCTGTCTTGGCACTTTTCTCCTCTAACTCCTAGTTATCATTGTTGAATAAAATGGCGATAACAAAAACAAATAATGGATATGAATATTTAGACGAAAATTTAAAAAAAAAAATTATCAAAAAATTATTTCTATGCTTCCATAATTGTTCACTTTGTCTGCTTGGTCTTAGCATGCGTTTTGATAATTGAAATCTTCGAAACAAACATTAAGGGTTCCGTGTGTTAATAATGTAGTGATTAGTTTTTCAAAAAGGACAAAGAAACAGACAAACCTTTGAGTAAGCCAGGAGTTGTTCCTTCCCCGATATGAGCTGCTCCTTATCAGCGTTATGTTGTGAGACCACATCAGAAAGCCACTAAATATGTACGATTAGTTTGATATAATACATAGATAAGTCGTTAGAAAAATTATTACTTACTAAACGCACAGGAATGGGATTCTGTGGGAACCTTTTTTGGGAGTAATATAACTTCGATCACTTCGTGTAGAGTTGAAATTTGGAGCGCATTCAACTCCAAGAGGAAGTGATCCCTTACATGACATTAAAAAAGGCATTTGCATTCGTTGGTGAAAAAATAGGACTGTCTATTGCTGCGACGATTAAGCGCAAAAAAATAAGATGTCAGTGGGAAATTTTCGTCTCTCTATTTGAAATTTAACCAAATCAAAGATAAAAATGTCATGAATATTCTCGAGAAATAAAGACGTAGATGGTCAACAATTTATTGAAAAGAGTCAATTTTTAGTATTACTTATGTAAAAGATGGTAATAGAGCTTTAGGTAGAATCCTAATATTAACATATTATTATTATTTGTACCTGATTTTCTGAATCTGCCTCTTTCGTTTGGCTCTGTAAATTGGCAACATCCTCTTCAAGATGACTGAGACGATCCGTGGCGTCTACGAATTTCTTCTCTAACTCCTATTTAGCATGAAACGAGAAAAGACTGAGATTAATACATTACAGAAATTACTGATTGGTAACGCTATATATGTTTCTCTGTATTTTGCTTATTAATTTGTTTATCTTCATGATTTATTTATTCACTCATTTATTTGTTCATTCATTTATTTGTTTGTTTTTTTGTAATTATTATCTTAAGAACTTACCATGGAGTAACATTTCAACCGTTCCTTCTCTGACAAGAGCGGCTTAATGTCGGCCTTTAGTTCCTTGATCTCGAGTGAAAGACGCTGAAAGATATTGAATATGATATTTTTCATAATAATATACGTTTCGTTTGTCTTCAGCATAAATGTGACGACAATTATGAATATTACATTTGATTGGTTAAAATGAACGTGTGATGTATGTTTGTATGAGCTTTAATTATTAGTTCGGTTGACTTTGTCTATTTTTTTAATGTTTATTTGAGTAATTGTGAGAGCAAAACTAGTATAGTTTTTTGTCTCCCTTGCTACAAGCTTTTGTATGTACATTTATTTTGTTTATGGTAAATAAATGCCATTTTAGCTAAGCTGAACTGAATTGCAGATAAGAATCTGAATAATATCATGAAATAAATGAAATTTATAATAGGGTAAATTTAGTCTCTCTATTTGAAAAGTATCCAAAGGCTTATTATAAGTAAATATTCTTCACAAAAAACACATGAGTGTCAACATTTACATCATCAGAAACTACCCACTTCCATTTTAAACACTGCTTAATACTGTAAGAGATCGTTACCAGTGATATAAACATCTTGAATATTAATATCATTTATTTGTACCTGATTATCTGAATCCGCCTCGTTCTTCTGGCTCCGTAAATCGGCAACATCCTTTTTGAGCTGGCGGAGACGATCTTTTGCCTTCGAATATTTTTCGGCTACGGTCTATTCATCATGAACAAGGTAATTCCAATTTTAGAAACATACAAAATGGAAACCCATTAATTGGTGGGTTACGGGGATCCAGGCTGAGTATAGACCTTCTTTCCCTTCAATATACATTTTGACCCATAACTGCACCACCCAATGTGCAACTTTATGAGTTAATTTTTATCATCTCTTTATTTATGCTTTATGCTTTGAATGTCAATATTATAGTATGCGTGTATGGAATGGACAATTCAAATATTTTGTCGTACAAATCTATGCATATTTTTAAGTATGATAGGAATTTAGTAAGTGGTTCGTAAAATCTCTATGAATATGATCAAGTTCAAGAATGATTTGTATCACTTCTAAAAACATTGGATGTCTGCATTATTTTGTGAATCCCCCTCAATGGGTTGAAAAGTCTCACCCAATCCTTGTTTAATGACTGACCATCTGTTTAGTGTCAAAAGGGCGTTAACTCCTAACGCCCTTCTGACTCTCTACAAATGGACTATAATATGTTACCTTGAGTTTAGAGTCTAGTTCGATCTTTTGAACCTGTACTTCAGAAACCCTCTTCTTGGATTCAAAGATCTCTTCATCTGCTTTGGATATGGTGTCCTTTGAATTAAAGTTTGAAGAACAAAAATGTAATGGTTGTTTAACCTACTTTGTCTTCTAATTGCGTCTTTGAATATAACTTCTTTGTACCTGTATATCCATGATCGTTCCTTGGTTCAATAATGATATTAGCTTTAATCTATACAAGTTACACTTTTCATTAAAAACAACAATACTACAATATTTTATTAAAAACATATCACTAATATTATTACTACTTCTTATTCTTCAGCTACAACTTTATAATTCTGATTGTTTTTTTTTTATAATTCATCGAATACATCTACTTTTTAAATAGCTATCCTCATTATTATGCAATGATCTACCTTCAGCTTTAAATCCTGCTCAATCCTCTCTTCTTTCAGTTCTTCAATCTCTTGTTTCAGTTCGTCCTCACGATGGTTGGTCTTGCGGTCTTTAGAAAATGAGTTCTGGAAATGAAATGAAGTGGGGAGAAGTATTGAGAGTTTTGATACAATATTCGCACATGAAATTAATTTATATTATGTTGACATGGTTCCTTTCAGTTTAGGGATGATCATTATTATCAGTATAGACCATTCCTATAATGTTCCTTATCGTATGAAATATGTATTTCAAAATTTCAATCCAATCCTGAAAGTATGTTAATAGCAAATTTGCAGTTACAGAACGCTTCACAATATTTATCTGGAAGTATAACATTTGGGCAGCCCTGTCTTGGCAGCCTACAGTAGAAAACTGATTCCCCACCACCGGGCCATGATAGAGCGCCGAATCCGGACGGGGTACGCCCTTTCCATTATTACTAGCGCTTATAATTATTTTCATCATGATAATAAAATGATACATGTTAATTACAATTTCAATGTATGACATTATAAATGGTAAGTATACCTGTATCTCCTGGTACAACTCATCTTTCTCTTTCTGCATGTTTCCAATGTCTTGTTCCAGCTTCAAGACATAGTAGTCCCTTTGATGACCATCAGAGCGAAGATTCTGAAACGAGGGTAGAAAAAAAAGACGTCATCAATTGCAAGATTAGAGTAAATTCAAACGGAGGATTGATATAATATATTACCAAACACTTTCGCGAAGACTCCACGAAATCAACTAACGCATAATTTCAATACTCTGTTATATCGAAATCATATTTAGATTAATACATATGTCTAAGTTCGTTGTAACGTAAGTACATTTAATTTTGTTTGTCTTAATATTTTAAAATATATATAAAGAAAAGTTTATATTCTTACCTTAAGTTCTTGGTCGAATGATATCTTCTGAAGTTTCAGAGCACTCTGGTTTAGTTTTGATTTCATGAAGTCATCCTGAAATGAGTAATATTTTAGCAATTATACTTGTAAAACAATATTAAGCTATATCATACGCTTGCGTCATAATGTCGGAAGGCTTTACAACTGCTTCTCAAAGGGAATGCGACAATTACGGCTAGCCTTTTTTCACCAAAAGTACATATAGGGTTCATGTTATGGTTGCGATTGGGTTTTGGGTTAGGTTCAGGTTTAGGAAAGTTATAGTGTTGGGCCCGGGGTTGTCGAAGTTAGGTATTCGGTTTTTGTAGTAAATTACCGCGGATCAATTATTGTTGCGACAGCATGCATGTGTCATTCATCCAGGCAATAATGAAGCGGAAATACTTTTGTCATTTTCGATGCTTCATTTCATAACCAACCTCAGACTTTGAATCCAAATTCATCATCTGATTGAGGTTTGCCAAGTCCTTCTCCAGTGTCAAGATGTGATCATCTTTCTTGAACTCTCTGGCTTGAAGATCCTTTTACGAAAAAAGAAAAGAGGTAATATAGGAATATCTCCTATTAGATAATTGGTATCAGGATTCTAAAATTAAAAAGAATCGAGAAAAGCAATAAAAATTAAGCTATCCATTGATCATTCAAGGAATATTCAATATGATAATGAAGATTACCGTTAAATTTAGTATATAATGTTTCGGTCGTAATTGTTACAAAATATAACTGTATTCGTAAAGTTACATTTCGGTATCTTCTTCGCCGGTCTAATCTGCGACTTCGAGCTTTTATTGACAAGCTGTGAATAAAAAATAAAAAAAAACCAAGAATACTATAACTATTTTATGATTACAATTGTTTTTCATATTGTTACTAACCTTATACATATTCATGATGTATGTTAATGCTATTTAAAGGCATATGCACTAAAAGGCTTGGATTTTTATTTAAAAATCTTAGACCGTATATGCGCAGGTATTTTGTTATTTTTGACTTACTGATTCAAACTGTTGTTACTGTTGTGTGGTTATGATTTTATGATATATTTTTGATTGTTTAATACAGTGTCACCTTGCTGTGATAATATCCACCATCCAATGCTAAATAACGGGAAATACAAAACTTACAATATTTTTCATTGAAAAAAATAAGATTCTGTATGCCTCAAAAAAGACATTTAAAGATTTATCTTCAAAGTGGGGCAGGCAATAACCCCCCCCCCCCCCACCCCTATCGGCGCCATTGTACCTCTATTGAACATGGTGTTTAGATGAGGGTTTCTTGAAGTAAGTCGTATTGTGGCTTATAATGATATACCTTGATCTGTAGATTGAGAGACTCGTTGTTCTGTTTAGTCTCATCCAAATCAGTTTGAAGACCCAAGACCACCTCCCCAGCTTCCTCGTAGCGCTGCAGTAAATCCTAAGAACAGAAGAGAGCGGGAAAAAAGGTCATTATTTCCATGCGTTATCTTCAGATTCTATGCAATAATAATAATTATAATCTCTATTTATATATAGTGCTTAATACGAGATACCGTCTCAAAAGCGCTTTTGAGAATTATTATCCCGGTCATCAGATTCATTCACGCACAATCTCCACTCCCTGGGGAGTGTTCCTACAATAAGCTAACCAATTTCGAAGGTTTACACAAATATGTGCTACCTTTTTACCATAGTTATACTTGATGAATTTTGTGTATATTATCTAGGATTACAACTCCTTACTTCTGCAAAATATTTGACAATTTGAAAAGTACCTATACCTACCTCATTTTCACACGTCTTCTTTTCGATGTCTGTCTCAAGATCGCGAATCTTGGTCTCGAAATCAAAGACGCGGTTGTCAGCTGTCTGCCGCTTATCTTGAGCTTCCTATACATATAAGAAATATAAGTAAGAAAGGGAGGGGAAATAGTTACATTCAGAAAGTATCAAGTGGAACATAAGTCTGTGGATACCAAACATCTTGAACTATAATCAGCTTCAAATCAGTGTTGCAGTCGAGTCCGGTCCCAGGGCCGTATCTTCATTACCTTGGCGTTTGCCTCGGACCGAGTTTGTGTAGAAAACCTATGGTAGGTTAATTTTTTGACAGCTTCTTGACTCGCGGGAACGGCTAACCTCGACTACATTCACTCCTTCAAATCATAGAATATCATTGAACAAACAGAAAAATCGAAGAGGGTAAACATGTCACCTGCAGGTCGAGGGCTAGATCGAGGTTCTTGGTCTGCAAATTGTCCAGTTCGTTCTGGAGTTCGACGATGCGTTTGGTCTTCGTCTTTTCACGATCACGGAGATTCTACAAGAAAAGGACAAAGAATACGATATTTTATGTCGTGTGATGTCAGGATTATTTCAAATCGGTTAAAAGTCATTCTTTTTACAATCTGACTACGTTAATCATTCACACTTAAACACTTTCCTACATGAATTTACTTTGGAAACGACGTGTATTTTGAACTTGGAAATTAATAATTTTAAAGTTAGAGATTTTTGTTTTTTTCTTTCTCTCTATCTCTCTCTTTCACTCTCTCACTATCTCTCTCTCTCTCTCTCACTCTTTCTCTCTTTCTTCCTTTCTTTCTTCATGCTTAGGAAACCAAATATGCATTTATACTTCTATATCTATCACTATCAGTTTATCAATACCTTCTCGTTCTCTTCGTTCTTTATATTACTGCTTTACCCTATAACTGAAGCCAATAGTCTTACAATCCTTTCCCTAAACATGTAAACTGCTTTCATTATTTTCAATGCTCCTGGGCACGTTTTATAAACAGTTACGATTGATCGCAACCTTTTTGCTATTGATATCAATCGCAACTATGCACATAAGAGATAGGAGACTGCAAACATGCGATTGATTTAGTTAAATTATTAATTATTAGACGAGGCCCTGGTATAATCTATGCGATGCCTAACAACCCTAATATTCATTCTCTTAGACAATGTTTCATAACTGGTTTCGTCACAATACATGCATCTCTGTTTCATCGTGATGTAAATACATCCTATTGGATTTGATAAAAAGCTGATGTTGAAGCCCCTATGAAAGAAGAAGACGAAACGGAGAAAGTTGAATAATAATTTTTTTAAATGAAAAAAAAAGCCTCACTACAGGCATCTTGATACAAATAACATGTATAATATTGCAATGTTTAACAACACTTTTAAGAGGAGATTTGTATTTTTCAGCTTCAATAATAATAATTATTACAAGAGATAATTGCTTAATATTATTTTTAATAGTTTAGGCATCAATTTAAATTGTTTTTTACTTGAAAACTAAATTTGTTGCTATTACGTGAAAGAAATGTCTTAAAGTTATTTTTCTTCATTTAGTTTGCAATATCATTTATATCATATCATTCTTATCATTTTGATTATTTTATTCTTATTATTTTCATCTTCATCTTAATCATTATCACCTTTTCACTCAAATTGAAACGGGTTGCCTTTGAAATCTTTTCTTTTACTTAGAAAACTAAATAATTGGATTTGTTTTTTTGCATACATCCTAATAAATAATAATGTTAAGGTACCTGAATCTTCTCCTCTTTGACCTTGACCATGTCCTTGAGGTTGATGAAGGTGACCTTCATCTTGCTGACCATGGTCGAGGTCTGTGAGGGGGTGGTATCAACATCCATCATTCGAGCAAGACCCTGTTAGGAGAATTATCATAGTATGTAGATCGTTAAATTATTATTTCACTATATTCCCATACTATGGTCGGAAAGTCAAGACCCCGTCTCTCTCTCTCTCTCTCTGCCCCCCCCCACCTTTCTCTCTCACTATCTCTCTGTCTAACTTTCATATTTTCCTTTCAATTTTCTCAAATTTATATTCTCTATTTCCTACTAACCCCACCTTTCTCTCTCTGTCTCTCTCTCTCACTTTTTTTTTCTTTCTTTCCTTCTCTCTTTCTAACACCACCTTTCCCCCCTTTATTCTGGTATACCCTTCCAAGTTTAAATTAGGAAAGAGAGAAGTGAGAAGCATTTTGCTATGTTCTTATTTCTGATCTGACAGTTGGTTGTACCCCCTACTATGAATATTGATATCTATATAAAACAGACTTATATTTTTCATTATACATTTTCCTACAAATTTGTTACCATGATTGACTCATCCGAGTGGCCGATCAGAGAGTCCTTCGGTGACTCTTTCAATTCCTGCAAAAGGATGATTACAAATTATTTTTTAATCGTCAATACACAAAATAGAATACGATCGCAAAGAGTTTCAAAAATCAAACTTAGTTTGTTTTAATAGCCTTGTGTGGCATAATTATACTGAAATATGCGAACGTGAAAATGACATAATACATTTCAATTAGACCTTTAAAAAAAAAGACGTTGTATTGCCCTTTGCGACAGACCCAACAATCTTGAAATCAACGGTCGGCTTTAACAAAACAAAAAACAAAAAATATCGTTTTTTAAAAGAAAAAATATGTATTAAAGCATTCAAAACTGAGAAATACCAGCCCAAAGAGGGAGTAAACAACAAACAAAAAGTAGAAAAAAAAACACAGATTCGACCGACCGACCCATGTTTTGGCACCAATGAGCAATACAATATCTTTTTTTTATAGGACTCATCATAAGTTTTGTAATCAATGATTTTTATAGACAATAAGTTATGTTTTAAATCTATAAACATGTGAATGTTTCATAATATTTTCAATCCTTTAGTTGGAAAATCAATTCTCTTCTTCATTCTCCACTTCTTCTTCTTCTTCTTCTTTCTATTCTTTCTTCTTCTTCTTCTCTTTCTCCTTTCAAGAGGAAATTAAAGGAATACCTAATACTTGACAGTCAGAGAAGAGAAGTGAATGACATGTTATATGATTGAAATTTTTATTCTTCTGTCGGTTCATACTTTTTCATGTTGTATATACTTATGTTTTCGTACGTTATAGAATTTCTACAAATTCATCATTATTTTCCTCTTCTTCCTTCTCCTCTTTTTCTTCTTCTCCTTCTTCTTTTTCTTCTTGTACTTAATATCATTTCTATCATCAGTTTAAATGTTGTTATTATTATCTTTAATAAGTAGTTCTTTTAATTTTCTTATCTGTCTGTAAATATTACTATTTTAACTTATTAATTTTATACATGTCTGTAAGGGACCCCACTGGAAATAAGCTCTCGAGCTTTCGTGGGTTATCCTGTTCAAGCTGACTTTTTTTTGATCTGTTATTATTGTATATTGTTGTATGTTGGAAGCTTGTCGAATAAAAATCAATCAATTTTTCTTTCACATCAATCATTACAAGAAGATGTCACGTACCTGGATGTCGTTCTTAAGTTGGGAAATGACGTGTTTCTGCTTGCTCCAGGTTGATGTGATAAGATCAGCTAAACCATCTGGAGCAAGGGGACCGGAGACTTCAGTCAACCCCTTGCAAGCCTTCAAGAGCGTCTCGTTACCCTAGATCGAGTAAAGAGGAGAGAAATGATTTACATGTGGGCCTTAACGATCCCCCACCCTTTTACCCTTTGTAATTTAGCCCTACCCCCGCCCCCTCCGGAAGTTTAGACCGAAAATCACCTGAAAATTTGAAAAAGCTTTCTCCTTCTTTTTTATTTAATGATTTATCGGAATTGAAACCATGACTGTACATGTAAAACTGTATAGCATTTTATAAGATCTCAAGCTTTTTCATCGTGTTCCTGTACTTTTGTATGGGTCAGAATCTTTTCAAATGAGAACTGGGACCCGTTTCACAAAGCCTTTTTTCAAAGACAAATAACAAAAATCAGTGACAAATCTGCTGATAACTAATTAGAAGCAAGGATTTCACTAGCTTATAACAAATATTATTTTGTCACTGATGATGATAAGTTTTGTGAAACGGGGCCAAGATGTATATATATTTTTTGTCTGAATTATCTTGGAAATGGTACCTTGATGGTCTTCTCAAGACGGGTAACGCGTTCTTTTGAGGTTCGAACGAAGGTCTTGAAGGATCGAGCAGTCCTGACTGGGTTGGTCTCGGGACCAAGGCCTAATGCATCTTGCACGTCAAACAAGAGAACATCATGGTCCTAAAACATTGTCAAATATGGGACACGAGAGAGAGAGAGAGAGAGAGAGAGAGAGAGAGAGAGAGAGAGAGAGAGAGAGAGAGAGAGGGGGGAGAGAGTGAGAGAGAGAGAGAGAGGGGAGAAAGAGAGAGAGAGAGAGGGAGAGAGAGAGAGGGGAGAGAGAGAGAGAGAGAGAGGGGGAAGGGAGAAAGAGAGAGAGAGAGAGGGAGAGAGGGAGAGAGAGAGAGAGGGGATATAAAAAGAGATTATGAGACAAAGAGAGCGTAATTGAGAGTGAAAGAGAGGTTGGGAATGAATATGAGCAAAAAGAGAGAAAGAGAGAGTGAGAGAGAAACAGAGTGAGAGGGGGAGGTGAGACAGGCAGACGTACAGACAGACAAGGAAAGCAGAACTATAGGCAAAACTCATGGTTGAAAAGGAAGTTGAAGAAAAATTACAAACAGAAAGTATAACGAGGTTGCATAAATGTTTTACAAGCAAAAAAAGGAATAGAATATGAATAATATATATTTACAAAATATATTTATCGGCAGTATAATCTAGGGGAGATATGAATATAGGAATGATGTGTCCTTTTTTTTTTTTTTTAACCTGCTTTACATATTTTTTAAGGGGAATATTCAAAACTGTATATTGAGGCAACCCTAGACCCTAGGGAAACATAGAAAGTGAACACGGTAGACAGGTGGCATTTCTAGCCAGTTTACAGAACACTTTCTCGAGGAAGACATAATACATGACCATGATAGAAAAAAATAAGTGGCCGCTATTAAGACAGTATAGAAGATAATGCAAACATAAATCGATTTTAATTCTAAATGGTTTATTAATGAAAATTATACATTTTCAGTTTCATAACAGTTTAAAAAATTGCTGCAAATTTACCTTAAGTTGTTCCTTCATTCTTGTGGATTCGTTGTCTGCACTGGTCATCTTGAATATCAGTTTATTGACCGTGTCTGCCGGGCTGGTCGTGGGCGCAAAATCACAAGATTCACGAAGGAACTTCAACACTATTTGCACGTCCTGTAGTGTAGTTTCCTATGAAATATCGTAAACTCGGACATTGAAAATCATACCTATACTGTATTTGGACAAATACGAATTTACGGTGTTTTTTTAAACATTCAACCACATTCAGTCCCTCAAAAGTCAAAATAAAAGATTCTGACAGGAGCAGCTAGGGTATTAAGTTCTTTTTTATTAATTTTTTTTTTAAAGTTTAGTACTTCTAAACTGAGATCGGTCGAAAATCTTCCAGAATTCTTTTTCGTATTGGCACATATACGATAACAAATAGATAGTTGATAATATGATATCTTATTGCATCGTTTCCGAACAGGTTTATACGGTATAATATGGTCGGCTCAGCTGTTGTTCTTAAATTGTTTGTTATCCTTGTTTAGTGGTTAAGATTGGAATGGGATTTGGTAATGACTAATGACGTTTACCTTTTCCCTGTCTCCACCTACTACTCCGAAGATCAAGATATATTAATCTTGATCTATAGGAGACACGAACGAATTCCTCCAGACCCCACCCCTTTCTCTCACTGTATATCTATGTTTCTCTCTCCATCACCCCTCTCCCTATCCTTCTCCCTCTCTCTCTCTCTCCTACACTCTCCCTCTCCTGCGTTTCCCACCTATACTTAAAATATTCGGGGGGGGGGGGGTTTATTGCAAAAACATTATTTTTAGAAAGCCTAATCAGATCCCCCCCCCCCTCGGTCATTTATAAGCGTGTAATCATTTTATACTTGCCTCATTTTGGACTTTCTTGGTCTTAAATTTGTCCACGGGTCGTGCCATCAGTGTTTTCTTGATAGGGGGGTAAACAAGATTACCCTTATTCCTCACCGGCTTCTCAGCCATAAGAGGAAGAAGTCGGTTGATATGCTTCGGTGTGATACTCATTCTAAAACAAAATGTTTAAATACATGTATGTCTATTACATTACTGGCAAATTTAGGGGGCATACGGTCCATATCCTCCAATTTTAATATGCAATGATGCTTAAATACCTGTATTACACAAAAATATAAGTCGCCCCACCCCCTTATTTACCAACATCTAGCACGATTAGGGATTATACTATCATTATCATTATAAACGTTACCAGAAATCATTAGCAGTACCCATCTCCTCCTCCTCCTCCTCCTTATTTTCATCATCATTCACATTCAACACATTCATTATCCATAACATGTTCTATTCCTTTGCCTCATTGTTTCAATATCATGTACACTTTCATTTTATTTGGCACATAAATTGTGCATAATCTTCAAGGAAATAATAACCCCCCCCCCCACCTCACCTCCCCTCACCCCCCCCCCCAAAAAAATATATAGCCTATATTTTGAAGGTGTTTGTTAATTATTGTGTACATGTATATATTTCCTATTAATAGGAAGAAAAATGATAAGAAATATGATATCGTAAATCAGTGAGGCACTCACCTTAATTATCACTATGGTTTTCGCAAGCTGTAAAATAACGATTTCTGCAATAAACGTCAAAACTTTCACGTTATTGAAGAATTTCGATAGATTGCTAACTATACGTGTTCGCGAGCATGCCGTTTCAGCAAGTTGTGAAGTCGGTTGCTAAGTATGCCTCGCAACAAGCAGACATGTGGGCTTGACCGTGACGTAATAAAAACTTTGGGCCAATAAGCGTGCGCCTACGCTTTAAGTAATGCATATTCATTTTTGTACGCGCCTACGACACAATGAAAATAAAAGGCGTTTGACTTCTTATAAAAATCTGCTCGCGCATGGGCAGGTGCTTTGAAAAGCTCCTTGTGTTGCTATGAATATCATATATTGCTGAAACGTTGAATTTTGTTCAATATTAGTACGTGTTTGGTACGAAAGGATTTTCAAGATTTTTTTTTTTTGTTTGGTTTCGGCAAAAACTTTGTTGAAACATATAACCTTATAACCCCCTCCCTTATAACTAAGATTTACTTTTTAACACAAGATGGCAGCACACAAAGATACACTCTTATTTCCACGGAGTCAAATTTCACTCTAAATGGCGTCAGCTGGGAGTCAACTCTATTCCTAGTTAAAGTGACACGGATTCCGAATCAATTTGACTCGGATTGTGTGGCATCAGCTGAGAATTGACTCAATTCAGAGTCAAGATGACTCCTTTTCCGTGTCACTTTAACTAGGAATAGAGTTGACTCCCAGCTGACGCCATTCAGAGTGAAATTTGACTCCGTGGAAATAAGAGTGTAGGCCTAGAAGTAAAACAAGAGCTAACCAATGGTAAATGGCATGGTAATATTAATTTCACTCCAGAAAGACTGATTTAAGGCTAGTTAGCATAAGTAACTATAATCACAACAAGTCTACCTCGTACAAAACATTGCAAACGATAATGGCCTTCATATCTTTACCCTTTCATCATTATGCATTATTTTGTGAAAACAATGTAATGTGAATATAACTATTATTTTCTTTTAAAATTACCATCATAATAATAATAATGGTGGCTTCTAGAAAATCCCAAAGCCCAATATTGACGTCCTTTCTGCTATATTTCTTTCTATAGCTATATATTTCTAAATTTCCTGGGGGACGTGTCCTATCGGGCCCAGGATCGCCGCCCCTATCCATGTTTACTACCAACATGAGTTCAAATACAAACACAAGCGAGTTGGTATGAGCTGAATCCAAATGAAGGGCAAAATAAGAGTTGTGAAGCGGCCTTACAATTAATTTAAAATGTGACTGTTGAGTATATAGCTTCTATTTTATAAAAGACATCTAAAATATTGTGCCTTTGTCGAATTTCTCACTAAGGAGTGATGACCTTTGTAGCGCAGGGGCTGTTTTTTTAATGTTTAACTTTGAATCCGCGGCTCGAGATTTTATGCGGCTCGAGGGGGGGGGGGGGGATTTTTTCTTTTCTCTCTCTCTGTTTCTTTTCTCTTCTCTTTTCTGTTCTCTTCTCTTTTCTTTTCTCTTCTCCTTTTTTTTCTCTTCTCCTTCTTTTCTTCTTCTCTTGTCCTTTCTTTTTTCTCTTCTTTTCTTCCTCTTTTTTCCTTCCTTTTTTGCGCCGCCAATAGGGGGGGGGGGGGGGGGGAGGCGGCCCCCCTGGATCCGCCACTGCCATCCTCTGGAACCACTTTCAATTATAATGGTTCTTTCAATAAGGCTATAAACAAATATCAAGCCAGGAGAGCCATGTTCAATTTAACATTTTTTTTTTTTTTTTTTGGTCTCGAAATTTGAAAATTTGACATTTTGTTGCGTTGGGGGGGGGGGGGGGTAGGGGGGAAGGGGGGGGGGGGGTAAGGTCACCTTTTTTAGTTCAGCTATTGGCATAATTTTTTTTTCTTAAATTAAAAAAAAAACTCAAAGGGGGGGGGGGGTTTCTCCAAAATACACAGATCAACAAAACTGTAGGTCACCCCCCCCCCCCCCCCCCCCTGCGTACGCGCCTGCTGCCAGTTACCAAATGTCGTTATTTATCTGATCAAACTCTTGAGTTATGTTTCCTATGTAATATTAAGGTACAGGGTGGTGAATTTCATTATGTTCTGGTGTGCCCAGCTTTCAATGACTTTCGTAAGCAGTATGTTAAGAAATATTATTACAGTAGACCTAACGTTATCACATTTCATCAGTTATTCAATGCAAATTCTGTTAAGCAGTTAAAGAACCTTTCCAAATTCTGTAAGATCATTATGTCTAATTTTGGATAATTTGTTTTGCCCTTTTTAATACGTTAGAGTTATATTTTAATTGGTTTTTGCCGTTTTTAGTAGCATAGTGTACATATATATAGTAGTGTTAGTACTGCCAGTTGAGATGTAGGGTTTCATGTATTTTTTTAAAAAGTAGACCTAGACCTATATCCTTAAGCTTGCCTTCATTTGTTCGTTGTTCGGTGCCAAAGATTGTCTTGTTTTTAAAGATTTTCTGTGTGTGTTTAAAAAAAAAAAATCTATATGAATATCATTGTTGAACATTATATATGTACTATTCAACTGTATTTCTGCCATGCCCCAGAAGGGGCCGTTAAAGAAATAAAAATCATTGTCATTGTCATCGTCTCTGCATGCCTAGCCTTCCCTCCTCCTCCACCCCACCCTTTAATTTAGCGCGTTCTAGGTCAAAGGTCAGCAAGAAATGTCAAAAAGACCGAAGATGGCACCCCTCAAGACAAAATTTGTTGAAGGTAAATGGTGTTTTATTGGCGGGAATCTTCTTTGTTGGTATCCTGCATGTATTTCTTTGAAAGATTTGTTTATTTTAATTGTATAATACTTAAAATTTGTATCATTATCTCATGTAGTATACATGTTTTTGGTCAAGATTTGAGTAAGATCGCACGTGAAAGCTCCATTTCTTAATTGTCTTCGGCCCCATGCATGCATTTTCACGTATGTCGAAAATTTCTACGCACAAAAAATTATGAGCGCTATTTCAGAATCGTATCCATGGTATCCAGACTTTGACCCGCGATTCCGGCGTGGAAAACCGAGAAACCTTACTATAATATACCTAAAATCAACTTAATCTTCATCAATTGTTCAAATAACGGCCATGATTTAAAAGTTGTTACCTTTCTTACCTGTTTCGTGTCAATTTTTTAATCTTTTTCCTAAAAAACATTGAAGACATGAATAAATTATGATCATAGGCCTAGGCCTAGACACTTTCTCACAGGTTTCACGACAAACCCCTGCACAATAAAATTGCATACTGTACCGACGATGGGGTGTAGGCACGCACACGTGCATAAAGTTAGCAGCCGTAATGATGATGAGTATAATCCTGATTATCATCATTATCATGATCATCATCTAGAAGCCATGTGAATGGTGAAAAATAATCCCAAATTGAAAATATAAAAAAACGTTCAGAGACCCTACAGGGTGTCTGATCGCGCACTCAGTTTTGGGTGCTAAAATCCTTCCCATAGAAATTATTTACATGAATTTAATGAGGATCTGAGATTACAGTAGCTAACTTCGAACCACCGGTGCCCACACCCCACCGTTGCGTAGGTATGCACTTGTATTGTGCAGCTGTTTACCTTGAGACCTGTAAGAAAGTGTATATTATGTCTTGTTTTAAAGGAAAGTACTCAAAACAGGTCAATACAGTTTCAAAGCCACTTCCTGCACACGGCACAAAAAGCACCGCACAAAGTACAAAGATACTCCATTTAAGAGGCTGATACTCAACTGGAAGAAGAAGTAGTAAAAGACCTGTTTACTAGTAATAATGTATATTTTAATATAGATCGAGATCTCTGCATGTTTGCAACTTATTACGTCAGTCACTTTGAAATCCGCTAGTGAAACTCAAGATCGTGTACGGTTTGTATTAAGTAGAAAGTCTTGATTTCTCTATGTTGATAATTTGTCCCTATTTACAGGTGAAAGAGTTCTCTGCTTCCATGGACCGCTACTGTATGAAGCCAAGGTATGACATTACACCATTTTATATTCCTACTTCAGTCTTTTGTCTTAACTTCTATTTACTTTCAATCCATCCTGGATCTTTAAAACTAATTATAAAGAACAGTACCCTGTTCAATATTATGTTTGCACCAACCACATGCAGCCCCAAACATCCCCTTCTCTTTTATTGAATCCTTGTTCTTTTTTTAGTAGTATGTTTTCTTTCATTTGGACCAGAATGAGTCATTTTCATGTTAAATAATTAGAGCGAGAAAATGCATTGTTATCGTAACCAGAGCTCTTAATTAATCAATTCACTTACTCCTGTGTCCTACTCTACCATAATATTTCTTTGTGTACTCATGTGGTTTTTCTTCCTTCTGCACAGTGTGTCAAATCGGAGGTCAAGGATAAGATGATCAGATATTTCATCCACTACAATGGCTGGAATAAAAAGTAAGTGAAGGGTACCCTTGTTGTAGATTCTGCTCTCCAAACTGCGGTTATTTGGTTCCTGTGATTAACATCTCATTGATTGTGTTAAAGCCCGTCTGCACTAGTTTGGCCAGGAGGGATTAGACCTCCCTGCAAGGTCACTGACAGATGGTTATCAAATCAAATCAGCTCTCAAATAACATAAGAAAAAGGGGACCATGGGGGACCAACGGTCACCGATTAGGCATTGTTTGCTATATAGAGCTAGAAGTAGCTATAAGTAGTGCAGTGGGGCTTTAAGATACATGTAGCTAGCATATTTTTGAAAAGTTCAAAAGAAAATGGCATATCCTGTTCTATATGATGATATCAGCAAAATGATATATGTATTTTGATAAGACATTCTGTTAAATTTTAACATACTGCAGAGCAGCTACAAAATTTGTCAATTTCCTTATTGTCATGCTAGTATAGAACACTTAATTTTTGTATTAGGTCATCTTTTTGTCTCAGGTTTGTCCTATTTTGCAATCAGAAATGGAGGAGGAAGAGATGGTTAAGTTTTTCTGAAGGAACTGCCCTGTCTCTGATATCTGATATGTTTGTGTTGCTTTGAAGGGAATGGAATTAAAAGATTAAATTGATTGCATATTATTCACTTGTTATCATAATGTGTTCCTCTTTTATATCAACAGTTGGGACGAATGGGTTCCAGAGAGCAGAGCCCTCAAGTTCAACGAGGCCAATTTGCAGAAACAGAAGGAGTTATTTGCAGCTCAGAAAGCGTAAGTCATCCAATTTGTTTATTGTGAAGGATAACAAAATATTTAATAGGCCATTTTCGTAATGTAATCAAATTTAATGCATAGATCTTTGTCAAGTGCCATGTTACAAATTATTTCATTGATCTGTTATGAATAATTGTGAATGTGAATTGCATACATTACGTGTTGCTAACTGCTAAATAGACTTGATTAATGGTTAATCTTCACTTGTCTGCAGGAAGGCAAAGAGAGCTCGCACTCAGAAGGCGAAACCTGAGAAGGAAGCCCCGTCAAAGGCACCACCAGCACCACCACTACCACCACCATCAGAAAAGTCATCATCTAAGAGAGCGGCTAAGACTTCCAGTTCTGAACCAGGTTAGCAGACTAATCAAGATATATGTTGTTTTTTTTTTAAAGGCGAAAGTTAGCAGTTTAATTGACAGCACAGGTGTTGTTATAACGGAGGCATTATGTTTTCAGGTTGTCCGTCCGTACGTCCCGTTCTCGTGATCACGTTATCTGAATAACCGATTGATGGATTCCTGCCAAACTTTGGTCATGTATGTATCTTGCAAAGCCGATGAACTGATTAGATTTTTGGGGTCACAAGGTCAAAGGTCACAGGGCTCATTATGTATGCAAAAACAGCTCGTGATCGCATTATCCTTAAAACAGATTGATGGATTCCTGCCAAACTAAGATCATGTATGTATCTTGCAGAGCCAATGAACTGAGTAGATTCTTGGGTCATGAGGTCAAAGGTCAAATGTCATGGGCTCATTATGTATGCAAAAATAGCTTGTGAACGCATTCTCATTAGAACTGACAGATGGATTACTATTTAACTCAGGACATCTTGCAGAGCCAATGAACTGAGTAGATTTTTAGGGTCATGAGGTCAAAGATCAAAGGGTTATATATGTATATGAGAAATTGCTTGTAATCACGATATTCTTAGAACCTGTTAATGGATTACAATGAAACTTGAATTTGAAAAATTTCTTCTGTTTTGGTTTGTAAACTTGCTCTATGATGGAGGCATCATTTTCGACTGCGCGCAGTCAAAGTTCCATCTAGTTTTATTTGTACATTTGTTTTCTTCAATAAATCGTTCTGAATCTGGAGAGAAATATAACATCATTTCTAAAGATGTGAGTAATTTGTATTCAAAACAGTAATATGGAGCTTAACATTGTGTTGCCAATTTAAAGCTTTAAGGATTTAATATTTCATTTGATTGTTAAGTGAGTTTCTGGCTTCAAACAAGATGATTTAACACTGCTCAGATTGTCAAGACATTTGTGTTCTATCTCTTTTCTCATGCATGTGTTATATTGAAGGATTCTGATTCGAAAATTTTTCTCTGAAATCTCAAATTTGAACTTTCGTCTCATATTTTGAACTTCAGACTTGATGAGAAGCTAAGAGTATTTGACCAGACTTTGTTGAAAAGAACCTCTATTTAATTATATTTAAGTGTATTGTGTTGGAATACACATAAAAATGGGCTTTACACCAGTAGGGGCCCTGAGAGCAAGCGATCTATGCAATTCAAATTACCTTCACAGGAACACCCCTTGGCTTTATGATTTTCTGGAAATTACCCTCATTAATACACAAAACTTTTGTGGGTACCTATCTATCAAAGTTAATCATAAGTCTTATGTTCACTGCCTTTGTTCTTAGCATCCACCCCTTCCTCAGCGGCACCCTCGCCCCAACCTGCCCCAGAAGAACCCCCTCCAGTGGCTGCTGCCCCTGCCCCTACTCCCCCATCAGACTCGCTGAGGAAGAAGAGATCAAGACCAGATGCCACAGTTGAAACGGTAAGATGGTTTCCCGCTTTTTTCCAGATTTTGTTACAAATTTTTCGCTCAATTTTTTTTTCCCAATGTTTACTATTACCCCTGAGGATGGTGATAAAGTCTTATTATTATTAGCAATTATGTAAGTACCCAATTGGCAATGATATATGCACCCAATAGTGTAACCCTAATTAACATGCCTGAACTAGAATTCAAATGTATGAGCAAATAGAATGACACTCTTATTTTATATATTTTTTCTCTACAGATCCCTTTTCTACCTCTCTCTTTTCTCTGTCATCTTCCCCAGCTTTTCACTTTTCTCTCTCTGTACTTTATAATTGTAAATTTGTTTATGTTTATTATCAATATGAAATGCAATGTAAAACAATTCTTCTTCATTTCTAATCTCAATTTTTGTGTCTTGTCAATATTGGTGAATTTATTGGATTCTTTTATATAATTTTATATAATTGTAGCAATGTCTCTTGAAGATCATTGCTACTGAAGTGCTCACATCTTTCAACAACGATGTAAACTAGTTCACAACTTGCGACCATTTTTTGATCTGATAAATTGGGTAAAGATATGAATTAGAGCATTATATTTTGTTTTTGTTTCGTTGCTGCCGTACAGGAGGAATCATTTGTCAGCAAAGTGGACATCAAAGTCAGAGTTCCAGAGGAGCTGAAGCCTATCTTGGTCGATGATTGGGATGCTATTACAAGACAAAAAATGGTACATTCAGAACCTGCTCTTCCTCAGTTCAAAAATTTACAAAATTAGTATTGTTTTTCAAAATTTTCTTTTTAAATTTCCTTTTGTGTATGCTGATGATCATTTGCAGAGACAACAAAGGAAATATTATTCCACACATAAAAGAAGTCAAAATAGAGACTTTCAAGTGTTAGTTATTGAACCTTGTTAATTGTCATTTGTACTTACAAATTAAATTTAATTGGTCCTAAATCCATGCTTTGCAAGAATATTCATGTAAAAGTGTTTTGGTCACTGAGATGGTAGATACCACAATCTCTGAGAAATGCCATGTGTTGGGATATTTCACCTACTGTTTTTGTTCAGGTAATTTCTTTTCATAATGTCCTGGACACTGAAGAAGTAGTAGAGCAGTGGTCAATTCGATGCGCTAGTGCTCTTTGGTAAGGCATTAATCCTCATTACCAAGTCCCTTGGAGAGGATTTAAACCCCTCAGCCTCCTGCTTGCTTACTTACAAGCACACACATGCTTTCTTAGCAGTCAATGAAAACAAACAAACAAAACAAGTATATTTTTATCGTAGCTAGCCCCCAAATATTTATAGATGATGATACAAAGATGCGTTTTTCTACTCTGGATACACTATTTTGATCTGAAGCATAGATGTACCTGATATTATCATTAATCCATTTTTTTTCTTTGCAGTTGCTTCACCTTCCAGCCAGGACTACAGTGGAGCAGATCTTAGAGGATTACATGAAACAGAAGAAGACTAAAAAAGACATGACACCTGCCAAGTAAGTACATGTACATGCAAACAATGTTGCTAATGTTGTGAATGACCAACAATTTAAAAAAAAATGGGTTTCAGGAGAAAGAAAACTTATTTGAATAATAACTTGTTAAATATACTCACATTTTTTAATCAATTCAATTACATTTAATTCAATTCAAAATGTTATTGTCCAATTATTGGATATTTGTTTCGTTTGCAAGTCAAGACAAAATTGCAGATTGTAAACATCAATAAGGTATGAATGGATACATCATAATACGATTGACTTGAACATAGATAACAGAAAATGCGATAGTACAAAATGTAGATTAAAATTCAGACTAAGTAATTAAATTCATAATTCAGATTAAATTCAATTCACAATTCAAATTAAATTAAATTCATATAATTCAGTTTAAATCCAATTCACAATCGAGATCAAATCCATTTCACAATTCAAACCAAACCCAATTCATAATCTTGTATATAAGCGTGGGGATACACAATGAAGAAACACACCAGATGAATTCATTGTAGTATTCAAACGACTTTCCATCCTTTTATGCCTTGGTTCACATTAGGTTAATATTTTTTTTTTTTTTTTTTTTACAGAGAGAGCACTATCGCTGAAATCTGCCAAGGACTCAAAGAATACTTCAATGTCATGCTGGGCACGCAATTACTCTACAAGTTTGAGAGACCTCAGTTTGCCAATGTGAGTATTCGCTTCGGTCTGATTGAATAGTGTGTGTGTAGGATACACATCCTGTGGACATTGACCCCAGAACAGCCACCATTATGACCATGATGGTCAGTTTGGGCCAAAAGTGGGCAAAATGACCAAAACGTTGTGAGTAGGGTCAATAACACTGATGATTTGTATGCCTCTTTTACGAAGAAGCCCGAGGCATTAAGTTTTCGGGTTGTCCGTCCTTACGTACGTCCGTCCCGTTTTTGTGATTGTGTTATCTCAAGAACTGATTGATTGATTCCTGCCAAACTCCGGTCATGTGTGTATCTTGCAGAGCCAATGAATTGATTAGATTTTTGGGTTAGGAGGTCACAGGGCTCATTATGTATGCAAAAATATCTGGTGATCACATTATCATTAGATCAGATAGACAGATCACCATGAAACTCAGGACATGTATGTATCTTGCTGAGACAATGAACTGATTAGATTTTGGGGTCATGAGGTCAAAGGACATGGGGCTCATGTATGTATGCTAAAATAGCTTGTGATCACATTATCATTAGAAGTGACGGATGGATTACCATCAAACTCAATACATGTATGTATCTTACAGAACCAATGAACTGAGTAGATTTTGGGGTCATGAGGTCGAACTACAATCAAACTTGAATTGGAAAAATTGCTTCTGTTTTGGTTTGTGAAATTGCTCTATGACGGAGGCATCATTTTCGACTGCATACAGTCGAAGTTCCATCTACATGTAGTTGAAATTGTTTCTTTTTTGGTTTGTGAAATCGCTCTATGCCGGAGGTATGATCATTTTCGACTGTCAAAGATCCATCTTGTTTAATCAGCACATAGTTTTACCCCGAATAACCTATGCCAAACTTCCCCATCAAAAATTCTGATTAAACCCCCTTGTCTCATCAGATATATAACAATGCCACAGCTGATATTTCTTGTCGACTTTTTCCCATGATGCATCACATGAAATTGACTAAACACTGGTTTTGCTAGATGGTATTGACTGACTTAACTTACTTGACTTATGCCGTACACGCAGGCGAGGGCCCTCCTGATGGCTTCTGTATGGTGATGGTATGCCAGGTATTTCTGTCTGCAGCCAGTCTTGATGCATCTGTCAGCCTTGTTATGGATGGCATTATTTTCATGTTATTATATCTTTTGTGAAACTATTTTCCCCAGATCCTAGCAGCTCACCCGGATGAACCCATGTCCAGAGTATACGGTGCTGTTCACTTACTCAGACTCTTTGGTGAGTTAATTAGACTCTGTATTAATGAACAAAAGGTCATCCCAACATCTTGAATTTGTATTACGAAACAAGATGTTTATGTCTAATGATTATCTTTAAACTAACATTTGTTTTTGCAAGGCAAGAGCTTCTTGTCTTCTTGGTTGATTGATTGATGGAGTGATTGTCATATTTATTGATCGATGGATTCTTTTTTTTAAGTGATATTGACGAATCTTGTGTTTTATGTCATTTGTTTCATAGTTGTTAGGATATGGGAAAATAATAAAGAGGAGTTTTATTACTTGAAGGATGGTGTTTTCCAAAAGCTATAAAATAGAGTCTTTACCCGGAAGAATGCAATTCCTTGGCTAAAGCAGGGGTAATGATATGTTTGCAGGACCCTCGGGGAGAAGAGTATCAAAATTGATGAGGCCACCCTGGGTAAACAAGAAATCGTATTATTATTATTATTATTATTCATATGTGTATACAGAGCTGCCAACCATTCTGTTTTTTCCTGGAATTACTCCGTTTTTTCCTCCAAATTACTTGAAGAGAAAAATATTCTCAAAAAGAATGAAACGCCGATAATACGAAAATATCAGCAACAAAATGCCTACTTGTAATGGCTCTATAGTTCCTAATATGGAAAAAAACAACATGAGGAATGGACATTTCTGCATTGGAAGTTTGTTGCGTGTCGTGAATTTTGTTTTAATGAATTCCTTTTTTTTGCTTGAAATTCCTTTTTATTGTCTTACAAGGTTGACAGCTCTGTGTATAGCTAGTCAGTATTTTTGGTAATAACGTCCAACCCCGTTCTCTCTTTTCACCAGTAAAACTCGGTGGAATGCTTGCCTTTACACCCGTCGACGAGAAGAGCATGCAACTCCTTCTGACCCACGTCCACGACTTCATGACGTATCTCAAGAAGAACTCCTCCACCCTCTTCAAACCCAGCGACTACGAGGCTGCCCCTCCCGAATACCATCGGAAGGCTCTGTAGCATCCATAACTTGTTTCTCTTTTTAAAATAAATTCTCTTTGCCAATGTGATGTATGGATGATAATGATGTAGAGAGGTGTCGTGGTCTAGCGGATGATACATCGCCTGACTGTGGATCATATGGTTTCGCGGTTTGAGTCCCGCCGCAACACTTATGTCCTTTGGCAAGATGTTAATCTACATTTGCCACTCTCCACCCAGGTGAAGTAAATGGGTACCTGGTAGGAAGAAATTCCTTGAATGCTTTAGCACCTTATGGCAGCTCAGCTGTAGCGTACATATCCACCACTCAAGGTCCTCCAATATCACCCCGGCTCTGCTATTGAAGCTATCGATCCCAGTGCTCACAGCATTCAAGCAATTTCTTATCTCATGGATAATTTCTACATCTGCCATGGATACAATTTCACAATGCATATACCCGCTTTTGAGTGAAGAAGAAGAAAGGATTGCGAAGCTATTTTCAGCCCAAAATTGTCTGTCAAACATTAGGGTCTGTTAAAAGCAAGAAGGGCATTAACTCTGCGCAAAAGGCTCCCCACAGATGATTTAGATTATCGGGTGGGGTTTTGCATGGTAAAGCCTTGGTCCGACACAAGGCGGTGAGTTGCCTAAAAAATAACAAACAAGAAAAATGCAGCAGCAAAGTACAATCCGCTTTTGATATGTGTATAAGAATTGTAAGAAGCGATGTCATGGGGAGATAGCTGCTGATAATAGTGGATAATAATTTAAACAAGTCATAATGATTTATCTGCTTGTAATATTAAACAAATTGTGTGATCTGCACTGTGCTTTTCCTCATTTTATTTTGCTGCAGCAGTTCTTAAGGCAGTTTACTGCTTCGCGGGATTTTCACATAGAAGTCCCCCGTTCTGGGGCATGTTATAAGAAGTACCCTTTGTATGAACTACACTACATTTTGTTGTTACTTTGTGTAGTTTGTGGCTCATGCATGTGCTGGAAGTTTAGCCTGCATATCTCATTGTGGAATGTGTACATGAAACCTTGGCCTGTTTATTGCGGTAACCTGTAGCTTAAACGCAATGTACTAAAGATCATGAAGGAACATTGTGGATATTACGATACTGGATCGTATATGTGTGACCCTTGACCTTTGACATTAGTTTTTGAGCAGACAATACTCAAGACATCTCCATTTTTCCAATCATTTTGTAAAGTTGTGTCTACAAGTATTTTAAAGAAGTGCATGAGGTCTGATGAACTTGTGTGTATTAAACTGCATATGATTTTTAATGTATAATAATTAACAGCTGTAAATATATTTGTGTTTTTATTATCATTATGAAATGCAGTCATTTATGTTTTACATGTGTACTACCTTTGACGTCATGATTAGGAGTAATTATGCAAATGTATGATCTTGCTTTGGAAAAAAGCAAATGTATGAGGTTGAAAAGATAAATGCAACATGAAGATGAGGTTTGCAAGATTAGAGATGCTTTTATCATGTGTATTTGATTTCAATTGTATTTCAGATGTGTTGGTAGTATTGGTATAGATGTACATTAAAACATGCATGGTATCTACATGCAACAACAACAATAACATTTCATAAGCGCTCATAACCATCATAAGGATTGCTCAAGTCTTGTAACAGAGTAGTGTTTTAAACAAAATTCATAAGGCAAACTAAATATTCAAGAATGAATGGATAACAGTAAGATAAATGTCAAGAGGAATTAGCAGTGATTCTGCCCTCAATTTTTGTTTTGAGCTGTTGAGTTCTCATATAAAGAGGAAAACATGAAATTTACTGTCATATATAAAAGAAACAGTGCCAGTCAAAGACACACTTCAATATTGCTAGAGGAATAGATAATGTCTAATCTATATATTCTACAATGTATGGCATTGTACATGTGGCTAGTCACTGGGCCCTATGCCACGTTTTTTGGAGTGAGACACAGATCTTGACAGATTTACGAGTAACTACGGTAACTGCCAAGACCAAATATGGCAGAGAACGTAAGGGGCTCAACAAGTAATTTTTGTGTTTATAAAACATTGATGTGTAATATTATTGTATTTTCAGTAATATTCATTACCTGTGTAACTTCATTTTCAGTGTCCATTTTCAAGTCGGCTGCCTTTGTTAGGAGTAGATGAAAATATTGGAAATCAAATCGTCATACCAGCTGTAAAAACATGTAAGGGGCTAAATACGTAAGGGGCTCAACAAGCCAATTTATGTGTTTAAATATATACAACATTGGTTTGTAATGTTATTGTATATTCAGTTATATTCATAACTTGTGTAGCATTTTCAGTGTCCATTTTCAAGTTGGTTACTGTTTTCAATAGGAGTAGATGAACAGATTGGATATCAAATTGCCATGCCTCAGTCAGTCAGTCTTAATGTCATTTTACCAAGCAACTAAAGCCGTCTGCGCACTATACGATCTTCCTGCGATCTAATTTTCAAATCATTGAAAGTTTAGAAGATGGAATGTTCATATCAAATGCAATTGCCAATTCTTCCAAAATCGGATTGTAGGCAGATCATATAGTATACAGTGGCCCTTTAACATTTTTGTGTTTCAACGTGTAGGTAGGGGAAATTTAGAAATCAAGTACTAGTCGTATGCAATTAGAACTGTTCAGAAAACATAGTTGTATGTATGTTGAATCCCTCCAATTCTCTTTGCTTTTTCCTGCCTCTCTCTCTCTTCCTCTCTCTCTCTCTACATGCAATTGTTGAGATGTATCTGGGTGCACTGCAGATACAAAATTAATCAATTCTGGTTTAAAGCTACATTAAATCATGTGGAGAAGTCTAAACTGGTATTTGAATTTTTATAGTAATGTGCATGTAATTGTGGTTGAAAATTTAGGACATGTAAAGTTTCATTTTCCCTTTGTTTTGTGGCTAGTCATGTTCAGTATTAAATGTAAATATTGTATAAAGTCACTATTTTTGCAGCTTGGTAGCATCTTCATTATAATGCTAGCTTTGATTCTGGTATTCATCATTTGTTTATGTACATACATGTTATGAGCATGGTAACAAGCCAAAAAGAAATAATCATGATAATAAATGTCTTTTTTTTGTGAAGCAAATATTGTTTTGTTTTTGTTTTTGATGGTTATGAACAGGGAACATTCATTCACAAGTGAATACAGTTGAGGTTTTCATTCAAGATGCATGAACAGGTATAAAAGAATCCATCCAGAGGAAAAAGATGTTGCAAGGTAGTTGATTCCAGGAGGGGGAGAGGGGGGGGGGGGGAGGGGGGGATATGCATATGATTGGAAAGCATTGTCATCTGTCATTGTGGATAAAGTCACAATTCTTTTCTTCCCTCCTTATTCTCTCTCACTCCCTTCTCTCGACCTCTCCGTCATTTTTCTCTCTTCACCCCACCCTCTTTCTCTCTCTTGCTCTTCTTCCTCTCTTACACTCATCTCCCATTCTCTCTCTTTTAACTCTTCCACTCTATTCTCTCACTATATTATCTCTCTTCTCCCCCTCTCTCCCTTTCACTCCTCTCATATTTGCCTCTCTGTTCCCCCAACTCACTTTCTTTAAATGTGTAACTGACTTGACAAAAAATAGAGATACATATTTCATCTATAAAATGTAATTTATTACAAAGAAAAAATGCTATTGTTGGTGAAAGTCTCCCTCACATGGTTTTAGTTCCTTTTAAGTTTCCCTACATGTATATGGCTAAGACTAAGAGTGGCACAGCTGATGAGAGAGATGTCCAAAAACCGAACCCATATCACAGCTTGGACACCCAATGGTGAAATGTAACGTGTATTTTGTCTCCCTTTAAAAGAAAAGTGAGTTGTATAACCTGTAAAGAAAGGCCACCTGTCTACAGTGGTCACTTTTTCTGTTTCCCTTCAGTGGCCTTTATAGACAGGTTCGACTGTATGCGATTATCTTCAGGTACTGTTCCAATGGTGCAAAGCACAACGCACTTTGAAGACTAAAAAGTCTGTATGCCTGAAGACATTGGAGCTTCCACTAAACAACACTTCCCGCTCTCAATCCATGCGCTGAAAGGGCATTTGGTAGACAGGAATGGCATCCAAACTTTTTCACCTAGATAAAACTAGTGTTTTATTGGAGTACCGTGAATACCTTCTAGGGAGTGTAGCATGGCGAAACTACCGGTACATGTCTTTCCCGTGGCCGTGACAACTTCGGTCTGTTTCGCAAATGCTGACCATGTAGAGATTAAGTCGCTGACTACCGTTGATCAAGTCTATTCATTTACGTGCAGTTGTCCAAAAGAAGACGTAGATGGCGTTAACAAGCACTTGCCAAGCTACACTCCCTTTTAGCACTGTAAGAAACAAATACTTTCATAATAAAAGTATGGAACGATCTTCGGTATTTGTTCTATCGGTCTAAGGTAATCCATTATCTTCCGGTACTGTTCTGACGTCACAAGGGACAATGCTATCTGAAGATCGAAGGATCAATGTGGCGGTAGGCTTTGAAGTTTCCCAGCTTGTTGCCTTTGGTGTCATAGTGGAACTTGTAGTAGCAGACATCGCAGAAGAAACATGGATCGGTTGGTGATAGTGAGTCTTCTTGGGTCATCCATCTGAAAAAGTAATAACAATAATAGTAATTGTAAAGGTGATCAGTAGTAATGGTGATAATTATATTACTACTACACTTTTACTACTAATAATTGTCAAGGTTGCAAAAATGATTCATATTTGTAAAGTGCACAGACCTGTATCTGCCTTTAACGGTACCAAAGGTGCACAAAAATATTTAGAAATTACGCAAATGCACACCAAAAAAAGAAAATACATCAATTATTTCGTCAAATTTCAGTCGGTTCCTTTGAATGAGGTATCATATCACAGGTAATTTCTTACTCTTTCCAGTGATACCAAGAACCAAATTTTCATTTTGGCAATGAAGTGTAGGGTTTTGCCATAGCAGGGGGTGTTTCACAAAGACTGAGATCGACTATAAGTTGGACATAACTCATGCCATAGGCTGCTCTCACCATTATGATCTTTAGATAATATATTTTCATTCAATAATGAACTTTCACAAAAGATAAATTCTGTAGATTTGTACGGTCCTTGAGAGACCAATAACTGTGAGAGACAACAGTGGCATGAATGGCCTGTCATAGTTAAGTCCAACTTAAAGTCGATCTTAGTCTTTGTGAAACACCCCCTGGTCCCATATACTTACTTTGCAGTAAGCGTCTTGCATCCAATACAGGAGTTCCTGTAGAAAGCAGATTGGTTGCAGAGGAGAGGAAACTCTTCGAGATCCTGGCAATCATTTTCATCCATGAACCTACAAAGAGAAACCCAAGATGAGATATGTCAAATGTTTGAAAATACACCTTTAATATGGTGATTAGAGAATCCAGGGAGAAAAAAAAAAATCTGGTCCACATCAAAGGTGGTCTGGAGAACTGCCAGACATCTCAATAATTTGCAGCTGATAAGGTTTTCTCTCCCTCTCCAGGTGGAAAGCCCTCAATTACGATGGAGTTACAATTGTTTTTATCCTTATGACTATTAGGGTGACCCCAATCTGGAGAATATTGTATTTCTATTATTCAAACAGTCATATGGGTCATTCCATGGGGTTGGGGCAATGTTTGTGACAGACCAGAAGAGAGAAACTATGTCTCCTACCAACCATAACAATGTTTGCTCAAATTTAGTTTAGCTTAAAAAGCATAGCCACCTATGTTTAGAGGTACTCTAGCTTCATGGTAAATCGATAATATAGACCCAAAGTTTATGTAATGTTATATCAATTTGATGACCATGTAAACGTTGGTGAAAAAAGAAATGCAGGTTAAGCAAAGATTTTGAAGAGAAGCAACTGATACAGGAGTGATTCTGGCAGGTCACTACTATATATGTGTATATTCATTGCATGGAAATCTTCAACAAATGATTCATCTTATATGTGAATTAGAAGATCTCATACCAATGTTACATGGACGTCGTCATATTTTGTGCCCCAACCTCATGTAATGACATTGTAATTGTTTCTAGAAAGGGATTAATATCAGATCACATTGCAATAAGGAAAATATGTAAGAATCTTTTGAGAAAAGCTCCCCAACAGATATTTTTATATGAATAAATTAATAAATTATTGTGATGTGGTACTGTGGAGGGGTTATTAAGCCCCACTGCACTACTTATAGTTACTTGCGCCCTCTATATAGCAAACAATGCCTCATCGGTGAACATTGGTCCCCCGTGGTCCCCTTTTTCTTATGTTAATTGAGAGCTGATTTGAAGAGATAACCACTTGTCAGTGACCCTGCAGGGAGGTCTAATCCCTCCTGGCCAAACTAGTGCAGATGGGCTTTAAAGAATGCTTACCTGATATCAGTGAAGGTGATGTTGTGTTCACAGTCTCCCTGATGAACGTACAGATAGGGGAAGCCCAGTCTGATGGACAGATCGTTGAATGTTGTCTCCTCCATCTTGGCTTGCTTCATCTCACCCGAGATGATCACACTCTTCCCTTGAGCTATCCACTGGCGCAGCGGTCTGTCAGGATTAAACAAAATAACAGGTGAAACAAAACAATATGAACAACCAGGGGGTGTTTCACAAAGACTAAGATCGACTTTAAGTTAGACTTAACTATGGCAGGCTATTCATGTCACTGCTTCCTCTCACCATTATGGTCTTTAGATAATAATTTTTCCTTCCATAATGAATTATCAACAATGACGGTCGCATCTTACCAAGTACCCATTCAACACCTGGGTGGAGAGTAGCAAGTGCAAGTTAATATCTTGCCAAAGGATATTAGTGTCGTGTATTTTTTTGTAAACATTCATAACTATTTATATGCATAAGTTTCAAAAGTAATCCTCGCACGATTTCTTTCAATATCAAAACATAGCGAGGTTCTGATATCTGTGGTGAGCATTGTAGATTGTTACTCACCCTGTAATATCCCTTGACTTGGGGTCTCTCATGTCACTGTAGAAGGTATCTTCTATGAAGATGAAGGAGGACTTGTAGAGATCCTGGGCCCTGGTGTCGTCTGCAGTGTCGGGGTTCTCGCTGCACTCTCCGCACAGGTAGACCAGGTCCATCGGGCACAGGAGCTTGTCCTTCAGGGCAGAGAGGGGCTGGTTGGCATGGACCATCAACTCTCTGTCGTGCTTGACCTGATGATACAGAAAGAGAGATTGAACGATAAGATCTCTATCCAGACCTACCAACTTCGGGAGTTCAAAAACTTAATCCTGAAAGTTGTATTTTACTGACAAAGATTGTATTTTAAAAAAAAACATGGACCAATGCCTCTTACAGTTCCTGTGGGAGTGTCGTAGTCGAGTGGTTTAAAGCGCTTGACTGGAGATGCAAAGGTCGGGGGTTTGAATCCCGACACGGCACTAATATCCTTTGGCAAGATATTAACCTGCACTTGCTACTCTCCATATAGGTGTTAAATGGGTACCCGATAGGATGCGACTGTCATTGTTGGTCAAACAGTTTTGAGCGTCAAGTAACGCCTGGCTGGAATGCTCCCCAGGGAGTGGAGATTGTGCACGCATTGTGTGCGGGCAAGCACTGAATCCAATAACTTGGGTAATAGTATATCTGTAAAGCGCTTAAAGACATTTGTATTAAGCGCTATATAAAAGCGGATTATTAATATACAGGAAACAATTTGTGTATGGATCATTGGTTGAATATGCAAAATTTCGTCACGACGGGCGTGTTCGATTAACCCATGACCAGGACAGAATGGGCATTTTGTCATTGAAAATGGCACACACACAAGTTTTTTTGTTTTGTTTTAGAAAATCGTACGGTCGTATTTACTTCTAAAAATCATACGAAAGGCGATTAAATCGTACTGGTTGGCAGCTCTGCCTATCTTATAGAGAGTTGCAATTGATCTGAATCAATCAAGTGTTTCTCTGATCAATTGCAAGTTTGCAGTCTCCTAATTCTTATTTACATAGTTGCGATTGATATCAGCAGATAAGATGTGATTAATCGCACTGTTAATAAGACGGGTCCCTGGATTTGAATAGTGCATATTAAATTTTTACTACGTTTAAGCTTTAAAAAAAAAATGTATAGTGCATATATTATGTAAATTCAAGAAAGCTGTGCATTTTTCATTTTGGGGGGTTTTTGTGACTTCCCCCCCCCCCCCCCCACAGCCTGCTTCAAATTTTAGACCCCACACACAGGCACCTTCACAAATTTTCATTTTGAAAATGGACAATGAATACGAACCTTTATGAACCTTTTGAGAATGTGAAAATCTTGATTTCATTACTTTACATTAATTTGGATCTCATTGAACTTCTATTGCTTCATGAGTTTTATTTAGTAGATAATTTAAGAGAGCAACAGTTTCCAGGAACCACAATGTTTCCAAAGGAATAACTACCAGTGGCGACTCACCATGCGCGAATATATAGGCACTTTGTTGCTGACTGTCATTGTCACAGTCAGTAGGACGACTGGTTCAGTGATGGTGCCGGGAGTATCCTTGCTGTAGCTATACTGTTAACATGGCATAAAGAAGAAACATACATGTACAAAAACAAGAATGGGGTGTTTAGCATCACGTAATGCTGATGTGATACACAGTTTTTAAAGAAGAAAGAAAGAAAAAATGAAGACACAAAATGGAGAAATTTCACATGTCAATGAATGGCAAAGAAGACATTAAAAATGGGATGCATGTATCACATGCCTAGACTCAGTTTTACTTTATATTTATATGTGTTTTATAAGATATTGAAATGTGTAGTATTCTACAATATTTCTTTTCACCAGGATATTTTCTTCATTTATGAACGATGCTTACTGGGTAGGGGGGGGGGGGGAATTCAGTTAAGTTTAAAAGTAAGACCAAATTTATCACAATATATAATAACAACACAGTGCAAAGAGACACAAGACAGTGTGATACCATTTAAAACATGGTCAATTTCATACAAACTTTAAAAAAAGAAACATGCAAACACATCGATGCTATTTTTCCTGTCAGCGCACAACACAACAATAAATGTTTCATCAAAGACACTTACCAGTAAACTTGTAAATGATATTCAATTTGCTATGCCAATACTGGGCAAGGAAGTAGTACATACTAAGCTACTAATTGATTCTGTTGTGTCAGATAAAGTCTATACTCACATGGGAGAATGACTTCTGTGAAGGAGGCCCACTGCGTCCATATTTAGCTGCAGTAGTAACCCTTGACCTGCAATCACCAGTACATCAAAAGAATCATTAATGTCAGGAATTAGAAATTCAAAAACTGCAAAAGCCCAACAGTTTTTGACAAGTTCACAGGCTTTTATATTCTTTCAGTTTAACGTTATTAACCTAAATGCATATTATGTACATGTATGAAAATCAATTACCTCAAAAACAAAGAAGACACAAACATATGAGCTCAAACTGTAAAATAAAGTCAAAACACGTTAGGGCTGCAATTGGGTTTTTAGGTTGGGTTTTTAGGTTAGGTTTAAAGTTAGAGAAAAGGTTAGGCATAGGGATGGTTGCAGGGTTGAGGTTAGAAAGTTTGTAACTGTTAGAAACCGACTCCAAGCCCCTGTTTCATAAAACTTGATATCAATATTAAACAAGTTACGATTATTGTTATAAGCTACTGAAATCCAGTTATGGTCATGCGATTGCATTGTGAAAGAAACGTTGTGGAATCGATCAGAAAAGGTTGATCATCTAGCATCTAGCATCTGCAAGGTTCTGGAATCATCAAAATGATAAGAAATTTGGCCCTTTCTTTGTAAAGTTACAAGCACTATACACAGAAAGATGTATATGGGACTACTCTATATCTCTCACAGACCATGAGAGAAACAAATTTACCAAATATATGAATTAGTAGGCGGTTTCCCGGCAAATTTTTTATCATCATGTATTAGTCAAAACATATTCTTTCACATGATTGGTAATGAGAGCTTCCATTTCATTTTTTGAAATTGGGGCGTTTCCAATACTGGTCTTTACCTTTAATAACAGGTTTTCTGAAAGAGGGCCCAGAGTGATTGTATTTGGAGTGCCACCTGCTCAGGCTGCCCATACATTTTAAATACTTTCAAATTGACTGCAATACAGGATTTCTGGTGGTCAAGGGCGACAGTTGAAGATAAAGTTGAGGGCTGGTCACTTGATAACATTTTGAAAGATACTATCTGCAGTTTTTGAATGATAATATAGAATGGGTACAGCTAAAACGCATGTGGCATACAAAATTGGTCGAAAATGTTTAGCATTTTTTCATCATATTCTTAATATGAGGGAATTTGATTTTGAAAAGAAATCCTTGTCAGGAGACATTTCTACTAGGATATTATTCCAAACTGATAAACAAAATATAAGAAACCTCACAAATTTTTTGTCATCTAAATACTCAATCTTATCTTCAACTTGAGCCCTGTCAAATGCTAGTTGATACCTGAGTGTTTGAAGTTGTTCTCCTGCTTCAGGAAGGACCCCTTCCATGATGTTGTCATGACAATGCCTCGTCATGCTGTGAACACCAGTCACAGAAGTGTGTAGGGTATCAATGCTGTCAATAAAGAATAACGAAAATAAAAAACAAGGATGCTACATGTATAATGCTGCAGCTGTACCTCGATAGAAATAATAGAAATCATTGATAGAATAATATTCTCAAATACCATGTAGACTGAGACTCTACTTTACAGTATGCTGACCTGGCTTATTATTTTTGCATCTAATTAGCATGACATTTACCTTGATAGACCAGTTATTTTAAAAGGATTTTTAAAATTTTAGACACAAATTCCTTTCATATTAATTTAGGGTGATAGAAGACATGCTACACCATGGCTCAGTGGTAGAGGATTAGCTGGGACTTGGGACCTCCCAGTCTTGTAACTGGGAGGTCCCAGGTTAAGTCCATGCACTCATGCCTTTTGGTAAGGGCTTAATAGGTGACTTAAAGCCGTTGGTACCATGGCTACTTACTTACAAGTGTATACTTTCTCAGCAGTCAGGCAAAGCAATTCTCAAACAACATCAGAAACATCAACGAAGTCAAAAAGATCTAGGTCTAGTAATAGTATCTAGGAATTTATTCTAAAAATTAACATCGTCATCTTTTCTTCTTCAACATTATCAACATCAAGTTCAAGTAGGGTTTAGTAGTAGTACTAGTACTAGATCTAGAACCTAGTATCTTTCTTTGAATTATCATCTTTCAATTCATTCAATTCAATGTAACGTTTGACATTTTGGTAACAAATTAATCAATGAGTCAACACTTAAAGAACTACATGACAGAGTGAGGCATGCGAAAAGAATTACAACTAGAACCAGAACTCGAAGGACCAACTTGAGGCAATGAATGATAAATTTTATCGAGCTTGAACTGAATTGATCAACTCAAGTCAAGGCAGCGCCAAGTAACAAGTTGAACTGAAGTTCATAATCATAGGTCTACTCATCATCAGCTCAATTCAAGTCAATGTTAAAAAATACCTGCAAACATCTGCTAACTCCTTAGCAATTCCAGGATCCACTCCGAGTTCTTTTGCCACTTCCTCATGAGAAAGATGCTCCTTCCTATCGAAATCAACATTCTCTGTTGTCAAGCAGTCCCACATCTTGGGAAAATCGGCTACGGCCATCATAGCAGAACGCCCCCGAACCTCCCCGGCAGGATTGGACTCATTGTCGCTCATACCTCCTGCTGAGCTAGCTGAGCTAAGTGAGCTGCGAGTGCGATGATATTGCAGAACTCTGAAGCAAAATGGCAGCTTACAACTTTAAGGTTCCCGTGGCCGACCTTTTCTTCTTGGTTTTCGTTCGCCAATGTAATGTTTGGTAATTTCTTAAACAATTTATAATAATTAACAATATTATAAAGGAGTCTGTCTGAATACAGGGCTGATCTTCATTCAATTCAACAGAGAGCTTATGTTAGAGAGAGGATTTCCTCTGAGTTACTTCCGTAGTGCTTCTATCTTTTTTCGGGTTAAGAAGGATTAGAAAAGTCGCATGTATCTTGTCTTGCGTTGTCTCGTCTCATAGCTACGTATATGGCAAGCCAAATGCCCAATAAAGTGAAAAACTCAGTTTATTTATATATTTATTTATTTATGCATGTTCCCAATTTCACAATTCTTTGGAGTTATAACATCACATGACAAAGAATATAATATAACAAATCATTTTCAATTTAAGTATGGAGGCTGCCAGGGTAGTGAGCACTAATATTTTGTTTTGGCCCTCGTTTTCCTTGTTTCTTTTTTTTTTTCTACTTTTCTCCTTTTCTTTCTTTTATTTTCTTTCATTTCTTTCCTCTTCTTCCTCTTTTTATTTTTCTCTTCTCTTTCCTTTCTTTTCATTTTCTTTTTTTCTTTTCTAGCCCTTTCTCTCTCATTTCCCCCCTCCCCCTTTCCTCATTTTTCCCGACGGCAGCGCAATTTTACCTACAATATCCTGACAGAGGCGGCCCTCCGGGGGGGGGGGGGGGGGCAGGCACAGTGCCCCCACTTTTTCAAGCACCCGAAAAGTGCCCCTTTTTACATAGGAAAAGTGCTCCTTTAACTTTTTAAGAAGTGCACCTTTTATTTGGACATGTGCCCCATTTCCTTCGACAAGTTCCCATTTTCCTTTGCAATAGGTGTCCATTTTCCATTCTCGTAAATGCCCTTATTAATATCTAGTAAGTGCCCCTAATAAGGTACGTTGAGTGGCTCTTTTCAGTTTTGATAAGTGCCCCCTTCACCTCTGATAGGTGTCCTATTTAAATCTGAGAGGTGCCTCTTTTATTTTGACAAGTGCCCCTTTTCCTTTGTAAGAAGTGTCCCTTCCCCTTTTAATAACTACCCCCATTTTAACTCTGATAAGCGCACCTTATATTTTCATATGTGCCTTTTTTCCTTTCTAATAAGTGCCCCTTTTCCTAATGAAAAGTGCCCCATTAAAACAAGAGCCCCTTCCCCTTTCTCATAAGTGCCCCTTCTCTGGTAAATGACCCTTTTCAAGTCAGGTACGAGAAGTTACTCCTTTTCACTCCAGATAAGTGCCCCCTTCACCTCCGAAAAATGCCCCTTTAAAATCTGATCGGTGCCCATTTTCTTTCAACTTATTGTCCTTTATTACAAGTGCCCCTTTTTCATTCACATAAGTGCCCCTTTTCATATCTGGTCATTGCCACTTTTCAAGTGCGATAAGGGCCTCTTTTCACCTCTGATAATTTCCCTTTTAACAATGATACATGCCCCTTTTCTTTTCTAATAAGGGACCTATCCCCTTTTCATAAATGCTCCCTTTTCACCTCTTATAAATGCCGCTATCAAGATCTGATGGAGGCCCCTTTTCTGTCGACAAATGCCCATTTCCTATCTCATGACTGACTTTTTTTCATCCCTGGTGAGTAACCCCCCAAACACCCCCCCCCCCCCCTGCGTACGCGCCTGGTTGGTGTAGACAAATCATGTACCTGTTACAGCTCATTTTTTATACCAAAGGAAAAAAAATGTCAGTCAGTCACTCACTAGTGTCTTACAGGGAAGTCTAGAATTTAAATGGGTTTCCTTGCATAATTTGAATACTAGGACACTGCTAACATTTAAATTTTACAGATAGGACATACATGACATATTCATAATTCTTGCAAAGTTCTACAGAATGTGATGTTGGCTGAAAAAAGGACATAGTATCTTTAAGGATTAAACAGTTGGATTCATTTAATTGCATCGATATTAACAAAATAGTGATAGAAGAGTCTTATGTTTAAATGTTTTTTTTTTAAAAACATGTTAATACATGTATCTGTAAATGTGTTCTATAATAAGAAACGGATGTATTTTTTTTGTAGAAAGAGTCAGATCATTAACCGGTGATGACGTAACATATATATTATAATCAATGACCATTTTTTGAATGATGTTTTGCTTTACCCTTTGTTTTGTATTTGCAGGGGTTTTCTTTTCTGTTCCCATTGTACATAATAAAGTCCGACTCACCCTATGTTTTTGACGTCATTGTTCTGACAAAGCGCCCCCTCCAAAAGGTAGACTTTGAGATGACAAGCAGGCGTAGATCCAGGGGGCCGAGCGGACCTTGCCCCCTGCCCCCCCCCAATAAAAAGGAACAAAAATTTGTGACCAGAAAATTACCTTTTCTTTTTTGCTCAAGGGGGGGGGGGGTGTTTAGTAAAAAAAAAAAAAAAAATAAGCGCTCACTATCGGCAGGCACGATTTTCAAAATTCAGCACACTCAATTTTAAATTGATTTCGAATTTTGGCCTCCCGCTAAGAAATCCTGGATCCGCGCCTGATGATAAGACACAATCAGTACAAGGGAAAACATGAGGAGAGGAAAAATGAATGACAGCTATAAGTCCAATGGTTTTGAGTTTTTGTCCGATATATAGACACACCTACAGACAGATATATATTAAATATCATATTCATGAAACTCAGAGGCCCGAATTCACAACAGTGGTACAAAGAGGGATTGTACCATGGGTGTGGTACAAAAACCCCCCTCCGAGGTTTAAACCTCTGATTTTCGTATTCACAAAGCAGGTTTAAACCCCCCGGGGGTTTAAACCATGGTTTCAAAAACCTAGGAGGGGGTTTAAACCCCCGGGGGGTTGTTGTGAATTCGGGCCAGAGAGAGAGAGAGAGAGAGAGGATGATTAATTAAGAGAGGTCGAGAGAGCTTCGGGCCGGGGGTGTTCAGGTGAGAGAGAGAGAGAGAGAGAGAGAGAGAGGCAGAGAGAGGCAGAGAGAGAGAGAGAGAGAGAAAGAGAAAGAAAGAAACTAATTCACTATCCTCTCCCATGCATGCAGACAATACCGGATCCTCACATTTTGCTCACCAATATTGCTAACCCCTACACAGTGACTGGACACCCCAAATCGTCCGGATCTTTATAGACAACACGCTCTGACCACTCAGCCGAGGCACAACAAATCTGTTAAACACTGTATAGGTCCTTGGTTAAACCGTCCAATGTTAAACCATATTATAAAGAGCATAAAAGATTAATCCTACAATACGGAACAATCCCTTTTGTCGTGCCGTTACCTCTATTCTTTCTCATTTCTACGTTAGCAACAGAGTATCTCCGTACTTTACTTTGTGCTTGGTCATCGAAAGGATTAAATTCACTTTATCTGCATTAAATCGTTTTATTCTTTTTGATAAGGGGAAAAAAGAAAGCCGATTTCAAACGAAGAGTGTATGTAGAGACTGCCTGAGGAGACGAACGTAGTCGTTATTTCGCACAACTGCAGTTTGGAAGCGTGGAGAACAAAGTTTGGAGAAATATAGTCAACAGGGTTTCTGGCATTTCGGTGTTTCAGACATTTGAGTTAGAAGTGTTTTCATCTTGTCATATTGAAAACAAAAACCCTGTTTAATCTGTGATCATGAGATCCCAACAATTGGTGGAGATGTGGTGAATATATCGTGATAATTTTGATTTTAGACACGCATTTGGGGAAGCACTGATCTTAAAAGTAACAAGTGATGATCATGACGCATATCTGAAGTGGCTTTCAGCTCAAGAGACCGACATGAAACTAGAGTGGCCGATATCGACAGCGTCTCGTCGGCCTAGCTTCTGAACAGTCTTATATCGTGATCTGATCCCTATAGCCCTTGTCGTTCAGCCATCATGATTGAGACTCCGGCATCGTCTCGAGACGAACCAAACTTGACTGTGATATCCAGCCTTCTGAGTCTGACGTCATTAACCACGTCGTCGCTGCTCCTTTGTGTTTTGGTACTCGTTCTCGTCCTGGTCATCTTGACTGTAGATCGTCGGAATTCAGTGACACCGGTTGAAGATGGGGTCACATTATTACCAGGACCGAGAGGGGCCCTAGCAACGGTTAAAGTCCTCTTGGGGATGACTAAAAGAGCATCAAGATGTGAGTTCAAATTACAGTAAATTCATCAGTAAAAAATAATTATGTGCATTAAAGTATTTAAAAAAAAAGTTTCAGTAACAGCAATAGATTATATAAAAAGTAAAAATGAAGAAATTCGAGAGTCGTATGATATCATATCAACATAAAGAACATTTTATAGAATGATATTACGTCGGAAAACGGTAGTGATAGTACAGTTGCAAAATGCAGCTCTATTTATTGATTTATTTGATCTTATCTTTATGAATACAATAATTGAAAGGACCCTTAAATTCATAAAGATGACATGAAATAAATCCATATAAAGAGCTGCTCTTTGCAACTACACTGTCATTACTGTTTTTGAATTTTTTTTTGTTTTCAACTAAATCATTACGTTCATTTCCACTTTAAAAAAAAAAATAAAAAAAAAAAATATATATATATATATATATATATATATTTATTAACAAATTTTTAAAAAAAATAAAAAAAAATCAACTTTTAGGAAAACAAATTGCTGCTTCATCTTTTCGCACTGGAAAAATATTTGTTTTAAAGAAAAAATCCCAAGGTAGGGTCAATAATGCGCTCAACCAACGATTTGACAATTCGTTCCTGTTTTCACGAAGTGACGGTAGTGAGGAAAATCCGCACACAAAGTGAATGCGATTTTCATTCACTACCGTCACTTCGTGAAAATAGGGACGATTATTATATGCCCAACTTGGGTGCCTTTGTTTGATTTGTAGAAAGAGGTGATTGTGATTTGGAAAATCATAACTAATTACCGAAGTTGGACATAAACCTGCGCATCGAATTTGGTCGACCGGGTGGCGTTATTTTCTTCTGCGGCACAGATTGGGGCTTTTTTAAAAAAAAAAGGGGGTCTTGATTTAACCCTAACCCTAACCCTAAACTTTCCCATAGGCTCAACACGCACCTAATCCCAATCTGTGCCGCCGAAAAAATAACGCGACCGGGTGCCCTCGATCATGTCGGGCTTTTTCATCCAGTAGGCCAGGGCCCTATATTTTATATAGAAGCGTTTTTCACTCAGTGCAACTTTCTTATCAATTGAAAAGGTTCTCCCAACATTTACCTAAATATCCAGTTGCTTTGTATCCTCCACCTTCAGACATGTTCGAGAGGACAAAGACATACGGGAAGGTCTTTGGGATCGGAGATGGCCCGGACTCTTACGTCATAATAATGGATTATGCTAGTCTAGAAGAGGCCTTTGTTACGAAAGCAGATCTATGCTCTGACAGGGGTGGACTCATTCGGACCATGCTGGAATCCGTCCTTCCAGAAAGAGGTAAGGCATTCAGGGAGGAGGTGAACCATTAACGTACAATGGGCTCCGACGATAATAACCTCGGGCTCCATTGAGTCTATTTAGTCAAATTAAGTCAAAGGTTTAGGGTTAGACTCAGGGTTAGGGTTAGGTTAGGGTTAGACTTTGGGTTTTAAGTTGTGTTTAGAGTTAGGGATATAGTTGATTTAGGTATAGCGATTGCATCTCAGTTTATTCAGTTATTTTGCCTTTATAAATAGTGAGGCAATGCAATAAATAATCAAAGTGTAATTGTTTGTGACCTCTTTCCAAGCTGCTAATGACGTAGAACATATCAGCCTATCAGAAGAATGGAAATTTAAGAAATTGCAAACTTGTTTGGGAATAAAAATTTCGCGGCCGGGGGTTGAATTTAGGAAATCGGTTTGTGCAGGATACTAGCCGCAGAGCAATCGTTACTGTAGCAAGTGTCGTAAAGCGAGTGAGAATCATGTAAGGTTGTCACGAGACAACTTCGAAGGGTTAGGGGGGGGGGGGCAGCGGATGTGGTTACACCCATTCCCTTTGTGGGCGTGGACGCCCCAAATATAAGAATTGAAACATCGATAAATGCTCTCAAATTTGTTTCAGTTGGCCTTGAACGCAAATGAGTGTTGTACTCATTATTTGATTATTTTTTAATAGAAATTTTACATCAAATATTCAGGATTTATCGTCAAATTTCTAAAATTTCACTTGTGCTCCTAGAACGTAATATGAAATAGGCCAAGAGAGACATTTCAAGAATATCCAGCACTTGACTTAGACTCTCTATACAAATATAGTCTTGGAATGACAGTCAAATGAATTGTAAACAATGAACTACAATATACCCCGATGTTTAATTTAACGGCCACTTACGGAGAAATTTCCAATGAAAATCTTAAAAGGCACATTTTCTTATTATAATGCTAAATATTTCTTTTATGCGTGTGTGTTTTGTTTTGACTTGATCTTGAAAAGATTAACAAAGAGTCTTTTTAAAGTCTCATTTGTAACTTCCTTTCAGAAAACTTAACACATTTTGCGTTATTTTATTTATTCATTATTTTTTTTATTAGTAAGAGCCTCAGCATTCTCACACCACATCAATTTTAAATGAGAGCTGAAACCGATCGCAAAGAAATTGAAAAATAAATTATTTCAATAACCTCGTCCATTACAATGACACATACTGAAATATGCGAATATTACAATGATGCATACGTCATCCGAACAGGAGTATTAATAATGAATGGTTATGAGTTCAATAGTGCGAATATTTTCATAAGTAAGATTAACATTCTATTTAGCGAGGCGTCAGCCGAGTTGAATAGACTTAACGTTAATCTTTCAACGAATGAAAATATTCGAAACATTGAACGAATGAAAAACATTCATTATTTGTTGTATACAACATCGAAGAAGATCTAATAGAACGTTAATCGACAAATTATGCTTTACTCCTTATATTAAAGATAAATTGAAGTTGGAGTCAAGCCTTCCCGATTACATTCAGATTGCCTTCGCGTCAGATACACGCAGGGATACGCGCGCGCACGGCTGAGAGGTGCGCAGTCTGCATATAACCAACAATGCACGGCGCATATAACCAAAAATGCACGACCGTGCAATATAACATCTATTGAATATCATGTGACCAACAATACTCCAATCAAATGACAAGGATCCACGTAGGTGTTGTATAAAGAGAAATAATTACCCTTTAGTTGATTCTTCAACATGAATGCGATCGTGTCGCTAAAATCTCATTAGGGACTTTTAGATTTGCACGTCGACAGCTTTGACTGCAACGTGTGACGTCATTTTAAGGCACTGCGCATGCGTCACGTCGTCTCAGTCGGCGATCGAGAATGCGTCAACCTTGATTTTCCTAAATCTAGTACGGTACTAGTACATGCCGCGTGCGCACAAAATATACAGTTCCTCAAGTAGACAAAGGAACACCCCTTCCCTGCTATTATGTAAACATGTGTAGAACAGGTGTCACATGCATATTCACCTGTTCTACACATTTTTACATAATAGCAGTGAAGGGATGTTCTTTTGTCTACCAAAGCAATTGTTGAGGGTAGAATGAGAATGCTAATAGTGTTACTTCCTGCATGCATGTATATCGTCTAGTGAAATCTAAAAGATTTCTAATTGTAGTCAACATGGGCAGTTGAGTACGTTGACACGCATGATCAGTCGGCGTTCGTCGTGTTCTCGTCCACTCAATCTAAAAGTCCCTATTGTGATTCGTCAACAGGTTCGATCTTCAACAACGGTACAGCATGGAATGAGGTTCGAGGGTTCGTTGCTAAAACCGTCAAAAATCCCGATTTTGGCGCCACCACCATATCCCGCTGTGTCAGCGAAACAATCCCAACTTTATGTTCCGAGCTGGATGCACTCGTTGACGGGCCGTTCGATCCCAAAAGAACCTACCAGTGCTTCTGCGTCGATGTCTTCCATCGCATCGCATTTGGTATCGGCATTAGCTACGAAAATTGCACCGTTAAGAAGTTCATCGACAATCTGGACACCGTAGTTGCCCAAACGCTGGACCCAAGTACCCTTCTTCTTACTCGGCCATCTTTGATAAACTCTTTCCTCTTCAGAGGATATCGGTCAAAGGTATATTATATACATAATTAAAAAAGTTTGTCCAACTTCAATTTCGATATCATACTTTTCTGGTAATGCACATTATGTAAGTAGAAATATAATTTTTGTTTTGGTGTCAGTCCATCTTTTGTGTTGAAAATTCAGTTTGAGCTTATCAGTGGCGTACCTCTACTTTTGAAAAGGAAGGGTTACTTATTTATATTGGACATGAGAACAGGGACGGATCCGGGAATTTATTTTTGTAAAGAAGGGGCGAAATTATTACGAGATATCTATGATAAGTCTAATCAAACAAACAAAGAATCAAGGAAACAACAACAAAAGTGACGTACTTCCAGGTGTATTTGTGTGTCAAACCTTAAACGGATGCATAAAAACACAACGGGGCACATTTTTGTGTAATTAAGGTATGCACAATTGAGTTTAAAGGGGGAGGGGCATGGAATGGTATCTCCATGAATCAATCGATGCATAAAACTAATAATCGCTCGTGTATTTCTGTTCTGGAACCTATAGCTGCGGAGTTCATCTAGCTACGTAAAGACACGAGCAGAAGAGGTACTCGCCAAACTAGATGCCCCCGAACAGTCGTCAAGCCTTATTGCACTCTTTGTCAAGTATATCGAGGGCATTCGCTCATCCGGTAAGGCATCATATTCGGAACCCGACGATGGATGGGTTATCGTCTACAACATGTTCTTTGCTGCTACTGACACCATTCACGAAGTTCTCCTGTGGCTCACACTATTCATCGCTACTAGACCTGATATCCAACTGAGGGTAATATTTAAAAAATAATTCTTTCTTCACATCCAGTAAAAAATGATTGTTTGGTAAGCTTTTGCCTCAGTGCTTAATACGTGGTATTATCTTTAAAATCTCGTCAGCTCAACGGTTGGACAATAGGTATTTAGAAAATCTTTGGATAAAAAGTAATATTCACAGATCTCGTCAACCCGATATTTGGACGTCAAGTCTTTGGGCAAAAGGACAAATTCATGGATCTCGTCGACCCGATATTTGGACAATATTTTGTTGTTGATGAAAATTCATTCGACAAAAAGAACAACTTCACAGATCTCGACAATGTCATATTTGGGCGATAATTGTTTGGATTAAAAAACAAATTTACAGATCTCGTCAACTTAATATTTGAACAATAGGTCTTTGTACGAAAAGAAAAATTCTGAGACATCACAGCTCGACGTGCCTCACAGTCCAACTTGACGCTTGGACAATAAATCTTTGGACGAAAAAAAATATTCACAGATTTCTTCAACCCAATATTTTGACAATAAGTCTTTGGCCGAACACTTTTACAGATCTCGTCAACCCGATATTTGGATATTAAGTTTTTGCAAAAGAAACATTTGAATGAAGAGCACAAATTCATAGATTTTGTCAACGCAGTATTTGGAAAATAATTCTTTGAAAAAAGTCAATAATGGATGAGAAGTAAACAAAATCACAGATCTTGTTGAGTTTGGACCATGTGGGTGAGAAGACTATGGAGACCTGCGTCTTCTTGTCCGAACTAGGCCAACTTGACGAAATATAATGATTTTATTTTCCATTTGTGTTTGATCGATCACATCATACAGTTTTCATCATTTTCCTACGGAGTTCTCCCAGGCTTTTAGTGATAATTTCCTCCCATTTTCCTTTGTAACATTAATTTCAGAGAGGACATCTCATTTAAGTTTGAAATAATAGTTGTTATAGTTTAATACAAGTCTTCCACTCTTCCTGGTCTCAAATGCGGGAAAAATAAACGTACTTTAAAGGTAATACAAAGTTTTGGGATGGGGTCATGAATTTGGTTCAAATAAACATATTGGAAGCATATGCGATCCTACAATATTCAGGGATCGTTGTTGCGGTTGAAATCGAGTCTAAAGTTATGAAATTGTAAATAATAAACTCTTTATGATATATAGCTCCCTCTCAAGGTCAAGATATTAAGCTATAAAACAATGTTTCTTGACTAAAATCGACCAATTAGCTATTCCCGTTTGGAAATTATATATCACAACTACATATTCTGAGATTTTACTTGTCACAGCTACCATTGTACGGCTGTAGGCGCTATTTGAAATAGCGGTAAATTTTTATATTTAATTTTTCTCGAAAGGAGAAATGTTTTAGGGGCTAATTTTTCTTGTGCTTATAATACATCTACAGGGGCATCCAAATATATCAAAATGGTAAAGAATCACTTTCCACCCAATTTTCAAATTTCCCAAAACTTTGTATTACCTTTAAGGCAGCAATCTTTACTTGATCCTCAGAACTTAAGCCATCTTTATTTGATAATATAAAGGTAGCTAGATGTAATTTGCAAATATTGTGCTACCCCCACATTCTTTGGATTCTAAGTCAAATAAATCTAATTTAATTCATTTTTAACAGATGCGGAAAGAAATAGACACTGTCATGAATTCTGGTGGAAGTGAATCCTTGTACGACCAGCGATCTCGTCTCCCAGTCGTAAGGAGCATCATCCTCGAAGTTCTGCGCATGCGTCCCGTTGCTCCGATGGGAGTTCCCCACGTTGTATCCGACACGGGCAGTATAGACGGATACAGCATCCCCAAAGGCAGTCAGATATTCTCCAACATATGGGGAATGCACAACGACCCGGATATTTGGAAAGATCCATCGGCCTTCAATCCGGATCGGTTCCTAAGCAACACCGGTGTTCTGGACGAGGTGAAAGCCAAGTTGGTGATTCCATTTTCAATAGGTAAATATGTCATCGCAACTGCTATCATCAGATGAAGGTTATTATACGGGGTAAAACAAACTTAAATTGATGACCTCAGATGACATTGCAATTTCCACATTTCGATTGCTCCACTAGTGACACCTCTCCCTTTGTTAAAGAGAACAATATACATCACGTTTTACTATTATGGTACTATAATGACTGCCAAAGACTTAATTATATTTTGGCACGAATGATCGTTCATCATAAACACAATAATCAATCATAAATACCGATGTATAAACTTCTTTATAAAGTGCAAACGAACATATAGGCGCTTTTCTCTTTTTCATTATCCTCCCTCTTTTTGATAGGCTCGTGTTGATATTCATTCTAATTCTTCTTCTATTACCCCTCCTCTCTCCCCCTCTTTCGATCTTACTGTCCCCCCCCCCCCATTCCTCTCGCTCACCCGCCGTGGCTTCTGTATCTATCTACCTTACCCGTCCTGCTCCGTCCCCTCTCTCTGGTAACATAATCATCTTTATCAACATCATTATCCTTCTAGGGCCGCGATCTTGTCCGGGTGAGCAGGTTGCCAGGAGAATCATCTTCCAGACCCTGGTCAGCTTAATTTCCAGGTACAGAATTTCGCTTCCGGCAGGCAGACCTACACCTCAGCTTGTCAACGAGGAGCGCTCATTCACCATGAGTCCCGAAAGATTCAAAGTTATATTTTCCAGGATTCAAGCCGATCCGGTTCAATTGAAAGACCTTGAAATCCCGACTACAGAGTAATGCTTATCGACCGTTGCAAATGTGTTTAAAGCCTATCTGCACAAGTTTGGTCAGGAGGGATTAGACATTCCTGCATGGTCACTGGCAGGTGGTTATCTCATCAAATCAATATGAAAAAGGGGATCATTGGGACCAACCGGTACCGCTTAGGCATTGTTTGCTATATAGAGGGCGCAAATAGATACACGTAGTGCAGTCCTGTTCTAAAGAATGAATAATACACAAACAAAGACAAATAATGAGAACATTTTATCTTTGTTTTTCTCACCATTTTTGAATGAGTAGTTTATTTGAAGTAGAAATATAAAAGTCAGCAAAAATCATTTCTACTTGTTCACAGTACAAGTTTTAAAAGGGAAATTTGACAAATGTTCACCACTATAATGAAAAGCTTAGGTAAACGACATCAAAATATGAAATAGAAACGATCTTTTTGTCTTTGTAGTCGAGCTCTAACACTGATTTATTTAAATAGTCGAGTGCTTGTTTATTAGAATAAACGATTTTTGAATCCTATCTAGCCCTCTAGCTCTTGGTTTCTGGAAATCAGAAATGAAAACAAAAAAGCAATTGTTTCTTGTCTTAATGAATTTAAGAAAGTAAACATCATTGTTATCGTTGAAGAAAGTAAACATCATTGGTATCTATCCCAAGAGAAATACAACATGACTTATACGAGACAACAGACATATATCGAGCAATTACAAACGTTACAAAATAGAGCAAGGAGAACTATTCTGAAAATCAAACCTTAATTACATTTTATGTTACATCAATGCATGAAATATACGTACCGCGCGGTGAGGGACTTTGATATCTTCACCAGAAATTTCATATTAGAGTAATGATGTTTAAAACCTTTAAAGGGAAAATTGAGTTCTGTTTTCAGACTCTTAGTCTGATCTATGACATTTATAATGCCCTTTAAGAACCTAACATTGCTATGAAGGTAATTTTAGACCCCAAAATGTGTGAAATTTAGCCAATACGATCATACCAATTCAGCTCTACTTTAACAAAAATAAGGTGACCGTTAATTAATTATTTAATTAAAAATAACAATACCCGTACATGGGCCGGCTGATTGTGCGTAATATAACCAATTCGAAAATGCCAACAAAATAAGCCAACATCGGCATTGGTTGAAATACGACGTAAAAGGCGCTATTTCGTTTTTTCAACGGTTTTTTCAAATTATCTAATATTGATGGGTACACAAGTATTAGAAATCGTTATATTTATGGATATTTCAGCCGTCTCTGTACCAATTTTGATCAAACGAAGATGATTTTTCATTTAAATTGTATGTTCTTTCAAATTTGACACTCAGTTTTTCATTATTTCACAAAAAAATATTTTGTGTAGAGCCCTCTACAACAGAACTCAACTATCCCTTTAAGCTACACATTCTACTTATCTAGCTTATGCTTTTACTATTTAATAATGACTTCTATTTATGCATACGGCTTATTGTTTGTAAGTTCATTTTCATGGACCTTTATTTACTCTGGGCTGTCAACAATACAGCAACTTGAATGCATTGAAATTTTACGCGTATATTTTATTTGAAAAATTAAAACGGTAACACAGAAAACATTTTGAAATACGTAATCAGCAATTGGATTTCATTGGTAGAGTAGGATAGACATGAAATTAATTACAATTCATGCAGCATTAATATCTCGAGTTGTCACTGCCATAGAGCTAGGTCAGAGCCGTTGTACTTTAAAAGAAGCCTTGATTTATTTGATGTATTATCCGTGTGTCTTTAAAAAAAAAAAAAACATGTTCGGTAATGTACTGATTAGAAGAAATCTCAGATGTTATGAATAAATCAATTATTACTAATATTACATGATGATCAGTATCTATAGTTAAATATGTAAGTAAATGGATTATATTTAAATGTACTTTCAGTTGAGTTCAGTTTGTTCAAAACATAATTTAATCAGATGTTATGGTAAGGATTGCTAACAAACATGACAAACTATATTCTTGAACTCGAATCATATAGCCCGCAACTTCCGAGTTATTTATGATCGAATGTTTTGAGCTTGCTAGAAAATGATGCTCAGCAGCTGTTAAACCATAGTATTCTAGCCACTCTGGTTAATCATTGTCTACCACAAACTCCGAGATTTAAAGTATAAAACATGATTATCGCCAAGTTGTAACACTGAAATCTGGGATTCACTAATCAAGAGATATGTCATACTCCATATCTCTATTTCAAGTAAAGATGTATAAACTAAAGATGTTTTCTTGTATTGTTCAATTTGATGCCATGTTTGTTTTGCTTATGTCAAATGTGTATTAAGTATGTATGCTTATATATTTTTAAATTTCAGTTATTTTCTTTTGATTGTTCTTTTTGTATGACGAAAATAAAAACAAACAAACTCAACAATGAAAAGGATGTGAAGACTATCAGAGACGAAAGCGAGAGAGAGAGAGAGAGAGAGAGAGAGAGAGAGAGAGAGAGAGAAAAAAAAAGATTGGGGGCCGGCTATTTCTTTTCTCCCAAACAGGTTTTGTATTACTTATATTTCCGGTCTTCTGATTTGTTGATATGCTTGACTTCATTAGCAATGGCGTCATCCACAAATCTCACTTCTCGTTCGAGACAGCGATGTTGCCACTCTCTGATTGGTCAGTTAATGGAGGGCCTTGTATGTGTGATGCGAGTAGTGTCGTATCAGCCCCATGTACAGGGAGGAGGTCGAAACGGCCGCGGCCCCTATTGGCGGCGCCCCCCCCCCAAAAAAAAAAACAACAACAAAAAACAAAAAAAAATGAAGGAAAAAAAAGGAAGAAAAGAAGAGAAACAAAGAAAGGAGAAGAGGACAGTAAAGAGAAGAGAAAAAGAAAGAAGAGAAAAGAAAGAAAGAGAGAGAGAGAGAGAGAGAGAGAGAGAGAAAAGAAAGAAATAAGAAAAAGAAGAGAGAAGCCAGGTTTATGTTAATCCGTATTGCCTGAAAAGATTAGTGTAAAAATACTTCTGAAAAGGCCGCTCCCGACCCCTCCCGCAAAGAGCGGTAGGAAGGTAAACAGGAATTTTTGGGGTCACTCCCGAAGGCTTGGAAACTTATATTTTAATTATATTCATATGTAATAACATGAGAACGTTGGTATTTTGTAGGCGAACGAAAGTGATAGAGTCATCCATGAATATAAATATGTAAAGATAAAAAGAAAGTGTTTAATACATTATGACAGTCATTAAACACATATATAGTTCATGTAGTATTGTACTGCACTGGGAGTTTGATTGTTCTGGAATCCCAAATAAATGGAAGTTGTCATTGCAATTATGGTTGTAGCAAATAACTCAGCAAGTTGGTATTTTTAAAGCGAATGAGAGTGATAAAGCCATTCATGAATACAGGGGCGGATCCAGCCTGCGGCAAGGGAGGGGGCCCGAGAAAATATTTAGCGGGACTCAGCCGACCGGGGGGTGGTAGTGAGCGCTATTTTTTTTTCGGGGGGGGGGGGGGTATGGGTATGGCTCTATTTTGTTTTAACTCAACACCCCCCTCCTTTGAGCAACAACAGGGGAAAAGAAGGTTGAGTACTCTAGAAGCTTTACCCGTTGCAAACTCTGTGTGTCTGTTCTCTTTTTCTCTTTTTCTCTTCTTTTAAAGGTTTAAAATCTACTCTTTTGGCCAGTGGAGGGGGGCCGGGCCCCCGGGCTCCCCTGGATCTGCCAATGCATGAATTTACATATGTAAATTTTGGCCCTCAAAAATTTGAAAAATCGCACCCCCCCCCCTTGAGCGCCGGGGGGGGGGGGGGGGGCGGGCCCCCTGGCCTGTTTAGTTGAAATAACGGTCTGCGCGATTTTCAAATTTCCCCCCCCCCCCCCCCCCTCCTACTGGAAAATCCTGGATCTGAGACGAAGGTCTCGTCCTCATTGCGCATGCAATACATGTATTACACTACTCTTATAGTCTAGGCCTATAGAGTACTTGTTTCCTTTTGAAAATATCGAGCCAAGCAAATGTTGTAAAATACATAAAGAAAACATAAAGTTGTATGCTCGATTACACCTTATGCAATACATCAATAGTATCTTTATTTTTGTTCCTTCTAAAATTTGTTCAGAAAATCAAATCTTGTCAATTTTTATTAACCGCTAGCAATGACGTTGTCTTTTCATATTTAATTTGTCTTATGTATGGTACAGTACTGAGTCACTAATTTAAGTTCTAGTCGCTAAATTCTTTGAATTGTCCATGTACTATTTTGACGCAAATCTGAGCTGAGCATAGCCGATAAATATTGCAAATTAGATGGCACTGCACTGGATGTGAGAATTGCACTTGAGACGCGAAGTTGAACACTGCATCATGTCTGGCAAGAAAGCAAAAGGGAAATCCGACAATTCGTTGGAACAAGAGGATGTTCTTCAAGCGGTGGTTATCGCAGACAGCTTCAACACTCGGTTTGCTCCTGTAAGCCTTGAGAAACCTCGAGTAAGTGAATAGTCTGAATACAGATTAGTTTTAGTAGGATGTGGCAAGCAGCTGCTACTCTGACTGAATCGGACCCAGGCCATAGGCCATACCTAGTGCGGCTGCGAGTCCTGCGACATGCGGGCTGTGCAGGCAGCTAGTACTCGAGCTCTTTTGCATGTTGCTCCCGTTTACAATAGACACATGCACCACTACACATGCTACACACAATGATTTATACAGTCAAATAAAGTCGTCTGATAAGAGGCATAACATCCACTTTTAATTGATTGTGGACTTTGTTGATAAGGAAATTTGTAATTTGACCTCGGCCTATTTCCATTGTAGTCTACTATTTTGTAGACTATTCTGCATAATTACATTTCATAGACTACCTCTGATTCTGAGGAAAATCCTTTTGAATAAGGTAGACCTCTCGTTTTCTACCTCAAAATTTTGTTGCAATTGACGAAGGAATCTGTTAAAAGTGTTATTATCATTATTATAGTTTAATATCATTGTGATTCTCATTGTTCATGATTTTCAGGAAGATTTATTCAATTTGCAAGATTCCAAGTCATTTCCAGAACTCCATTGTCTAGACCTACTTGAATTTTCCTATTTAATATTTCATGTCAACCATCAAGAATAAATTCTAGACAGTCTCTAGATTCCAGTGAACTTTCATGACCTGAATTCAGTTATCTTTACCTGATGCTTTTTCTTTTTCTTTCTTTCTTTCTTTGTAGGCGTTGCTTCCTCTGGTGAACTGTCCAATCATTGACTACACCTTGGAGTTCTTGGCAACCAACGGTGTGCAGGAAATATTTGTCTTCTGCAGCTCACACTCGGACCAAATCAAACGTCATGTCGAGTAAGTAATGACTGAATTGATCAGGCTACACAGCGATTGGGCCTTTTTATTTGTAGATAATTATGGAAGTAACAGAAGGGATCTCATAAAAAAAGTTTATACAAACAATCTTCCTCTTTCATACTCATAGAGTAATAACTTCCTTGTAATAAGATAAGATAATAGCAAATACAACTACAAGAATATTATTTGACTATGGCCACTCTAGACAGGCTCATATCTCTTTGCAAATTACTGATATACATGTACAAATGTATACAGTGTCCATCATATGGTAAATAAGATTCGTTTTTAGTATTTACATTCAATGTACAAATTTTATTGATTTTTGTTCGACTTAAGTTTTTTCCCGACAACTGAGATACATTCAGATGGGTAACAATTTAGGAGCTTGACAGGAAAATCTAAAAGTAATATTGATAATAAAATTAACTCAGAGCTTACTTCTGTGTGCACCAAACTTTATAGGACTTTGGAGTGGTTTTTCTGTAGTTTAACTTGTTATAGCTCATTACAGAAGTATATTTAAAACTGATATCTTTGATATAAGATACAAGCATAGAACCCACACGTTTACATGGAGAAGCAAGATGTCCTTGATAGCTGGTCCCCTGAAGTTATCATTATTATTATTATTCTATTAATGATAACTAAATATTATTGTTATTATTATTTTATAAAATTATTATTTCTATAAAACAAAAATTCTCATTATTTTAAAAATTATTATTATTATTATTGTTTTTATTATTTTTTAGTTATTATTATTGTTATTATTATTGTTATTATCATTATTATATTTCTTTTATTTTGCATTTCAACTAAGAAAAGAAAACCTGCAAGATAAAACACAAAGAAAAATGATTGTTGACCATACATGCCCAAGTTGCCAGGGAATTGGAAAAAGTGGAAAACTTATTACTGTAGCCCTTTGGCCTTCCACCCCGACTTGACTAGTATGAAATAATGTTCCTTCTTCAATCCTGTACTCTTCCAGAAAATGCAAGTGGAATAAGAAGACGTCACCATGTCGTGTGTGCCCCGTCCTCTCTGAGGGATGTCATTCGTTAGGAGATGCTCTGAGGGAGATGGAGAGAAAGTCACTGATTCGATCCCACTTCGTTCTTGTCACTGGGGACCTCGTCTCCAACCTCAAGCTTAAGGAGGTCCTGGAAATGCACAAGTAAGTTGGAAGAAGTCTTTGATGTAATGGGAGAAACCTTGTCCTTTGGTATCTCTTGAGCTTTGTTGATTTCGGAGTGCATCAAAAAACGATGCGCTATGCTTGTTAATTACTGCTGCATAATTTCTTTGTATGAAATTTTAAAACTTATTGGAAAATAAGAATAAATATTAGCAGCCTCAATTCATCTTACATGTATGTTTGGCTGCATTGTGAGATATTTGGTTATTGTTTCGTCGGTAGAGTGTTGCTGTGCCAAAAATGTTATCAAAGGAAAATCAGGTACATTGTATACGCCGCAAGAATCTGTTAATTTTCATTCCCTGCTTGCCGATCATAAGCTCATGACTTTGTCTCTCGAAAGATCCAGGGTCTGTCCTCAGAATCTACTTATTAGCAGCCTTGAATTAAAATTTTGTTCACTTGGAAGGTTGAAACTGTACTGTTGACATTGAAATGTCAAATTTTACTGAATTTAACATGATTAATTAAGACGGTTAGCCACTTTGCCAACAATGTTTCTAATTTTTTTTTTGCTTATTCATCTCCAAATTTGTAGCTAGTCTGAGATAAATTGTATTTGGAAGTCATCCCAAATGTATCTTCTTTTTGAAAAAAACAGGAACAGATTCCAGAAGGACAAACTTTCAGCTATCACTCTCGTCTTCAAAGAGGCTTATCCAGGTCATAGGTCAAGGTCAACAGAAGGAGAATTTGTGGTTGCCTTGGATTCGAATAAACAAATTAGTCATTACCAGAAGGTCCAGAAGAAGAGAGAGGTCCATTTTCCAGCTGTGAGTATAAAATGAGGGTGTAACCAATATTCAAATCGGGTGAAATTGGATGATAAATTCTGATCATCGATCAATGAAAAATGATCAGAAAATTATCCACCAAAAAGACAAAAACCATAATTTGTAAAGTTTTGGGCCATCAAATACTAACAAAGCATGCATAGCTGGGTTTGTTTAGTCATTTGGAGTTGTTGTAGACCATATTCTTTGACATCAAGAGCCTTTTTATGATTTGATAACCCAAAACCTGAAAATTTTCAGCCTTTTTTTTTAAATTAAATTTTTGAATTAAACAGCATGAAAATAGCTTTAAACATGGACTACCTCAACTTCAAATGAGAGAATCATCCAAGGTACATGTATGAGTGATTTTAGGGTGCTTAAAATTGTCAACATTTTGCAATTTTTGGAGGCAAATTAAAAAAAAAAAAAATCATCAGTCTTGATCATCCAATCCGATTATAGCTCTTACTTACAGTGTTTGTATGCATTTAGGACTTCTCATCATGTTATGTATGTGTCTTGAATTCTTGATGTCATATTCCAATCATTACGGGAAATTAATAGTAGTGCTGTTTTCAGGAGGAGCAATAAAATGAGATCCTAATGAGTAATTCTTGTGACACCTGTGCAGTTGTCAGCTCTTGAATATCTACAGTTGTAGAGGGCAATAAGAAAATCACTTTTTCTAGTAGCCCCAAAACACTTTGTATTGTAGCAATACAGCATGATTGACTCTGTCTTTTGGTTTCTAATCATTTTGAGAGTGGCTCATTGGCTGTTTAGTAAATCCAGACTGTATATGCCCCTAATATTTAGTATTCTTTGTTTATTATGCCTCCGCTACAGGGTAGCCGGAGGCATTATTTTCCTATTATTTTAGCTCAACTTTCATGCATACAAAGCGAAAAAATAAAAATAAAATCACGTTTAGTGTCCCCGCCCTCTTTTTTTTTTTTGGATGAAAAAACACTGCTAAAATGATTTTTTTTTCTGCCATTTTGAAACAAAACTGGCGACTATCTTGAAAAAAATTCCAGCCGGACTTGGAAAATTTGCCGAGTGGCCATTTTCAAGCAAATAAAAGGACCTCCTTCCCTTTTTTCAAAAAGGCAGGTCGCTAAACATGTTTTTTCTTTTTTTGGGCCTAATAGTGTACACTCCTATGATTTATCATATTACAAGTAGATTGTGTCTTTTGATTATTTTATTTTTCATAAATATTGCTGTTGCAGCGTTTATTCAAAGAGAACAGCCGAGTGAATGTAAGGTATAATCTACTCAACACACACATATGCATCTGCTCACCGAGGGTATCGGAGCTCTTTGTGGATAACTTTGATTACCAGACAATGGACGATTTCATCAAGGGGGTCTTGGTTTCTGAAGAGGTCAGTAGTTCAACTGGGGGGTGTTTCACAAAGATTATAAGTCAAACTCAACTCTAAGTTGGACTTAAATATTATGGAGAGCCACTTGTAGCCTTAAAATGACATATATTCAAAAGCAAAAATTCAAGTATTTTTAGACTTTTCATAAATTCCACACCAAGAACATGAAATTTCCCATGATAGAAGAAAATATGAATGATTTGAATCAACATTTTATGCCTTTTAAAATAACTTATACAAAATATTGTCAAGGATGCTAATGGCTTTCCATAATTGTTAAGTCCAACTTAGAGATAATATTCAACGTAGGATCTTTTTGAAACACCCCCAGAAGTGAATGAATCAATTGAAATTGAGTTGAACAGAAGTGAATGGAGTAGAATTGAATAAGAGGAATTGCATTGAAATGCTATGAACTTATTGATGCATAATATCTAAAATGTAGTAAACTTAATGGAATTGAATGGAGCGAAAGTTAAACACACTGATTTATATGGAACCGAAATGGATTGAACTGTATTGAAGCAAAGTTACAGCATTGTATTAAAGTGAACTGAAACAATTAGAAGTGAAATGAAACAAATTGAAATTGAGTGGAAGGGAAGTTAAATCATTTAACATTAACTAAACTTTTACGATAAAATGAGTTAAAGTGAATTTAAATCAACAAATCTGACACTACAAAATAAAACTGCACCTAAAAAAGACTTTTGTACAAAGAAGTGAGGATACTGGGTTGTAAAGCAGTTATGCGCCTGTTTTATGTCATTATGAATTATAGTGAATTTAAATGAAGAAACCTGACACTAAAAAAAAAATCTGCTTTTCAAGAGGAGTTACAAAGAGTTGAAGATTTTAGATTTTAAAGCAGTTCTGCACCTGTTTCGTGTCATATCTGTACAGCAGCAAGTATTCTAGGTCTAACTTGACAGAATGTTCTGCAATGTTTATATGAACACTCCTTCATACAAAACCAAAATTGTTAAAGGTGAAATCCACCCTGATATTAAGTTGATTTTATTAGAAGCACAAAAATGAGAGAACAAGGTCGGTGAAAGTTTGAACAAAAATCAATTAAAAATATAATTTTGGAACGTGTGATGACTGTGATCAATCAGACACACATTGGCAACTCTGTGAACTTGAAGTATCTTACTAGCTCCACTCCCATTTCCAAGTAAAAAAAAATTATTAAAACAAAAATAATTATATTTTCTGAAAATTTCAATCATACATGTATGTACATTCACCCTGAATATAATTATTGACAATTTGTTTCTATACAACCCCTGGATGAGACCCCTAATCCGTCATCAATAAATAAGAAAAAAAAAGTTTTTTTTAATTTTCTGTTGAGAGCAAATTGCAGAGTAGCTTGCAAGATACTTTACAGTGTTGCCAATTTGTGTTTCACTAATGACAACTTCAAAATTCACAACTTTCCATTTGTAAAGGGATATCGTTAAACTTGCAGTGGTTTGTTCCAATCTTTTTCCAGCATTTATTAAAACCAATTTAATATCAGGGTGGACTTTTCCTTTAATCATCATGATGTTTTCTTTGGTTTCAGATTGAAGGTAATAAGCTGTTCATGCACATCATAAAAGAGGACTATGCAGGCACAATGACCAACCTTCCCCTCTATGATGCAATCAGGTAAGAAATGAATTATATTTATTTGTTTATTTGAAAAAGGTGATGATGATGAAACTGCTCATTTATAAGGTGAAGCTGTGAACGTCTGCTTTTGTATGAGGCATTCTACGCTGAAATATGTATAATGCTGCAGAAACCTAGTCGTTCAGATTTTTTTCATTTGAGGTACCAATATCCTTCACTAGACACCTGTTTGTAAATGCCTTTTCTTAGGGCTTAAGCTTAGCCTTAGGGCATGGATTGAAAGTCACTGTCATGGACATATATCTTTAAATTTAGTTGTGTTGATTTTAAATTGTTCATATGTTTTTTAACATTTAGAATTAACTAGTAAATAGGTCAGAAACTTATAATTTATTCTGAAACTATCATGAAGATAGTGGAACATTGAGAAGTGTTTAAAAAAACAAAAACATTATTGCAGTGAAAAACCTATATTCCTTCTAATTCAGCATTGTGGTTGTTTAAAACTTTAAATGTAGGCAATTTGGCAGATGGTCTTTGTACCTATCTGTCAGGGGCCACATCATATATATGTACCTCCATCCTTCCATCTTGTGTGGGTTATCTACATTGAAAAACCGAGCATAAATTTAATTGAATATGCTTTCTTTTCTTCTTATCTTTGTTTTACAGTAAGGACGTGATCCATAGATGGGCTTTTCCAATGGTACCCGACAACCTCTCCGTCAGCAACTTCCCTTATTCATTATCAAGGCACAACGTTTACCTAGCAAAGGATGTCACTTTAGAAAAGTAAGATTGAATTCATGACTTTTGTTTATTTATTTATTTATTTATTGATAATAATAATAATAATATGTCTTGTTTACCCAGTGTGTGTGTATTGGGTTTTTACAGACGTGTGTCAATTAGATATGATTATTTACGTCTGGGGACCGACCTTTAAACATCACCATCCGAAAGATGTGACTCAGTTTCGAACCTGCGTCCTCGGTTGAATCAGTTTGTAACTTCCACTTTTGGCTGGATTACAGGCGCTCGCCACAACGCCTAGTTAATGTTTACCCAGGGTAGCCTCATTAGTATTTATACTGTTCTCCCTGAGGGCCCTTCAATCATATTATCATTTTTCTTTTTATTGAAACAGGGTAACGCTCTCAGTATAAAAACTTTTTTTCCCTTTACAAATTAAAGGTTAACAGATTAAAGGAAATTGAACAAAGTGCCTTATCATGGATCATTCGATTTTGTTATCATTTTTATGCCTCCCTTACGAAGTAGCCGGAGGCATTATGTTTTCGGGTTGTCCCTCTGTCCGTACGTCTGTCCGTACGCCTGTACGTCTCATGATCGCATTATCTCAAGAACCGATTGATGGATTCCTGCCAAACTTGGGTCATGTATTTATCGTGCAGAGCCAATGAACTGATTAGATTTTTGTGTCACAAGGTCGAAGGTCACATGGCTTATTATGTACCTGTATGCAGAAAACCAGGGAGCGCATTATCATTAGAACCGATGGACAGATTACAATCAAACTCAAGACATGTATGTAACTTGCAGAGCCAATGAACTGATCAGATTTTGGGGTCATGATGGCAAGGATCAAAGGGTCATACATGTATATGAAAATAACTTGTAATCACGATATTCTGAGAACCGGTTAAACCCCCCTGCACTACTTATAGCTACTTGCGCTCTCTATGTAGCAAACAATTCTTTTTTTTTTTAATGTTAATTGAGAGCTGATTTGATGAGATAACCACCTGTCAGTGACCTTGCAGGGAGATCTAATCTCCCTGGCCAAACTAGTGCAGATGGTCTTTAATGGATATATAAAAATATATTCATATGGACACTTAGCGTTCCATACTTAATCAGAGGATTAAACCATAGACTAAAGTTAGTTCGCTTTCGAGAATACCACCCTTACTGTATGTATTGTAATGGTTATGACACTCTCTTACTACATATCCCATCTATTTCTCAGATGAGAGATTCTAAGAGTGAGGAAAAATACTTCAGCAAAGTATTTTAATTACACTGTACATAATAAGGGTCGATAAACAATTCACCATCATGATGAAAATAAATTTTTACTGACAATTTTCATTTGTTTTAAAAACATCCCTGGTACCGGGCAGGAATTAATTCCTTGAAATGCTAGAGTTCCGTAATGGCAGCACAGCTTAAGCCAGGGTAAAAATGTCCAAGTTTGGAAGCGCTTAGAGACTTAATTGTAATTCGCGCTATATAAAAGCTTAGGATTATTGTTATTATTATCCCATGTTTTTTTTAAATTTGCAAATGAGCAAACGTCAAAAAATAAAAGTTGATTTAGTATTGTATTTTATTATATTTGTTTACCTTACAGAGACTGCGTTCTAGAAGAAGATGTAGTCATTGGTCCTGGCAGTCATATAGGTGTTAACACCCGAGTTACACATTCAGTAATAGGAAGAAACTGTAAGATTGGTAAGTAAGATCTTCTTTTTCGCTATAAAGTACAGGCCAGTGTTGGGTGTGTACTGTACTGATATAGGTGCTGTGCTGGGTATATACAGTGTCTCAATAAAAGACCTATAACACCATTTAACACAAGAGGCTAGCCAAGGGTAACCTACAATTCCCACTCATCCCTTTTGTGACAATCATTCCACAATATCTAGAGATTCAGAGCCTTAAAAATATGCAAGATGCGTGAGTTGAAAGGGCACAAATGTCTGCATGCACTGCATCCATTTTTGTTTCTTGACTTTATAGTGTTTGAAGCTAGAAATTCATAAAAGGAAAATAAACATTACAATACTTAAATTGGCAACACTATGAGAGATTCAAATCATCCTTTTTCAATTATAATTGGACATATTTTCAACTTTTCGACTTTGAAAAATGTAATTTTGGCCAATTTGAAGAACAGTATGTGCTCAATTTAGGCCTACCGGGTAAACGTGAACCTGTCTTGAAAAGGTTATATCAACCTTTGATAATTGAAAGGTACAATAATAAGTGAAATAGATAATGATAATTTCAAAAGATAAATCCACAGTTTATTGAACTAATGAGATCAAGATATGTGTTTTTAGTTGATTTTTTAAGATGTAAACTGTTCTGTAGATTCCAACTTTTTCAAATATAAAGGAAGATAGTTCAATGGATAAGATGCAACCTTAGCAAAGGACCTAGATCTCCTGAAGCAATTATTTGTGTCTTGGGCACAGCCAGTCTCGGTGACTAATATGCCATAGACGATTGCACTGACCAAGCCACAGACAATCTGACCTAAGCTCATTCCAAATTTATTTTTATGTCTTTTCTCCAGGTGACAACGTAGTCCTTGAGAATGCTTACATTTGGGATAATGTGACGATTGAAGCTAACTGTCATATCAATATGGCTCTACTGTGTGACAGTGTACATGTCAAGTCAGAAGTTACTATTAAAAATGGCTGTGTCCTTTCATTTGGGGTAAGTATCAATGAATTTTGTTTTTGTTCAGTCTTTTGAGAAATATGTCAACTAGTGTCAATTTGTCTTGCTGTCCCTAACAAAATTATTTAAGTCATAGTCCTAGAAATGTTTTGATTTTTGAATATTAGATTTTTGATATTCACATGTTTGATTCTAAAGGTCTCATTTATCTGTTAGCAAGACAAGTATTTCCCCTATTAATTACAATGTCTTCTAGTTTTTTGCATCGTGATTCTTCTTTTTATTCAAATGTGAAAATAAAAAGAATTGAATTGAGTTTTATGACCATTATCTATTTTCTTCTTCATTTCTCTAGGTGAAAGTTGGACCACACGTGACTCTCCCATCAGGCACCCTCCTCACCAGAATCCCGCCCTCAGCTCAGGGAGAAGATGGGGATGACTTCCAGGACACCTCCCCCAGGGAGGGGGAAACACCGGGGATGGGGCTCATCGATGAGGCATCGGTCGACAGGGGGCTGGTGGGGGAGGAAGGGGAGGGGTACGTCTGGAGACTGGATACTGATGAGGATGATGATGATGAGTTAGTGCAGCAGATGCTCAGTGAGTTGTACAGTCATGTAACTCTGTAAATTCAGGGGCATTCAGTTTTTTCTTTAGCTTGGATGGTCATCATGTAGTCCAGTATGATTAAAAGCTTACGTGATTGTGATAGAATTGGACTGAAGATATAATTTGTCGCCACTATGCCATGAAGCGTCATTTGTAATTGTGCATCTCCTTATTTGGGGAGATTTTCAGTGTGCAAATCTCAGTCACAGAGTGCTAAAAGGTGAGAAAAAAAGTGAAAAAGCTTGGCCTAAAGGTTGAGCATCTTGTAATGATGGAGCCCAGTATGTTTGATATTTGAATATATGAAAGGGGTTTAGAATAATAGCTTCATGTTTTTCATATGGCACTTTTGATTCGTTTGTAGGGGTTACGGCCAATTGACGATTTAGAAATGTTATATCAAAAATTATAGAAGACGTGAGGCTGTAGAGACTCCAAATTCTAATTTTCTTCAAAAGTATCTGGGTAAATGCACATGGTATGCTGAGAAGGGGATGTAACTTTTACATAGAGTCATTGCTATTTTAACTCTATTAAAGCAGATGATTATTATTCTAATGGTACTGGAATATTGTTCAAAATCAACTTTTACCCTAGGCTTAAATCTTACACCAGAAGGAGAAGAGGAGGAGGAGGAGGAGGAGGAAAGCGAGGAATCCGATGATGATCTGGATGATGAAGGGCTCTCGCCTCCGGCATCACCACCCCCAGATGATACAAAATGTAAGAAATAAGCTCAATCTTTATTTGTTATTTCATATAGAAAAAAAAAAGACATTTGAAGATTGAATCTGTTTTGCCTCTTAAACCTGCTCTAACAACTGCTGGCATAGAAAGAGCACCATCTGTATGGTTCCACATTACTGTTTTCCTTGTGCGGAAATTTGCGTTAGGAGAGGATCTGGGTTATTAAAACCACCTGCGTACAAACTACAAGGATCTCTTTTAAAATGTTGTTTATCTCTGCTTTGATTAAAACCAACTTAATATTAGGGTGGACTTTCCCTTAAACAGTTTCCAGAAGTAAGAAGAAAATATGTGATAACTGAGTGTGCACAGACGTGTTGACTGTTTATATGAATCATTGAATTGAATCAAGGTTTATTAAAAAAACATGCGTCGCAGCCCAATGGCTGAATTGATCATGTGTACAAATAAAACACTCATTGTATATTTCAAACATAAATTACTCAGTTGCTTCTCTATTTATAGGGGTGATAGTGTATTTATTAAGCCTGATAATTTCTTAATATAAATCGGTTTCCTGATTTTGTTGTTGACTTTTCGCTATTTTTGTTGTTGTTGATTTGTTTAGCTTTTTTTCTTCTCCAAAAATGGATAGTCCCAGAGATCAATGTAAATCCTGTTTAAAATTAGGAAGATGAGGTTCTGTTTTTTCATGACTTCTAAAACTTAAAAAAAAACTCTTAATAAAACCTATTTTGTTTTTAACTCTCACTATTATCCCTCATTTAAACATGTAATATCTCCTTATAGAATGAATATTTGAAGCTCATGTTTTGGATAGCATAGTCATGAGGCAGCACACTGATTTCATCAATTACCTCTTTAGTCTTTAAGATACGCAACGATTGTCTTTCTGACATAATTTCATCATTTTACTTACAGTGTTTTACAGTGAAGTACTGGACAGTCTCCAGCGAACGATAGAGGAGAATATCAAGGTGGATAACCTTATCTTGGAGATCAACTCCTCAAAGTATGCCTACAACATTGCCATGCACGAGCTCATACCCCTCGTCATGAAAGCCATCCTGGAGATGCCTCATCTCAAAGCATCGGGTCCCCTGTCGTCGCAACAGCTTCTGTTAGCTGTCAAGAAGGTATGTCAATGCAGTTATTGTAGTAACAGGGCTGATGTTATCTCAACTGCTTTTAGCAGCAATCATAATGGTATGTCAATACTCGGTTATTTCATGAGGATACCAATTAATTAGTATTTTCCCTGTTTATAGCTTTTGTATTTATCTATTTTGTTTTTGCATGCTGTTATGTTTTATTCTAATACCAAACAGGGCCTCATGGAAGACCACCGAATTGGTGATATTTGCCACCCTGTATAAATATCAGAAATAAATCAATAAATAAATAAATACTGTGAGCGTGACAGATATAGTTATTTGAATATCAGGACCTGTATTATGTCAAGAAGGAGGACTCCAGCAGATGTCGAAAGCATATGTCAATAAATAAATTTAGTCATGAGTATTGGAATAATAGGGTTCATGTCATTGTTTTAATTTCAACATTGTTACCAATGAACAGATTCTTCTTTCAATGAATATTTATTTGATTGATTTTAATGGCGGGCCAACCTAATCTGAAACAAAACAATAAGTCTGTACAATGTCTTTGACAAAAGTGAAAAGGAATCTCATTTACTGAAAGGTTGTTAATATTATGTGAATATATATCTTTATCTACAGCTGTTTGTGAGATTAAAACCACTCTTCAGTAATTACATCAAAGGTGCTGAATCACAAAAGGACTGTCTCAATGCTCTCGAGGTAAGGACACTTCCCTGACTGGCTCTGTTTTAAATTTTAAAATAATTTGTGTTACATGGGAATATCGTTGCAAGTGTGCTGAGATTCAGAATGACATTAAAACACCTAACTTGAAACCAATGGCAACGTACCCCATCCCTTAATACCCTACCGGGTATGTCTTTTTCAAATGAAGCCTTAGGAAACTGTCCCAGGAACACATGTTGCGTGGAGCACTGCATTTGAAATGTATTCTCGATACATCGCTTGCCAACCATTCCTATTTTGGAGGAATTATTCCAACTTTGTGGCGTTCACACTTACCTTATAAATCCTACATTCCTCTCTTTTTGTGAAAACTTCTGTGTAAAAGGTATACAAAATGACTATGTTCCTGATTTTTCCTTGAGGGATTTCTAATTTTTGCTTTAAAAGGTTGGTAGGTATGTCCATACATAGTGTACATGTTTCTTAATGCCATAAATTACACCCAAGACATGCAGCATTTAGAGATTTCCTCACAAAACAATGAAAATCTTTGACTTTGATCATTATATTTGAAAACAAATTAAAACATATTTTGCAGTATTAAATGCAGTTTGTTTGAACTTTTATCTTTCACCTCTCACTGTCTTATCTGTGTGTGTTAATCTCTGTAGGAGTACAGCATGGTGAATGAGTCTACGGCGGCCATCTTTGCCAAGCTTGTACACCACCTCTATGATGCAGATATCCTTTCTGAAGAGGTCATCCTAAAATGGTACAGCAAAATGGACCAAGATGCAGATACAAGAAGACGTGAAGTCAGGTCAAAGGTCAGTCCCAGGTCAAAATTTACGTGTACAGTGGGTTGGACTACACTTGGTCCTGAAACAGTTGCGCTGTGATAATTTCCTTCAAACACCTAACTCCGACTCTGGACTCAACACTACACTGTATACCTAATCCTAACCCTAACACACTAAGCCTAACCTAAAACCCTAATCCTAGCACCAAGCCTAACCTAAAACCCGAAACCCTAGCACCAAACCTAACCTGAAACCCTTACCCTAGCACAAAACCTAACCTAACATCCTAGCACTAAACCTAACCTAATACACTATCCTATTAACACTAAACTTGATCTAAAACCCAATCGCAACCCTCAACCTAAACATTTGACGAAAAATAGCCTTAAGCAATTGTCACTGGAGCAATTGTCTGAGCACTATACAGTAAGAAGACAAAATCTGGATATTACAAGGCAATTTTATCTGCCCTGATTCTAAATTTTTCATTCATTTAATTTTTGTTGACCGACGACTCAAGGAATCAATATAATAAGGTAGTTATCTATGTTGTGGGGAGTGTTTCACCATTTTAATACTGGCATTTGTCTCTCAAGGGACTTACAAATCATAGTCACAAATCTGCAGAATTTATGTTTTCTGATAATTCATTATTGAAGGAAAAAATATTATCTAAAGGTCATAATGGTGAGAGCAAAGAGTGGCATAAACAGCCTGCCATATTTAAGTCCAACTCAAAGTCGATCTTAGACTTTGTGAAACACTCTCATGCAGAGTTTGTTACAAGGGTATTGATAATTATAATTATGATAGAACTTTCTATTATTGAACCTCCTTTTTTACAGAGTAAGAGTTTCTGTCACTCTTCTGTTCTTTTATCTTTGCTCTCCAGCTTGCTTCATTTGTCACATGGCTACAGGAGGCAGAGGAAGAGAGTGACGAGGAGGGAGACTAACCGGTGTCCGCTTCATACGTAGGGCTCCCTCTGCTGTCCAGAGCCAGAATGCATCGGAAGAGTTTGTTCGCACAACATGATACACACAAATCCGAAAGTGTAGAACTTCAATGTTGCCACATTTCCAAAAGAAATAGCCAAGTCTCAAGTCTCAGTTTTTAGAAAAACATTGCCAGCAGGTACAGGTGCTATGGAAGAGTTCTCTAATGAAACGAGATACATAAAGGCTGATCAAAAAATACAACAATTTTGAAATGCTAGAATTTCCATGTTGCAAATACACGAGTCTCAATATTATGTTAGTTTTCTGTAAGACAATACATATCTACATTTAAGAAAAGTAAAATATCACTATTATTGTTCTTCTTTGATTAAAAAACATTGCCAGGTTAATCAATTTTCCGTTTCAGTGCAAGCATTTTTAAAGTCTTCTTTGTAGGAATCATCCTCATGTATTTAATCATGGTAGAAAATGTCACTAACGACGTATTGCTTATAATTCTGAACATTGTATAACATGTTTCATGTTGAAACTCTCCACATTTTTTTTTCATGCAGTAAAGCATCCCTAAGGCCTAAAAAAAAAAATTGATGACTTGGCGTAACCCGCCCGACCCTATTTTTATCGCCGACCCTACGCTTTTTTATTTTTTTTGATCCGATTGCGATTGCGTAAATATCGATATCGCAGTGGGGAAAACCCGGATGTTTGTTGCTTTCGTTCTGGGCTTTGCCGCGCCGTGTTTGGGCCAGCTCGCGCGCCGAGTGCAGCGGGCAGGTACGCCATAGTACCGCTAGGCGATTGTATCCCCAACATGGCGTCCTATGGCGTTCTGTTCACGGGTAAATTTGGTAAATTTGCATTTTATGTGCATGAGGGTGTATGTACATGTACATGTACATGTGTATGCAGGGGGGGGGGGGGGGCAGGTGTATGTATGCATCCCCCAGGTCCCAAGGTGATCAAGATTTCAACAATTTCTTGCTCACTTTGCTCACACAGTGTGTGTGTTCATATATGTGTGTGTCCATATATGTGTGTGTGTGTGCGTGGAGTTATTTGAACATATTGTGGTCTACCCCTCTCATCAGATCATCCCCAAGGTCTGAGGACCTATCTACGCCACTGTATGTATGTATGTATGTGTATGAATGGCTAATTTCATGTATGCAAATATAAGCAACAACAACAACAACAAAAAAACAAAAACAAAAACAAAAACAAAAACAACAAAAATCGCCCTACCTACCCTAATTTTCAGTGACCCGTTACGCCAAGTCATCAATTTTTTTTTTAGGCCTAAACGTGCATGTATTGCCTTGCAAATGGTACCTGAATATTTTCTTCCAACTCATTGTTTGGTAAGATAGGTTAGCGAAATGCAGTGACGCAAAAAGATGCATCCAGAATGCAAAATGCATAATTGTTGGAAACTATAATTTTATCACATAGAGTTTAATAGAACCATATCATTAGGGTATGGAGCTGGGTAATACATTGTAATATCTCAATTTGGCTAAAAGTTTCCTAGACTTACTTTGAGATATGTCAAAAATAACATGTAAAGCCCCACTGCACTACTAATAGGTACTTAAGCCCTCTACATGTATATAGCAAACAATGCCTATTCAGTGCCTGTTGGTCCCCCATGATCCCCTTTTTCTTATGTTAATTGAGAGCTGGTTTGATGAGATAACCACCTGTCAGTGACCATGCAGGGAGGTCTAATCCCCCCTGGCCAAACTAGTGCAGATGGGATTTAATTAACAAACGTCACATGCCACTTGCGTTCTGGAGACATATTTAATGTGCCACTCGATCCTTTTCGCTAAGCTACCCAAGTCGGGTCAAACCATTTTTTTCAATTCTACAAAGACAAGTCATGTGTGTCTTGAATAAACAAATAAAGTCAGTTTAAGTCTTCCAGGATGATTTTTTTTTTTCAGTGTAATCATTTTAATACCTATAAACTAGCATATTTTTTTGTGCCTGTTCAAATGCAATGTGATAGCACAATTAATGTCATTCATATAAAGCAGAAAACCATAGACTGCACATTGCATGTACTCGTTCAACTTTGTCTCTTCTCCATTGTGAAGTTAGTGAAGGTGTGATGTGAACACACTATGCCTTTGGTGATGTGTCGAAGTGAAGGCTTCTAGATGGTTGATTGCCGTTTGGTCTACAACCAGTTTGGCTACCACTACCATTGATCATTTAGTCTAATTTCCAATCGGTCTAATTCCCAGTTGGTCTAATTGCCTATTTTGTCTATTATCCATTTGGTCTAATAATCATTTAATCCTAAATAATAAGGGATTTAAAGATAAACTTTAGTACTGGTAATGCGATTGCATTGTGAAGGGAAAGGTGTGGAAAGGATCAGAAACAGTTGATCAAGCAGCATGTAAGTATTGGTGTGCACTGCAAGGTTCTGGAGTCATCAAAATCATAATAAATTTGACAGAGTCTTGGTAAAGTAACAAGCACTGTACACAGAAAGCTATATATGGGACAACACACATGGTGTCGGGGCTAGTACTACCTTGATTTCCTTGTCTTTCTATGCTCATTACTCAGCCAGTATACATTTTCTTCCAAAATTGTTTGGCACATGTCATTTATTTGTAATCTTGAACATTCAGTGTAAGTTTCGTTTGATTCTGTGAGAATTAATTTTTTTTTTTTTTTTTACCAGAACTGGAGTTTATCTTTAATCAACAAATAATTATTAGACCAAATGGATGGTACACAAAATGGACATGAGACAACTTACTGGGAATGACTAAATGAACAATAGACCAAATGCCTATTTAATAGCCTATTTAATAGCCTAAATGGTCATTAGACCAAATGATAGGTAGACTAAATGAGAATTAAGAGTTTAATTGGGTAGTAGACGAACTGGATGTAGACCAAACATCAATTCACCTTCTAGACTACTTAAAGTGGATGAAGTGCCTACCATTAATGTGCAAGGTTGAATAGATGTGCTTTTGTGGTTTTCAAGTGCAGGAGATTTGAGGATATCTGTTGTACGATCTGTGAAATAAATGTGCTAATTACCTGACATATATGAAGGATAAATTTAGTTATGGTGTGATCACTGTGATGGTAATTTCTAACACCTATTATAATTGTAGCTTTCTTTAATTTCATGTGAGGAACGATACTTCAGCCATCTTGAGGTCTTGTAAAAAAAAAATGCATTTCCAGAGAATGTCCACAAGTTATTTTGAATGGGTGAACATGTAGCGAGTATCACTAATTATTCTCATATACTGTTTGGTTGTTTGGACTAGCAAAGTGTTACAATAACACAAAAAGGAAAAAAGGAAGAAAAAAGGGGAAAAAAAAGAAATTTGCCCCAAAACACATGTTTTGAGAGCATCCCCTATATATGTACATTACATTTTTTTCATTTATAATAATAGGTCCATATCATTCTATCAAGTTAGTTTGACAGAATATAATTTTTAGTTTTATCGTTCAGTGTAAATTTCATGGATTAAAAATAAAAATGTGTTTCCAATCTTAATTGAAACTCAAAGACATTTAAGTTTTGGAGTGTGATCAACCAGCAGAATTATGTTGCTGGTATCGATAATCTTTTATTTTGAGAAACTAGGAATTTCAGCTTTCCATTCAACTTCCCTCATTAGTTCTTTTTCAGGGACCCCTCATAAATCTCACAATAGGGTATGATAAAGGGAGATGGTTGTCAGTTTCCATGTGCAGAAGGTCATGTAAAGTTGATGACACCAGACTTGGTGACAATTCCATAAATGGGTATACAAAGTCTTGCACACACTCAGCAAATCCTTGGTCCCATCAAGAACTACCCCCTAGTCTCTCACCAAGTTCAGGTGAGGGAAATGTAAGATAATGACTCTACCATATGGGGGATGGGTGGAAAAAGTAGATCATTGCATAATGCTCTGGATCATAAAACTGAAGGCTAATCCTGGTGATTTAAAGCCCACTACTATGTGTCTTTAAGCAACAGTCTATAGCTTCTACTCGGATAAAAGGAATTGTAGAGTTATTAAAACAAAAGGGTGCTCTGGCTAAACCCTCTATTGTGAGCTGTGCTATTAAAGTGTGTTTAATGCATTGACGCCCAGCCCTTCAAGCATCCATGCAACCACAATGGAAGGATTTTAGACAAGCAAAGCTTTGGCATAAATCCTGCTTGTATTCTGTTCTTTGGGGAGGAGCTGCATATCAGTGTTCCAAGATTACCCGTTAAGATTAGCTAAGATATTATGGCACCCCCTCCCCCCACTCCTTAGGACACTTTATACTTCTATCCTTGTTAGACATGTAAAAGTGAAATGATGAAATTGATTTAGGAGTCACAAATTATTAAAGTGGCGGGTTCCTGATACATGTTTATAGGGCATTCATGAGAACACACATACTGTACTGTTGCACTGCAAATTAATGACACTCGCCATAGGCCTGCTTCATCAGCCCAAGTTTGCCAATTAGCCTGCTATTTCCCACATTGCGGGATATTTTGGAAACAAGACCAATATTTCTCTGGATATTTTCTCGACCAAATATCCCGGTAATTGCAACTGCGGGCTGATGAAGACGCAAATTAACCGGATAATTTGCGATCGGGATAGTTAAAATAGTGGGTTATTTGCCAAACTCTAGCTGATGATGAAAGTCCTCATGTTACATATTTCTTTCTTTCTGAGAAGCAGTAGTTGTTTTGTTTTTTACATGAATGAGGTGCATGCATTGAAAAAGCTGCTCACGGCATGCCAAATCATGCAAAAAACAATCACTGCTCTTGGCCACTATCCAGCATGTGGCATGCTGATAAGCAAATATTATAAGGGGCTACATTATGAAATCCTTTTTATTTCAATCTGCTGCTAAAAGTACCATGATGAATTAAGTGACAAACAATCCCTTGAGAAAGGTTCGTTTATTCACAGTTAAATCTAATCTAATTACCGGTAAAGGTATCGTTTAACAATGTTAAATCTGACATGCATGGCCCTACATGTTATCAGTGTCTGTGATATGGTGTAATATTGAAGCCCTAAACAAAATTGCGCTTTAAAATGATCATGAAGTGCCTCAAAAAAGTAAAAATCTTTTGAGTGACCAGTTTTACCATACCCATTTCCCCCAATAGACAGTAGTGTTATGAAAATCGTTAGCAAAACAAAAAATTAAATTTTGATTTCCAATCAATATCTTGATAATTAGACAAGCGATCGGCTTGTAAAAGTCATGGGATTCCTGACTGACCTAAAGGTTTATAATTATGATTGAAGCATGAGCTAAATCCTGGATGTTGTTCCAAAATCTGAGGCAATGTTATCAAGTCACTTAAAGGGTTGGCCTCTTACAAGGTTTGTTTCCTTTTTGACCACTGCCCTCCTCACTTTTATAATCCATCTTATGTATTGTCATACATTTGTCTATTTATATATGTATTTTTATCTGTTGATCTCTTGAGGAGAAATAAATGAAACTGAAACTGAACTGAAGATTGAACGTTGTGGTATAGTGACTTGAGAAGAAAGTGAAGCTGTGGCTGATATATATCCCTTTAAGAGCAGGGCATGAGAAAGGCCAAAACAGGAGCTCATCACCCAACACGACTCTACATGGAAGAACCATTTTCGTAGTTGAGTACAATGGTAATTACTCCAGAAACTTCTATTTCTCTCGGCATTATCCGAACTCTTTCATTGAAGTATAGTCTTGTACATAATTGGTATACTTTTAGGGACAAAATTAAGCACCTTGAAAACAAATAGAGATCCATGATTTGACTTTGCATTTATTAATTTGCAGTACACCAAGCAACAAGGCACATGATTGATTTATATATTACAGTGCTTAAAAAAAGCCACAAATTGACAGTGTTTCAGTGAATACATTGTTCCCCTATGTAAGTACAATGTGAAAGAGATCTTTACACACTCTACACATTTACATGTACCGGGTTCCCTGTTCATTCTAAATATTCCATTCACCAAAGAGAAAAATGCATTGGATAATGTAACTGATATTAATGAAAACACCCTCAATTCCATAATTTCAAAACGAGGATTGAATAATTTTAATACATGTTTGCTAACGTAGATTTTCAAAATGTAATGCCACAAAAACTGCACCTAAGGGCATACAAGTTAAAATTGGATATAAACATATGTATTTTGATACTTTTACCCAGACAATTTGAGTGCCACTAATTTGCTTGATTTACAATGGGTCTTAAGGCAATTTGAACGCAGAGGGTCAGAGTGCTACATCATCAACTAAGTTAATTGCTACATTACATTTAGCATTGTGAAGAACAAAAATGGTGGGGGTCCCCCTGTTACAAATACACCATGCATCCCCCTTCCCCATAAGTCTTTGAGCACATGTTCTAAAAATGATTTCTTGTGCATTAATTTTGACATCTGTTTTAATATCCATGAAACAACAATGAAATACATTAAAGCATTGATTAATGACAAAATATAAAATTATAAATTTGGGCTCATGTAAAGAAAATATCGACCTTTTGCCCCTAAACACAGATGTTGCGATAAAAGTCCTCCCATCATTGCATCCACAGTATATATCGCCAGCTGCCTGCATGCAAGCCGGAAGAGCTATTTAAGTTCATCAATGACACTATAAACAGCTTTCTTGCAGGCAGCATACAGTTTTTTTCCACTCGGCACATGTAAACAGGTTCGAGTTCAAGGTACACGTAATTGAATTCTAAATGATTTCCTCTATAAATCAAATTGGAATCCTAATGAACCTCCCAGACTAAATCAATTATCACATACCGGTACCTAAATATATGTGCTCCAAGCAGTATGAAAAATTACATTCTGAAATTTTGTATCAAAGGGATTGACCAAACAATTTGTTCAAATTTGTATAAAAAATTCTTGCAATGTTAATTCTTTCCAGTATATATATATATAATGTATATTCAGCATAATTCAGCATCAACATAGACATTTTCTGATTGGTAAATTCTACTTTTGTGCTCTAAAATGAAATATCACTCCCATTGTTTTAGCTTGCAGTACACATACACCTTTTTTTCTTCATAGATTTATCAACCATACAAGTACCATGACTAAAAACATTACATGTATATGACAGGTATTTCATTATTTTACAACATAACTTCAGCCGAAATGAACTACAGTGAGTATTTTATGCCATAAGTCAGTTTCATTACACCTACTCAATACAACAGTACTTAAATACCAATAACTAATCAAAACTTTATTGATATTAGAAATTCTTAACTGTATAACACATATTATACTTTGTTTCGACATGATTTCTATCAACTACCCTGAAATTATTAAAATATATATTGTTCTTACAAAAATATATCATAAGTCATCTCAACATTACTTGATTTGAGTTTCAATGCTCAACTTGATGGGGAGAAATGAAAGACCAAACTGGATTTTGATGTTATATTCAAATGATACTTAAACTATTGAAAGTACATGTACAGTGTAGCCCCCTCCCCCCCCCCCCTCCAAAAAAAAAAAAATGAAAAAGTTCTATTTACCTCTACATACCATAGTATAAATACATGTATATTACTGTACACTTTTATTTCAATCTTTTGCCCCTTTACTTTCAAAATCCAAAATCCATAATTTCTATTTTACATATTTTTTTTTTTTTCTTCTTATATAAAGGCTAAATATATTCCTATTACTATCCCAAAAAATTGTCTAGCATGTCAGGAAATTCAATCACACAAGTCATACAATGCTCTTTATTACTAAATAGTTTCAAAATCACCTTGTTAACTTCTTTTCAAAGAAAGCAGCATAGAAGAGTACAATCAAAAGGAGTACTAAAAGCAGAAGATTTAGAAAATAGTACAAAAATAAATAAATTATGCATCGAGGGGTCCTTTCGTTTCCAAAAAAATAGAAAAAGTATATCATAAAAAAATATGAAAAAATATGATACTATCAAATACCTGTTGAAGACATACATGTATTTAATCATTTAGAATGTCTTGTTACAAATGCAATGTAGGTTGATTTAATAGATAGAAAAAAAAAGCAATAAGCGAGATGTGAGGATACAGGCAGAGACAAAAAGAGAGACAAGGAGAAGAAGAGTGAGTGAGTGAGAGAGAGAGATAGTGAGAGAGAGACAAACATAAATGGAAACAAGGAGAAAGAGAGTGTGCATACATGTATGTGAGAGAGAGAGAGAGAGACAGACAGAGAAAACGCAGTGTTCAAGGTGATGTATATCCCATTTTAAATAAATTACATTTTAGTATAAAAACACAAATTCAAAATGGGATAAAAGGTATTGGAAATAACACCATAAATAATACATACACATTGTAACATCCATCTAATTTCTAAACATACACGTTCATGATTCAATTTGGTCTTCATTCAATAAATCATATTAAATTACCTTACACAAAGTGTGGAATGACAAAATTAATACTATTTTACTTTAATCTGTTCATATAGAGTTACTGCATACTCCCCCTTTAAATTCTACATAGCTGCATACGGCACTAATGTGTCATCTATTTGTCAGTAACAGGAACTGCTCAGTTTTCTTTAGAATAGTAGAAAAATGCAAGGAAATTTTATAGATAAGTGGGAGATATGATCAGGGAAATTGTTTTTGGAAGCTCTTTTTGTAGGAAAATAATGAGACATTTTGCCTCATTGAATAACCACAAGGATGCACTTGTAGCTACAACGTTTTACACATGTAGATGTATACTTTGTACATATTGTATGTACATGTACATGTCACAGACCTTTTATCCCACTATCAAAGTGTAGACAAATGTTAATAGATGGTAAGGCTTCGTGAGAAAGTCTTCTGCAAATAAATCTAGGATAGCTTATCAAATAAATTCTAGATTCATACTTTAAGAGAAATATTCACCCATTGTCATCTGCCCTTAAATTACATCAATAATTTTATAAATATATATATTTGCTAATTGCTACTAAAACATTCTTATCTTTCATATATTAAATTATTCATAGCTTAAAAGGCATATGAATACAAAACAAACAATGCTTAATTTGGTCACAAAAAGAAAAGAGATATATCTCTTTTGAAGCCATAGAGCACACACTTACAGCAACTTACAAACATAACAACAACATAATAATTGCTTTGAAATGCATAACATTTACACTGTATATCCCAAATTCACTAAAGTTACAAAATTAAATATACACGATTATTCTACAATGAAAATCTGGTTCATGTAAAACAAATGCAAAAATAGAAAAACACTCAAATTCCTGTCAAGGATATAACTTTATTGTTTCTTAATCTATACCAGTATCCCAAATTCCTTAAAGTTACAAAATTATTAAAAAATACATGATTATTCTACAATGAAGTATACATACATGTACTTGCACAGGAAACACATCTGCCAGAACTACAATTTGTTTGGTATAAAAAGAGAGTTGTATTGCATGATACAGTTATATAAAAGGCACACAACTAAACAAAATCTATACATTTGTAATAGAATAATGCCACATCTACTGAATACTGAACAGGACATGTTGTACTCTATGGAGTTAGAATGGATATAGAAGGTAATGAGTTTGTGCTGTTTGGCATTTTTCGTCAATAAGATATAAACACTTTATACCACAGAGAAAGGATAACAATCTCCTCTATGGAGTGACGGGTAGGATACCGTTCTTCCAGCTCTTACGACCTACGACCTCTACGTGGAAGCCGAGATTCTCGAGGAGGGAGCTGTCAAGGAGTCGTCTGCCGTCAAATGCGAAGGCAGGCTTGAGCATGTCTTTGTAGATACGTAGGTAGTCGTAATCCTGTTTATGATGCGGTTGTAAAAATATAAAATTATATTAAATAGAATTTCTGTCACATGCGAGTTATTGACAATTAAATACATGTGCACATTTGCATACCTCCTAGTCCAATATGCTACTTTCCAGGGAAAGTGTTAGAGCATAAATTTAAAGATAAAGTTGAGTTCTGGTCATGCGATTGCATCATGAAAGACACAGTGTGGAATCGATCAGAAAAGGTTGATCATCTAGCATATAAGTTTTGGTGTGTACTGCAAGGTTCTGGAATCATTGAAAATGATATGAAATTTGGCCCAGTCTTGGTAAAGTTACATCTACAAGCACTGTACACAGAAAGATGTATATGGGACTACACGAAAATGTGGCATAAAAATCTGTCCTGATTTGTATGCGGTTACATGCCATATTTAAAATATTAAGGCATTTGAGGAGCCATGCTTTTCAGGAAACATTTTAATCTGAGGTTCTTCTACACTTGCATATTAATAACAATGATAACGCTCACAAATTATTTTTTACCTCTTCCCAGAACCCACCCTTCTCTTTAAGGACTAAATATGACACCCTATATTTAATATGCATCTATGGGTCTACGATCATCAGTGAAATGAGGATTTCAATGATTTGTTTTTGTATGAATAACCCCACAATATAATCGTTGATTGGTATTTCATTGTCAGATATACATGAACAAACATAGAAAAACAAAACAAAAAAAAACGACAAGACAAACACTAAAAAGAAAACAAGACAAAACAAATTATCTTGGAATGAGATTCCTTTACCAGACACAAATAACTAAGAACAAAAGGTACATAGACAATGTAATTTGATCAAAAGTAAAGACGAAAGCCTACCTTGAATTCATCCCACTCTGTGCAAACCACAAATGCATGGGTTCCCTTCAGAGCCTCATAGGGATCTGAGTGTATGGTTACAAGCTTCTCAACTGAGATGGAAAAACAACAAAAGATAGAGACAGATCTTAGAAGGGTGAAAATAGTTGTTCAAATACTTCATCTACTCTCAATCCTTTCACAATTTAAAAAAAAAGAAAAATGCCAACAGAATGTACATGTACACTGTAATAACAGACTTCAATCTGCCACCATGCATGTTCTGGGACCTATCAAACATAAAATTAAGATATACTATTAAATTTTGCAAATACTAGAAAGATTTCAAACATAGTTTTTGTTCATAAAATATTATTCAATCTAAAAATAAATAATTTTAATCTCATTCTAAAGTAGCAGGTACTATGATTACAGAAAATTTTCATAGCATATACCCTGAATATCAGTAGATTTACAAGAGTAAAAAATTAATGGACCAAACCAGGTGTTAGCACCTAAAGGGCTATGCAACATTTTTTTTTAGGGCGAAGGCATGAACATCAGTACACACAATAATTCAGAATTGTTCTTCTCCCAGCCAAAAGCATGGTGATTATGCAAGATCAAACGTGGCAAAGCTTTGTCACACTTGCAGTCAAAGCTACAGTTGATTACTACCAGCCTAAAAGCTTAATCTAACTTTGCATACCAATACCAGTATTTTTTTGTTATAGGTATTTCAACTACATTGTGATTCAAATAATCGTTGTAAAGAAATTTTTGGGTTGCACCCAGTAGATAAAGATTGTGTGCTCGATCTTGTAAATTAACAACATGCCAGAGAAAATCTGGGAACCAGCAAACCTGCTGTCTACTGTTTGCCGGGCAGTGACACTCTACCACCAGGCCATCACTGGCAGTCATGGTAGACTGGAAACAAATACCTCGGCTCTTGTAACTCATTCTGACTCGACTTTAAACAAAAAAATTATTTTCAATTACAAGATCGAGCACATGATGTTTTTGTTCCTGCTGGGTGCAAGACAAAAATTTCTTTATAATCAATTGAAAATTCTCCCAGGAAGCCTAACATTCAAGACATTCAAATAAGATACACCTCTATTCCATAGTAGCTGCTATACATATATGTGTACAATTAGTACATGAAGATCATCATTCAAAATAAGATACACCTCTTTCTTAGCAGTCAGGTAAAAAAAAATAACCACCACCACCATAACGGCCCCTATACACAGCAATTATCATTAATTAAAGGGATTGGATATCTTTGCCTCAAGATCCTGGATTTAGCTCATGCTGCAATCATAATTATAAAAATTTAGGTCAGTCAGGAATCCCATTACTTTGTACAAGCCGATCGCTTGCCAGATTATCAAGATATTTATGATTGGAAATTGCACTTTCAAAAACTGTTTTCCCAACGTTTTTGATAGCACTAGCCTATCGGGGGAAATGAGTATGGTAAAACTAGTCACTCAAAGATCACATTTTTGGGCTTCAACACGTAGTGTCATCCATCTCGGATTTAACATTGTTAGATGATGCCTTTAAAGGACCCTTTCTCACCATTCTGCAACTCGTATAACCAATACACTAGCCATACAAACAGCATGGGGCTGATTTATGTCATAAAGTACATACATGTATACACTGTCAGAGCTGCCAACCTCCAGGACAGAAAATCAGTAATCACAAGGCTCAAAATCAGTAATTTCCTATGTGGCGCTATGAATCTATAAAAAACAGCACGCCAAAACTGCGCAGACGCATGCGCGCATCATTATCTGAAGTTTTGGTGATTTTACTCACACAAAGTTGCTAAATATTGATTTTCAGGTCACACAACACATAAGTTTTCCATGAAAAATTGGCTTCTATTAAGAGAATATTTGATACTTTTCCTTTTTTCTCAGCGAGTGTTGGATGGCCGCCATACTGCACAACACTCGCTACGATAAATCATATTTACGCCACAAAAAAAAATCTGTAATGTTTAGACAACATTCCGTACTGCCGTAATGATCGTTAATTTTAACTAGTTGGCAGCTCTGCACTGTCTTGACAGGTTCTGGTTAAAGCTATGCGCAATAGGTGACCCCAATAGTAACCATTATTGGAAATGTAGGATAGTTGTTATACTAACCTCTTTCAGGATCTGCTGATATACTGGGGTTGGTAAGCTCACACAAAATCTGAGCAGGCGCGACCTGAGGGTCGTAAATGCTGAGTTTGGCGCCCTCGTCCATCAGGAATTTACTGAGGTAGATGCTGGAAGACTCTCTGTGATGACATAAAGATAAGAAGAAAAATAAAGAAACCATCGAAACTAGATTACTAAGATCATCCATACGTTAATAAAGATGAATCAGTTTCTTTCTATTAAACTGGTTAGAGAAGTCGTGAAAGAATGGACAAAGAGGAGGCATGGACAAGAATTTAAACAAAAAGGCCTGATTTCTCGACAAACCTAGGTTTATGTGCGTTATATGAAGCGTTTCAACACATTTTTTTACAAACCTTGGTCTGTAAAAATACGTCGAAACGCGTGCACATAAACCTAGGTTTGTCGACAAACCTCCTTTGTGAATTTGGGCCAAAGTGATCTAATATTAGCATGAATAAAAGAAATGAAAGAACAAAATAGTGATGATCAAACATTTGGTCCAGCCAGATTGCTCCTAGCATCCTCCTGTCTTTATTCCATCAAAAAAAGGTTTCACTGCTTTAAAGGGTTGTCATTTTGTTTAAAACCAAGTTTAGGGTGAGATGTTTGGTCCAGGGCCCTGTTTCATAAAACTTGATATCAATAACAAGTTACAAGCTACTATTATAAGCCACTGAAATCATGGCATCTGATTGGCTGAAAGCAAATTTGTCATATAAATTTAGCATTTGTTATTAATAACAAGTTTTATGAAACAGGGCCCAGAGTTACAAATTTGACTTGTGTATGAAAATGACCATGGAGCAATTATGGTTAGATAATGTGCCAAACATCCCCAAAGAAAGGAAACAACGCATGTAAAGAATAAACATTTTAAAAAATAAAATAAAAAGAAAGATAGCCACTAACTTAAAGATGGAGGAGGGGGGGGGGGGGGGGGGAGGGGGTGATACATGCCTGCCAACATTAGAAAATAATGCAGCAGCAGTGTAACTGGCAATATGCGGTAAATCTGTACACAAAAAAAGCGAATACAAATTCGCTGCTCGATCATGCAGCCATTTAACGCATGCAATACGTGAACATTCAAATCGCGACACATGAAACAAGTTTAAATTGGCTTAAGCAACAACAACAAAAATTAAGAAAAATATTAAAAAAATAATACAACAAATAAATAAAAAATTGGTATTTCGAAAAATCAGAATATTCTGAATTTCAGGACCTAAAAATCCAGAAAATCAGAATATTACGGATTATTCGGAAGGGTTGGCAGGTTTGGTGATTATAATACCTGATAATCCTCGTTAGATAATGCATATTTACCTTGTGTCACCTGTATCTTTCTTGAAGGCAAAGCCAAGGATGGCTATCTTCTTGTCTGTCACCGTGTTGAACAGACAAGCGATGATCTTGTTGGCAAACCGCCTCCTCTGGTAATCATTCATGTCAATCACCTAAACACAAAGATGGAAAAGACAATCATTTGACAATTAAGTATTCCTGGTAGAACTATGTTACTTCTTTAAGCTGTGCTGTATCTTTAGTAAACAATAACACTTCTAGACTAATTGTTTATTTGCAAATGTTCATATATCACGTACCGCAATATACATGCTACATGTATGTATACAAGTACCTTCAAATAAGTCACTAGACAAGGATTAATTTTTTCTCATTCCATAAAGACTCACCTGCTGCCAGTATTGTGCCACTTCTGGTATATTGCAGGCTTCACAGAGGTACACAAGATTTAAAACATCCTTCTGGAAACAGCTACCCCCGAAACCTGATGAGAAAGTACGAGAATCATGTCAAAATTGCAAAGGATTACAGATTATTTGCAGTGAAGATGCCTAATGTCAGCAGTGTTTACATTTATGCGACAGTGCTATCATCGGTGCATTACACAATACATATTAGAAGCATACATGTAGAAGCTGGCAAAGAGTGGAATTAAATGAGGTGAAGACAGAGTTTGAATAAACAATCTGAGAGAGAAGAATGAAGGGACCAGGAAAAAGAGTTGGGTGTAAAGGTAGAGGAAGAATGAACCATAAGAGAGAGAGAGAGAGAGAGAGAGAGAGGAGAGAGAGGGCGGTTTCAAGGCTACGTGCATTTATATTCTGTTTTGAATTATTTACATAATCAAAGAACAAAAATTCAAAATATAAAATCAAATCAATGACATGGAGAGAGAGAGAGAGAGAGAGAGAGAGAGAAAGAGAGAGAGAGAGAGAGAGAGAGGGGAGCAACCTCCTAATCCAACATTCAACAAAAAATACAACGATGAAATGGTAAAGTGTACCCCTCATTACTATCAATTTAGCTACATCAAAAGAAAATGATAAAATCATGTGTGTATCAAAAAAAAAAAAAAAAAGCATTTAAAGTTCTCTTACCTAAACTTGCTTGGAGGAACTTTGGTCCTAGCCTAGAGTCCATACCGATGGCATGTGCTACCTCGCTCACGTCAGCGCCCGTTGCCTCACATACTGCACTGATCGAGTTGATGCTGGAAATTCTCTGAGCTAAGAATGCATTGGCAGCCTACAAAGTTCAACAAAAATTTATCAAAGGAAATGGTTGGCTCTGGTAACAATGAAAAGCGTTATTCTTACTTAATCAAATAAAAGTATTTTTAAAAAGTTGAGACAAAAAAATGAAAGTACACTCTACGGATGAAAAACATGACATTTCTGTAAAACTGGATAACAGCTGAAAAAATGTAAAGATTAAGATATTTAGTCTTGGGGATATTTTTCAAATTTCAGAGTTTTCTGGTAGGTTTCACTTGTCTAAACATCCCTGAAAAACTGTATGCAACATTACCAATTACATGAAAGCTTTATTAAAAAAAATAATCTTAATCTGGCTGGTAATTTACCATTGAAGATGATGGCATTGTGCACCATCTTCAGTGGACAAAGGCATAAATGAGGATTTTAAAATCATTATCATTTTTTCTAAAACAGATTTATGCAAATACAATAGCCCATATAACCTCTTATTATCTACAGGCTATGCGTACATGGAGGGTTACATACTTTCCCAATGTATATCTCCTATATCACTATCACAGAACAAAGAGCATGTTCTAGTCTACCATCCCATTGGCAGGATACGTTTTTGAGCTGTTGAACCTACCAACTTGGAGAGTTCCGAAGACCACGTATTTGTCTTGATGATACGATCCTTTGGTACCCAGTTCACATAGATGGATGCAAGTTCATCAATGGCCTTTAGTCCGCTGTGAGAAGTATCCCCTCCTATGAGTACCCTGTCTGGTTCCAATAAATCCTTGATGGCCGACCCCTCTGCTAGGAACTCTGGATTGGACAGCACCTGGGATAACAAAAAATCAGGAACAATTTCAAATAAGGCCTAAAAAAAAAGATGTTGTATTGCCCTTTGCGACCGGCCCAAAAATCTTGAAATCTACAGTCTGCTTTTTAATTTTTAATTTAAAAAAAAAAAGAGAAGATTTAATATAAAAAATTTACTGGTATTAAGGCATTTAAAAATGAGAAATAAAAGCCCAAAGAAGGAGTAAAAAAAAAAAAATTCTGACTGACCTACCCATGTTTTGGCACCTAAAGGGCAATACAACACCTTTTTTTTTAAAGGCCAAATGCTACAATAGGTAGTGATGAAAACACACAAAAGCACATAGTAATTTCTTTCAAGGGGGAAAATAGATAATAGTATAAAGAATAAAAAAATATCAAAACCAAAATAAAATAAAATGAATCTAGAAATGCCTCTAAGGAAAGACAGCTATCCTTCAAGAACATGTACATGTACATATCGACGGAATAAGATAGAAAGTCCTTGATGCTATTTCCTGTAAAATCTGATTAAGAACAACATCCACAACAGCAGCAACAACAGCAACATAAACAACAACTATATCAAGATCATCAACAACAACAAATCAAGGAGAGTGATATGTATATATATACTGTATATATATATATATACAAAAATATATCTAAGTAGTGGAAACAAAGGAAGAAGTTGGGAGATAAAAGTATTGAATACCTCATATCTGCAGCCTGGCTTGGTATTTGCTGTGAGTATTCTCTGTATACTCTGTGCAGCTTTGACTGGTACTGTGCTCTTTTCAACCACTATCTTATCCGAGGTAGCTACATCAGCAATACGACGTGCTGCTGCCTCAATGTACTTCAGGTCTGCTGCTCTGCCCTAGATATAACATCATTGGGGAAAATTAGAGTACGGTCATGACTTTAAGGCATCGTTTAACAATGTTAAATCTGAGATGCATGGCCCTACGTGTTATCAGTGTCTGTAATATGGTGTAATATTGAACCCCTAAAAGAATTGCGCTTCAAAATGATCATGAAGTGCCTCAAAAAAGTAAAAATCTTTGAGTGACCGGTTTTACCATACGCATTTCCCCAATAGACTGTAGTGTTATAACGACCAGAAAATGAAAAACTAAATTTTGATTTCCAATCATAAATATCTTGATAATCAGACAGGCGATCGACCTGTAAACGTACCGTAATTAACGGTGTATTAACCGCACCTTTTTGCCGCCGAAAAAAAATTCAAAGTCGGGGGTGCGGTTTATACACGGTACACCCGACTTGGCGCTATGCCTGGCAATGTCTCCCAGCTCAGTAATCGGTGTGTTGATTCACCACTCGGAAACTAGAACAACACTCAAATTTGTCTGTCATCTTGGTTTGAAAGTAATCTTTCTGATAGATTTCAATATGTAGTTGATAAAAATAATTCCTCCAATTTTTCTTCTATTACACGGCATACCACAAGGTACCACTAGGTCCTCTACTGTTTTTTAAGGGCGAAAAAGAGGGGTGCGGTTAATACACGAGGGCGGTTTATACAACGTTAATTACGGTAATGTCATTCCTGACTGACCTAAAGGATTATAATTATGATTGTGACCAAACACTACATGCATAATATACCGAATCCTAACCCCAAATCTAATTGCAACCCTTATCCTACATGTATATCTTTGAAGATATGGCAATTGACGCCAGAGCATACATGCCTGTATGTCGGAGCAATAAAATATAACATAGTAAAGTAGACACGTCCATGGGGGGAATAGATATTGTATGATAAACAACCTGGTAATCCTGTTTTCTTCTTTTTGGAGTCGTATCAGCTGTCATATTTAAAAACGGATTATTTGGAGGTCATTCAATATTCATTATAGAAACATAAAAAAGTTACACAGCTAAGAACTGCAAGGTGTTGTCTTTAAGATCGGGCATCCTATTGCAAATTGTGACATCATTCCTAGGGAAATTCACCACTTCAACACAAAACTACACTCCACTTGTGTTTAGATGTACATTAGTATCGAGGTTGCATTAATTGACTGATGCAAACAAAATAATCAAGTCATATTCAGAAAACTGGAAATTTATGGAGAATTCTGGAGTATTAATAAAAAAAAAAACCTGTTGAAAAGCAATAAATTAAGAAGGAATTTACTCCCATACCTACATGTAAGTGTACTCATCATCAAAATTAGAGTATCAGATGGCATTTGCTCTCTTTGCTTCTCAAAATTCAAACAATTAATGACCCAAGATAACTTTTCCCCTTACCTATTATTAATAAGTCTATCAGAAAAAGTAAATAACTACTAAAAACTATGACATTTGCATTCTACTCAAGAGTAGACCATAGGTTTAGATTACCAAATAAATAGACACTGTGCCATTCCTTTACCAACCCTTAGTCAATATTGACATCTCTTGGTTCTATACACTACCCTTCCCTGCACATGTACCAGGTAAGAGTAAAAGAGAGTTATACCGTTTAATGTACTAAGATACCGGCAAGATTGTGAATCTTGGATTTAACGTACCAGTACATGTAGGCTACTTATTGAAGCTTTGAATTGGATAAAAGACCCTATCCGATCAATGGAAAGCTGAATGAATGTAGAATACAATTATATAAAGGAATACAAAATATTCTCCCATTCAGTATTGCACAAAAGCAATTTTAAAACAATGTTTTCCGTACCTCTACAAGTTACTGGTCAATAGGGGTAAAATTTGCCACAATTATGGTGACGACATAACATGTCGACCTGATCCGCTCGCCTATATAGCTGAGGCGATAAACCGTGATTTATCAATGCAAAGTCATCGTGAATATGCGCACTCCACATAAAATGTTGTTATCAAGTTGACAGTTCGTTTTGAGGTCGCCAAGTTTGTATTTTCAAATCTATAGATTTTGAGTTTGCAGAGAACTGGTCCTCCTCTGACAGAAACTAAAATATAATTTATTAGATATTATTGTAATCTATGGCCTATCTAAGCTTTCCATTGATATATAATTCATCCATTTCATTTTTTCACTTCCGACAGGGTCTTTAAGCTTATAAATAATTCTCTTGTAAAATTAATGTCTGTATGCATTTGGTAGCTTTCTGGTCATATACCAAATTTATTGTTGAACTGCAGATATGCCATCAATTATAATCAATTCCATTTCTACAACCCCCCCCCCCCCCCCCCTGTAATTCTTTTCCTTAAAGGTAAAGGCCAGTTTTGGAAACCCCCAACCCCCCTTCCAAAAAATTAAATTGAAGTTCTTTTTACCAATCATGTGAAAGTTTTTGCCAGGAAACCACCTACTAATTAATATATTTGGTAAATCATCATACATTATCTATCCACCGTGAAGAGATATCGCATAGTCCCATATGTACATCTTTCTGTGTACAGTGCTTGTAACTTTACCAGGACTGGGCCAAATTTCTTATCATTTTGATGATTCAAGAAACTTGCAGTACACACCAATACTTACTTGCTAGATGATCAACCTTTTCTGATCGATTCCACAATGTTTCTTTCACAAAGCAATCGCACGACCAGAACTGGTCTATACCTTTAAGCTGTACATACACATATCACATGGTATACCGGTATTCAGTTATTTATAGTCTAATCTTTCAATTTAAATGAAATAATAGGTAGGGCTAAATTGTTGTGTACAGTACCGATAAGAGAAAAAAATTCCCTCGATTGACAACATAGAAATGAAGAAAGAAACAAGAGCTCCAAATTTACATTTGTAATATTCCTAAAAGTTCAACTAATCTTCAATCTAGAACAATCTGTAAAGATCTTATTCGTCTGAATTCTCCACTTTTTTACTGACAAGTTCCAAAATTGTCAACTTTTACACAAGTAAATTCAGATAAACTTCCTCCATGATGGTCTTAGTTAAGACTATTACTATTCCCAGATAACCTACCATGTATACCATGTGCAGAGTTCTAATTCAAAATAATTTCTCTCTTGCTACAGAATATAATGTGGATGGTGTTAGTCTTACCTTGCCTAATCCAAATGTCTTCGTAGGAGTGTTGACCGAAATGAATATGAGATCAGCCTCTTGGATTGCAGAATCAACATCGGTTGAGAAGAAAAGGTTTCTTCCCCTGCATTCTCTTACAACCTTCTCCAAACTTGGCTATCATTCAAAAGGAAGGGAGTTAAGATCACGATGCAAGTTTTAGGTCAGTTCATTCTTTATTAATTTTCAGTTTAAAACAAAAAGGATATGATGTTTAAGTGAAAGTGCTTATTTTATATGGCTACACATGTATGGAATTTTTCTTACCGGTACCTATTTTTTAAAATTACTGTTACAATACGGTTTATTCTTAAGGTATAAAGCTTACAATCTTCTGAGAGGATTATTGATCAATCTCTATGACTCTTTAATAGATTGATCAATAACCTTGGACATTCTGAGAATGAGAAGATATAAACTTCATCTATCAAGAATAAATTGTATTGTCACAATCATTTCATGAAAAGAGTTGAACAAAAAATATTCCATCTTTAAGGGCAACAGAGTTATTCAGCGACACACCTTATTGTTGGTTTCAGATATTTTTGCAATTATTTTCAAATGAATAAAAAAGATACATTGTGATGGCTTCATTGAGTTTTCAGTTTTCATTTTTTTATGTTAGTACCCTGGGCAGCGTCTCACGAAACCGTCATAAGTACAAGTTCACCGACATCCCATTGACACGCGTGTATTAAGTTTAACACACGTTTCAATGGGATGTCGGTGAACTTGTACTTATGACGGTTTCGAGAAACGCTGCCCTGAATAATGAACACTTTAAAGGTAAAGACCAGTATTGGAAACGCCCCAATTTCAAAAAATGAAATGCAAGCTCTTATTACCAATCATGTGAAAGAATATGTTTTGAATAATACATGATGATAAAAATGTTGACGGGAAACCGCCTACTAATTGATATATTTGGTAAATTAGTGTATCTCTCGCCTGTTGAGAGATACAAATGCATGTGTCACGCACGTGTGTGAAGTCCCATATATACATCTTTCAGTGTACAGTAATTCTAACTTTATGAAGACTTGGCCAAATTTCTTATCATTTTGATGATTCCAGAACCTTGCAGTACTTCTATGCTAGATGATCAACCTTTTCTGATCGATTTCACAATGTTTCTTTCACAATGCAGTCGCATGACCATAACTGGTCTTTAGCTTTAAAACTGCCCCATCAACATCGGCCTAAACCTGTCAAGAATGCATAAAAACATGTTGAGGGTACCAGCATAATCAAAGCTCCATTACTCTACATTCTCGTCACTTTGATATGTCATGCCACGTTAGCTGGTTAATATCGACTTGGCACATTTGCTGGCATGCCACATTTACAAAAAGAATCTATAGACAATAGAGAAATAGACCATGCACATAGAAAAGTACATGTAGCGTAGGCCTACATATTAGTTACAATCCGTGCATGCGCTTTACGACTGGACTGGTCTCAGCCTCATTTGCCCAGAAGGGCCCTTCTGATTGGCTATCGCTGGCTGCCATTTGTTCAACATTATAAGATATTAGTACGCGGAGAAAGCTTGCGATTTTTCGTTTAATCTGATTCCAAACTCATGATATCCCAGTCAAACCTTGATTTTGTACAATTTGTTTACACATCATTAAAAAGCTAAGTTGTAGTACTTGTTTTTTGTAAAATTCTAGTTTGCGTCATATTTAACTGGTACAAACACGCAAGTTGTACTGAAAAGTTCATCGATTTGTCTATTGTATAGGTGTATTTGTGTACCTATGCCTAGTGTGCGTCAGTTATGTGTCAAGTGCGTCACCAGTATAAAGCATGACATATCAGGGTGTTTTGTACGATTTTGTATGGTCAACATCATTGCCTTGCTTACATGTATATGGGCCCTCTCTCACTTAAAATAAAAACCACTCGAGCGGTCAGCCAATGGGAGCGCATTAACTTGCTGTACGCCACTCAGTGCGTAAAGTGCTAAGTGCCATGATGCAATAACACAAGGCCTAGCGAATCCTACATGGTAATAACTGGATAGAGTTTGTATTTACGAGCACACAGAATTATAAACAATATATAACAGATTTTTAAAATAGTTAACATCTTGTTCTTGAAGATAAAGAGAACAGACAAACATCATTTCATTTGAAAGATTTCCACATCAAAATTAAACTAAAAGATTAAGAATGCTGTATGTTTTCTTTGTATGAGCTTACCTCATAGATAGGCAGCTTGAAATCAGAGGAATTCCATGCATCTATCCGAGCTTGGCTGAGGTCGACGACAGTGACAGTGACCTCAGGACATTTGAGGGCAATCACCGAGCATGTGGGACCTCCAACATACCCTGCCCCCATGCAACATATCTTCTTTATCACCATATTATTTCTATCTGTAGCAGGGAAAAGCAACAAAAGGAAGAAGAACGAAATAAAGATTTAAAAAAAAATGAAACATCTTGTCATATACATGTATACAACACACCTTATTTCCTTAAGTTCATTATCATCGTGAAGATGTTGTGGTCGAGTGGATACATTACCGATAAAAGATAAAAGAGATTGTAAAATCTGTGGCGAGACATCTATTACAGTAGTCTAGATCTAGTACTACACTCACTCCAGCAAAGCATAGAGAGTCAATCATGGGTGTCGATCCTTACGTAATACCTATTCATCAGGGGGGGATGAATGAATAGATAATCCCCCTTACATGAATAGGTATCAGTTACAGATCGACACCCATGGAGTCAATGCTAATGCGTATTGACCTCTAGCACTGCACTACGTGTTAATAGGCAGCATTTGAATACATGAATAGTCAATACACTCATAACACACAAATGTACATAATCATTCCGATGCGGCTGATCGGCAAGTTTGACAGTAGACTTACAATTTGAATTTTTAAATTATTCTTTCTAACATCGGTAAGTTAAAAAAATTGCATTTTACTGCTATTTAGGTACCGGTATCATAAATTGCCACTAAAGGACCGATTTTGAGTGAAATCAGTTGAGTTTTGTACAGTGGTGTTTGAAATGTTGAGAATCAATAGCACAGCTTTTACTACACAGCCAGGATAGTAATGCAGCTATGTGTGACTTAGACAGAAATAACCGTCTGATATGGGTCATTTCTTTAATAAAACTAACATTTGTTGACATACCCCAATAGAGACGGTACTCCAGGTCTCGCACCGTGGGGGTAATCTAGAGCAATTCTGAACATCTTTTTGTAATGTTGGCTCCCGACATTTTCTCCCCCGATTCTTTATTTAGATCTAATTTTTTTATTTCTAAATCAGATATAAAATAGGTTTTATATTTTTCTCCTAATTACAGTTATCAAAATTTAATAACCTATTATAAAAATGCGAAATTTACAGACTTACTTATATGAGTTATCCAATTTTTATCTCAAAACCGTGAAACAGTACGTTCATGCACTCGAATTAGTAATTACATGTACATGACCCCGCGGCCGATATATTTCCGGGTCAACCTACCAAAACATCGCGAATGGCCAGTCAGAGCACTCGTTTAGTATTGCATTTATGAATATTCATATATCGCTGGGTCAAGCCGGGCTGACTCGTATGTATACATGTAGCTACTGGACGTTCGAAAAGAAAAATGAATATTCATCAACTAAAACCAAGCTATCGTAAGTCAAATAAGCTAAAGCTATATATATGTTATTTTTAATTTTTTAATATAGACTCTAATTACCGGTATTGTAATATTGCAGCATTTATGAGGATGTAAAGAGTGAAAATCTTGTTGCATATCTCATTTATCGCGGTCCAGCCAAACCGAACCATTTGTTCCGTACAGTCCCCATAGGACGAACTTCAGTCTCTATAATCGGAGGTCTAGTGAAGCCAGACGTACATGTAGTCTCAGTGGAACAACCGACGATATAGAATGAGAGACTGAAGTTTTTGGTCTACGGTATGTGTGACTACACTTGAACTTTGAAGATGTTTTGATTTGTTGAAAGTAGATGCAAATGCGCGGTAAAAGTAGAATTACATGTAGAGTAAGACCGCCAAACTTTCGGACAAAAATTACTTCAACGGCTAGAACGCAAAATATGAGCCTAGCTCAGGCGGGTAACTTGCATGCATTCGATACTACTACTAACCGATATCGTTAGTACATACAGAAAGTTTGGGCAGGTTGCTGTCTGCAAAACTCACAACAAACATCGAATTCAGAGACAGATTTCAGGTTACCTAGATTTTCACAGTCCGTTAACAGGGGAGTTAAGGTGTAGAGACTCCAATATATCGATTACCAGTACAAACAAAATCCTTGGCATGTTTCAGGTGGTTTCTGCCAAAATTATGGGAGCTTATGAGATACTTTTTCACTCTATCGCGGAAAGTTTCTAATGGCGGCCGTTACCACAGAGCTAGGGGTATAGATAGACTCCCCTACCGGAAGATGGCGCTCTTCCAAGCTTCAGACAGGCAACATTGAGTGTCATTTTGACTACGAAAAAATAGCGCTTTCGTAAGATTTTAGCACCAAAATATTGTGTGAGTGTTGTGAAAAACACCTTTATTATAGTTCTACCTAACTTAAATTACCCAAAACGAGAAAATAATACTTTTTTCATGAAATCAACGCAGTCAAACTTACCCCCGTCTTACGATTTTTGATCGTTTCCAAACCTCCGATGAATGCGTATTATCCCCACTTTAGCGCGCGCGCTATACATGCGCTACACATGAACGTCCGAAGCTTGGAATGAAAACACGTTCGGCGGGTAAGTAAATAATTCTAGTTTTCCATTTCCTTTACTAATTTTCTTTTACATGACATAAATGAACAGTATTTGCACAATATTAATAGTATATTTGGTCTTTCAATATTTCAAAAAGAATTTAATGTTTTCCCCCGTTATGTCTTAAGTGTCCGAAGTTTGGCAGTCTTCCTCTACTAGGCTATGCCATCAGCGTTGCTATCCAACAACCAAATATTATTTTGAAGTAGTCTAGATCTAGACTCTAGACCTGTCCCAAGTCTCTAGAGACTAGATTTAAGATTGTCTGAAAACTTCTGTTTTTTTTAAGTCTGGAAGTGGAACTCATTTCCATTGGAATCGTGATCAAGATCAGGACAGGATATTAAAATTCAGTGACTGATAAGTGATATTGATCTAGATTCTAGAGTATCTAAATAAAGTTATTTTAACAGCTTTATCATGCACACAATCACACATTCAAAGGTCAATACACAAGGATTCCTAGCCCTCATCCTCCCTTACTGTACATCACCATAGTCTACGCCATCCATAGTCTATAGGCCTAGTGATAGTTCCTTAGTGGCATTGACAGGGACTACACTCAACCACACACATCTGCCTGCCCCAGCTCAGGCGCCTACCACTTTACCAGCCAATCCAGCCGCCTGAGATACGGGTCTGAGCTCATTCAAATGTCCCTGCGATAAATGTCCACGTAGACCCTAGTAGATCTATGCAGTTGACGAATATAATCTTCAATTTACAATTAACAATAAAAAACAAAAATAAAGAAAGCTTTTAAGACAGTGGAACTTACCTTACTTGATCTTGAATTATGTATAATGACGAGTACTATGTATCGTACGTTGTAAACAAAAATGAATAATTTCTGGATGGCTTTCAGATTTGTGTTCTACACCACACGATCTTTCACATTATAAATGACATTTGTTATGCATGATCAATCTCTGTACTATACTGTACATGTGGCACAGTGTGGGCGGAGCAACTAGCGACCAATAAGATTTCGGTCGTAGTTAGCGCGAAAAAAATATCTCTATGGAAAAAACACACAATAGATGTGTTGTTGTGTTTTGGTTTATTGGCGATTAGTCAGTAATTTACTTTACTTAATTTACTTTACTTATTTAATTTACTTATTTAATTTACTTTACGGCACATGTTATATCTCTCATTTTTGTATTTTTGAAAAATTTATTTCGTTTTATATGAGGCGCGATAGCTCAGTTGGTAGAGCAGTGGTCTCGTAATCCGGTGACCCGGGTTCGAAACCAAGGCGATGCGCTATTGCCCTTTGGTGAGGCATTAATCCTCATTACCAGGTCCCTCGGAGAGGACCTAAAGCCATCGGCCGTCTGGTTGCTTACTTACAAGCATTTATGCTTTCTTAGCAGTCAGGTAAAAATAACCACCACCACCATTCATATCTATCTTTTAAGATAGTATCGAAAAATAATATCGTAATCAAAACATTCATGGGCTTTGTTAGTGTTTCTTAACACTAACAGTACGTGCAGATTATTTGTTATATCACATACACACCATACATAAATATTATGTTATTATATTTTTAATGTACTAGTGTAATTTAGCATATTTATAGTATTGTATTATGTTTTACTGTTCATCAAAGGAGGTATTACTTCCGAGTGAGTGATAGGGAACCGTTTCGTTCTGTGAACGAACCGTACTACAGCTTTTTGTATACTGGACTCAGTCACTCTTTTTTAAGTATTCCATAATTTTTTCCGGTTGGGATTCGTTCATTTCTGTTAAAAACATAGCCCTTTCTATAATATAGTTAGGGCAATGTACTAACAAAATGTTTTACAGTCTCTATTTCACTGGGGCATCTATTACAGAAACCAGTAGCATGAATTCTCAATCTAAGGAGATCTTGGTTAAGTCCAAGGACTCCAAAGCGGAGTCGATGAATAATTGTTGAATGTTGTCTCTCTAATGAACATATATATTGTTTATTAACATCTTTTTGAAATGTTTTCAAATACGAGTTGGTTTTGTTCCACCTTTCTTGCCAAAGGAGTTTGGAACTTGTAATAATTAAGCTTTTCATTTCTGACATATTTAGATTATTATTGACTTCTATTTTCTTTACTAATGCGGCCTTTGCGTGGAAATCTGCCATCTCGTTCCCTTTTATTCCACAATGTCCAGGTATCCACTCTACGTATATATCAATTCCTTTACTCTTTAAGTGAGTAGTCATGGTAAGAATTTCCAGAATAAAAGATTCGTCCTTCTGTTGTTGTAATGCAATAAGTGCACTCAGTGAATCACTAAAAATAACAACCCCCACATAAATATCTAATTCATGTATTCAAGTATTCAAAATGCCAACATGGTTCAATGTTTTTCAACAACGGATGATTCGCCCATCTGTCGATGTTTTGTCTATATTTACTTGAAAGCATTATTTTGTCTTCTTATATCCAAAGGCATTTCCCCCATTTCCACCTGTAGTGATTCTAAGGAGGTAAAGGGCAGCCCACCTGCGCATAATCTTCAGTGCTTGGTATTGGACAGAGTCAATGGCTTTTTTAGTGGTAGCAGCTGCACTGTCATACGCCTCACATCCGTAATAAAAAGGAGACCTTATAAGTGCTCTGTACACCATAATAAGTGATTTCGAGGAGCTTCCCCACTTTGTTCCAGTAAGACATCTTAAGATATTTAATTTTCTTTTACTTTTCGTGATTAAATTTTCGATATGTGGTTGCCAAGTTAACCTTTTATCAAATATAACCCCTAAAAAGCGATGAGATTTTTTCGTACATTAGCACATTTCCATTCAGTTCTAGATCAGGCGGTAAAACGGCATTCCAGCTTTTCGTAAAAAATACGGGCACTGTTTTGACAGGTGAGAGTCAAAACCCCCACTCTTCAAACCAACAAATTAAAAGATTCAAATATTTCTGTATTTTTTCAGTAATAATTATGTACAATGTTCCTGCCCAGGGCTCAAATTATTTTTTTGTCCACGGGGGCTCTTCCCCCCCCCCCAAAAAAAAGAGCCCCCGTGAGCCTTCTCACGGGGGCTCTTTTAGTACTGACGGGGGGCTCTTTTTTATACAAATATCCATTGAATTGGTACCTATGAAACTCCTCAATTATTTGCTATTTCATCATTATCATTTCAATCAGCATTTTCCCTCTTACAAATTTACAAGCTACATAGCTGTTACTGGCCTGTGTATATATACGCATACAACACTGATCTTTATGATGTCTTTAACGTGACATCTTCTTCTCCCCTTGCAAACGAGAAAGAAAACAAGGTCATTAAAAGGGATTAAGCGACAAATAATGATTGTGATTCAAATTGATGCGAATATTTGTTTGAATAAGCACTGCTATTCACCCGAATCTTCTTTGTAAAAACAACTTTTACAAATCTCAGCCATGCTTACTGAGTTGAGACGTTCCATTCAATGTAAAATACTCATTAAAGAATACACTTCTCCTAATCTGAAAGTGATCTTACAACACAGTGGAAGATTTGCATGGCTGAGTTTTGTAAAAGTCTTTTTCACAAAGAAGATTCTGGTGAAAAGCATTGCTTATTCAAAAAAAATCCTTGCATCAATTTGAATCACAATGATTATTTGTCGCATGATCCTTTTATCAAATAACCTTGTTTTCTTTTTTGTTTGCAAGGGGAGAAGAAGCTATGTCACGTTAAGAAATCATAAAGATCGGTTGTATTATGCGTAATAATACCAGAACAAAATTAATGTTGATTATCAGAATGTCATTTTGGAATACCTCCATACAAATACCACATTGTCTTTAGCCCGTATCAGTATTAGTATGATCCAATATAAAGCTATTATTCTTTATTTAATTCAGTATAATGCTTTTCCTCAAAAATAGTTTTGCTATTTTTTTTAGGGTTGAGTTGTAAGAAATGGTTTCAAAAGTACATTTAATGTACATTACACGAACCCTGAACCATTGCAAAATGATGGTGGTTCTCTCTCTCTCTCTTTATTTGAATCATGCATTATCAACTACATATAAAACAGCAACCAAAAACTTAGGGTTATCTGAGATAGGTGAAAGTAAGAGTTAAAATGAAAGTCATGCTAAAACGGCGCTTCACTCCCCCCCCCCCCTGAAAAAATAAAATAGATTAGTAGTCCTCCTCTCCAGCATCCCCCCGCTTTAATATCACATTTTCACTTGGCAGCCCAAGGGGGCCGGGGGTAGGAGGAGGGGGTTAAACCCCCTAACCCCCCCCCCCCCGTAGATCTGCCCATGTTACCATATCATTCCACGACATCTTGGTCTTCGTCTTCTTCTCAACAGGGACTCTTAGATTTGCGTGGACGTGGACGTGTTACGTCCTTTTAAGGCACTGGCAGTCACATGTGACGTCCTTTTAAGCACTGGCACTGCCTTAAAAGGAGGTCACACGTTGCAGTCCACGTTCTCATCGTGCAAATCTAAAAGTCCCTAATATTGATTTACTGGTCGAGGTTCATTATTTGCTCCGGGTATTTGCTGGTCATTTGAAATCACCAGATTTGAGCGGGTTAACGCTTTCACAACAAAAAATTTCTCCATGACCATATCTTCTGCCCTTGCGCGATCGCCTCCAGCTCCAGCAGACATGGTGCGGCAGCGTGCTAACGGCGCAGTAGGCCTATAACCACTGCTGACGGCGCACAGTGGGCCAGGGAGGAACCAAAGTGCGCCAAAACTAAGTTTGGGTGATTTTTTTTTCTCAATTTTTTTCTTGCCCAGTTGAAAGGTAATACATAGAGGAATACCTCAGTGAAATATTTAATTCCGTTATGCACAATAAGGGTATAAATTTACTACTTCAAACAGCAAAATCCTACATATTCACAGTTTTAGTGCAAAAGTGACTTATTTTATAAATCTTTCAATTCAACATGAAGTTTTTAAGTTATTGATATGAAATTGCTCTCACATATTCCTGATAGTTCATTTCGTTGAATGAATGGGTTAAAATTAATAGAAACACAATCTTCATGATATATTATAGGGTAATTCACTGAAAAATGGACTAATTATCCATGTTTTTTTATAAATCCAGAAGAAATGTTTAGATCTCCGCAGTGTACCGCTTAAATTTTAATACCACCATTTCCTCTGATGTCTAAGCTTTAAGTTGATACCAAATTTGGCTGCCCGATCTTGCCCGTTGTTATGTTAGAGCCGATTTCCCTTGCCACATTGCCCCGAAAAATGTGGGTTTTGGGGGTCCGCGGCTGAATCATGAAGGATTCGTGGTCATAAATCACGGCGCGAGGGAGCGCGTGACACTTCTTCTGACACCGCGGACCGAAATAAACACATTTTCGGGGCAATGTTGCAAGGAAAACGGCTCTAACATAATAACGGGCAGAATCGGGCAGCCAAATCTGGTATCAACTTAAAGCTTAGACATCAGAGAAAATGTTGGTAATAAAATTTTAGCGCAAATCCCTGGAAATCCAAACATTTCCTCTGGATTTATAAAAAATAAATCCCCAAACATGAGTTTTGGCGCACTTTGGTTCCTCCCTGGCCCACTGTGCGGCGGCACTGCACTGCGAGCTGAGTCGGTAATAATAGGCCTACTCATTAAACGAGAAATCTTGCACGCTAATCTAAGTTCCATTTCATTGGTTTGAAAATTGAAACTTAATATTGTGTTTAAGTTATAACAGAAAAGATACTCTTTATTTTATAATTCCACGGGGGCGATTTTTAATTTTGCAATCGCCCCCGTGAGCAACCTGACGGGGGCGATTATGTAGCTCACGGGGGCGAATCGCCCACCGCCCCCGTGTATTTTGAGTGCTGTCCTGCCTGATATCCATATTGCACAGTCATCTGCATATTCTTACATCTTGGTCTGTCGGTATATCATCCATCATTATAAAAGAGGACTTAAAACA